TTCATGTCCTCCTCCCCTTTGCGCCTCCCCCCCCCCCCCCCCCTCCCCCGCCCCCCCCCCCCCCCCCCCCCCCCCCCCCGCCCCCCCCCCCCCCGCCCCCCCCCCCCCCCCACTAAATTACGGAATTTTGTAACGGGGCTAGGACAGAGGTCATCGTGGCCTAACACATTTCTAATATTGTCAAGTTGTATGTCCGAGCAACTACTCTCATCTGTATAGATTAGAGCCCATTGGAAGAAGTTTGAACAGGACATGCATACCGTTAAGGGGGCTAGGTACACATTGGGAATTCAACGGAAATTAGGCAGGTCTTCTTGATAAGAGTGTTCCACATCTCGTTGGCTCTTCTGTTAGATTCTTGCCAGTTCTAGATCAGGTAATACCTAACAAGCAGCAGGAGACTAGCTAGGCTGACGCGGTTTGATTTCATATTGCGCTGTAACCCCTCAACACGACCATCCATGCATGGGCCTACCAAAGGCTGCTCTTAGCCGTACTCAGCTACTTCTCAATATGAATCAGTTTTTCGGCGGTGTCTAGTTGTCCGGGGCGGGATGCTACATAGCGTATCCCGTCATCTTATGATAGGGCTGATGGTTGGACACTTCAATTCTCCCTTGATGTTGGACAAAGTCGGATAACCTGGTGTTGGCTGAAAGACTTAGGGGAATGTAACCGCATGAACCCTGCCGCTGCCAAGGTCGATCCAATGACCAGATATATCTGTACCTTAGGATGAGTTTGTACAACACTTATAGGGAAGACCTGCCTTCATGTATGTCACCTCGATCATACGAAATGTTCTAGCCCTCCAGATCCCGAAACCCGGGAGTTGTAAGATCCAATGGTTGTATGCTTCCCGTTGCCAAAGAAATATTCGAGCAGGAAATGATCGACGATCGAGAATTGCCGATTAATGATCAGTGATAGGTCAAATGCAGAACATGTCTGTCCAGCTGCAAAAGCATCCCTTGTTAATGCCATAACCCTTACTAAGATCCAATACAGCGAATCAGCACGACCAAATGGTCTTTATTACAGCCAATAGCCAGTCCCCTAGAAGGAAGGTCGTTGTTCATCCAAACCTACGAATTCCCCTATCCGGGCATAGAGAAAAATTAACGCCACCCTCTTGAAGGTACCTGGACCAAACTGGGTTTGCGCTATCAAAAACACGAGCAAGAACAGGAAAGCGATTACGTTATTTTGAGGAATAATGAACTAAGACAGAACAAGACCGTTAAGATACGTATATACCACTACTTTATTCTATTAGTTACCTTGGTAGTCTCGAGGTGGACGCGTGAAACCGCTTACTTGGTGGGCCTTTGTTCTTGTTGGAGTCAAATACGAAGTGTTGGTCCTAGTATGATATGATAAATCATGAGATAATCAAGAACGCCTGCATATTGCAGTTCGTGATGGACATTGTATCTTATGAATATCAGTTGATAGACCTTACCTATAGTATGCACTTTATCGAGCCAAAGGTCAGCATATGGGACCGCGAACTATAGTAAAGTTTATAATCAAGGAAAGTAGCCTAATAGGTTATCTAATAGCTTGGCTGGAGTGCTTACAAGTCGATGTTTGTTTACGTCCGCAAATGGCTGGCTCTGCGAATGACCTAGCCTATTCTCAACCTTCTACACAACACATGTTATAACACATGTACTTTCTCAAGTCTATATCACCATTACGTAGAATCTCAGAATTCTTAGGCCAGGAGAGTGTGCTAGGAAGTTGATAAGGAATATGACTATGCTTTACGATTAAATTGACATCTGTTTACGTGTAAGCCGTAACGTACTATCTCCGCCTCATATTAAGCCTACGTCACGATAATGTTATTAGGAATGGTAGCTGTTATATAAAGAGAATGATATGCTTGTCTTGGTAAATACATGTGGATTTTCTTAGATGGTTTAGTGCCCACTACCCTGTCGGCTGGGATAGAAAACTACAGTAACATAACGTTGAGATGGCTGTTTACTTCCGAACAAACATGACTGTATTCCGCAAATGAACATAAGAATACTCAGAGACCCGACTCTGAATTTCTCGGGCCGGCTCAATACTTATCGCATCTGGATGGTGGTTGAGCTTAAGAATGATGACATAGGATTAGCGTGATCATCAACACCAAAAAGTTGACGCGCATAGCAGGGGGGCGCCCGCGGGGTGAATGGGAATCCTGGCATAGGATATGTATGTACGATGGAAAATGGAGGCCATAGACATGCAGGCAGGAATCTGATGTGTCCAAGGTTGGAGAATATAGTAGTACGGCATATGAGACATTGATGAAATCGGAAAGATGTCGTACGAGATTTGCAGCTGTCAGAAATTTAATGTGACGTTAATAGGTATGTGCTGACATTCATTGCTTGTTTCGGTCTTCACTGCTAAATAGGTACGCTTGTACAACTCCTAAGCAATAAACCCTGAGGCTGAAAACTTGTAAGTGAACAAACTACGTAATAAGGCTTTTGGAATTAGAGGTTGATATGTGTGGAGAATATTGAAGGTGGAGCAAAGCGGACCGGACAAGCACTTGGAAAAGCTTAAGCACGTGGCCGAACAGGGCCTGAATGCTCCATACCGAACGGGCCCCCACCTTCAATATCCCTGTTCGTGTCACGGTCGCGGATAGGCGCATCCGTTAGTGTTCCCGAGTTCCCAGCCACCTTAACCGTGCAATAAGGCCGACTGGTTCGGCTAGATTGGACCCACTTAGACTAGGTATGGTATTTACCGTATGTAGGTTATGTCCTTATTAACTGTTAACTGATAGGATGGTTTGACTACCTAATTTTCTGAAGCGGATATTCGCACATAGAACACTTACCATACGCTCACTTATGTATCAACTTAGGTAGTTACCTAATACCTCTAACCTCTAACCTCTAACCTCTAACCCCCAGCCTCTAATACTGAAGCATCATGGAAACAAGTGGCCTAACCGAACCACTATTATTATCACGTCATGCTTCCCTAGGTACTTATTCACGTACCTAGGTATAGATACCCTGGAACGGGGATTTTTATTGTATACGTGTATGTATGTCCTCAGGTGCAAACTAGCTACAGTACACATCCCACTTATATCGTAGTATAAAAAGCTTAGCCAATAAAATTCAAATGAACAAGGTACTGTAGATAGTTCGCATGCCTTCAGTCGTCTTGGTTGTAGTATTCTTGCAACATAGATCGGACATAACAATTCCGCGTCTCGGTACGTCCACTAATACGACGCATATAAGCCTCGCGGACCATTACCGCCTTTGTGGCTTCACCTGTCTCTACGTTGGAAAGCAGGTTATGAAGAGTGCCGGCTATCATATGTAATCATACCTAACCTAGGGTAATCAGTGAGCTTTTGTCACATCCCGAATATTAGACTTGCTACCGATGTTTCCTTTACAAGACGCGTACAAGTTACAGTACCAGAAAAAAACGATCTATCATCACGAGGCTCATATCAGACGCGATAGCTAATGCAGCAAGCCCGATTGAGAAACCCCAGGATCTATATTGCAACATTATTCTACTTCAAACTTGAGTACATGTAGGTAGTTAGCGTCGCAGAGTTACGTGCCCTATTGATACGTCGCCCTCATTTCTTTTTATCCGTTAAACTGCATTATTGTAATTCCAATTTTACGGTATAAATTTAGTACCAAGTTAAAGGTTTTTATTATGCGGGATCCTTTCACAAAATCGCGATTAAACTCCTTGTCTTAACATGACAGCTGCTATTAACGCTCTGTAGACATTAGGCGGGATAGCCTCGCCTAAGTGCTTGAAACTACTAGGTTACCATACTAATTGTTTACCCTCACCCAATGGCTTATGAGTGCTAAACTTCAAGAGTAACACTACGCTTTCGTCCTATGGCAATGTGCGCTCTTTTTACTACATATAAGGACCGAACTCGGCGCAATCTTCGATTAGGAATAGTTATTTCCATGATCTGTTGAAATCATCGCAATCCATCAGCTATTCAAGTGAAGCTAATCATAGGTTAATTTTGTAGCAAACGCCGCCGCTTCCGCCATACGATCGTCAGTTCATTATTAGAGCCTGGGCAAACTGGTGGCTGCGCCCCACAATCCCGGTTGTCTTGGATATTCCCCAATGCCATTAATCCGCTCCCTTCCCTAATCCCTGGAAACTGCTGGAAGGTCCCATCTGATTACCTATTCTCAACATTCGACGCCATGACTTCGCCGTCATCGGCTATACAGACATCTCCTCCTTTCAATAGCTCGTTGCTGGGATCGGGGCACCGGGGGTGGCATTGGTAGTCATCATTGTAGGAACTTGAGTCTGGTTGACCTTGTATCTGAGAATCCATTGATTTCCAGACTCGTTTGTATTAACAAGTTCCATCAACGTGTAGCGTACGACGCCATCCTCGACCCGAGGAACGCAAATATCGTGCGAGTGTCTCGGCAAAGGCATCTCGAGGACTTCACCGTCGACATCTCGTCCCTCCGCCTACATGATGTATTAGCCAGATTTTTGTTGTAAGATGCGATCCCACTATTTCCGGGCGAGTGACTTACGCAGCAGTTTGCGCAGGGGGAATTGTTAACGTATACCCAATTAGGGCAGTTATGAGTGTAAAAGTACTTGCATCGGTACTTATAGAAACCGCCGCTTCCACTCATTGTGAATAATACCTTCACTTGAAAAAAGGGAAGCTGTCGGCTTTAAAGGATAAGACTTTAACGACTTAGTCGCGAGGTAGAGTAATGAGTTATTACTGAATGACAACAGCAAGGAGGTTACTGCCCGCTGGCAGCCAAGCGATAAGGTTTCACTGACGGACTGCAAAGTCCAATTCAGTGAGAAAGTGACCAATACAGGTGCTCAAGAACCTCGAAATGGCTCTTGTTGCAAGGATGCTCCGAAAAAAATAGAGTGAACCAAGGTAGGTGTGCGGAAACATCCTTATTTATCTCCAGGGGTCTTATCCTGCAGTAGGTACTATATGTATACATAGCTTACTTAGGTACGTACAATGAGATGGTCTCTCAGCCTTGATTCTTCAAGAGTTGGCTTTCTAAAGATTTGTCTAGGCCGTGTCGATGTTTCTGGCAAACACGTTTGGAACACAACAGCTTAGGTTAGGCAGTCTGCCATATCCACAACCATCTTTCCAACGGGAGGTCCCCTGCCATGCATCAATGAAGTCCCTGCGGCGACAAGGGTCAAGGTGGACCCGAAAGTATTCTGGAAACACGCCTTTCATTTAGTTATAGCACACACCTATCAAATACCGTAGAAAACTGTGCGGGAGCAGCAGGCATATCAACTTTGACATGTCATATATGGGAGGGGTCGTATCATATGTATGTAATAATAGATGAACATTGTATTTTTTGGACTAACCTTAAGAAACCGCGACTTAGGTCTTTGAAAAGAGCGCGAGTAGAGAGTCATCGGACCGTTACTACTAAACCCGCGCTCGTCTCGCTATTGGTATGTTGAAGGGTAGGATACGCGACATTGTACTAAACACAACCTATCCCCTATTGGCGGAACTTGGGTAAAAGAAGTCGTAAGGTTCCAACCGGGACTTGAGAACTTCGCATATATGAGTTCTCATAAAAAGGGGCTCTTTTCAGTTGGACACAGATATAGTAGTTGTATTCCAACGCAACCAAAAAAAAAACTTCAGTTTTGTTCCCTGCATTTTACCTGTTGTACCATGCCAGCATCGAAAGGCATCCAGACGGGTGGTGGGAACGCGGGGGGAGTGCCGAAGAGGAGGCTTGTCTCTCAGCGCCGACAGTTACACTGCGGCCAAAGGGTCGAATAGCAAAGCGGAAAGGCTTGAAGCTTCCCAATAGGGGCTCCTAGGAGTGGTATAAGCTAACATCAGACCCCCAACTACATATATGTACCTACCCACCCCCGTCGCCATCTTGCCGCGTTTCTACTCCCTTTTGACGATGGCCCTACATATGTTAAGGAACCATTCTCCAATGCAGAATAATTATACCCCAGATGAGGCTGAAGATTCCAAGAAAAACCCAGAGATTTACTATTGGCCGGGGGACCCTCCGCGGGGGACAACAGCATAAATTAATTAATAAATCTCCTTACATCGTCCAACCTGCATACGTGTATATATATATTTTATATATACCTACATAATGGGTGTGGTACCTACATGTATGGAAGAGCGCACATATATTGGTTAGGTACCTAATATATGTATATATTTACATACCTTACATTATGTACTAGGTAGGTATGCATATACATTACACATAACTTACATGTATGCAAGTTTACAACTTATTAATTAAACAAGCTCGTTTACTAACGGGCCCTTGCGTTCTGATCACCTAATAGTGGGAACACTGGAGAAAAAAGGGGGGCATTTAGGAAGCAACAGGGAAGCCCCCGGGGCAGCACTGACTCCCGCTGTGCTAGGTCGGGTAAGACCCTAGGAAGGCCCTCCGCTCCACTCAAGTACATATGTAGAATGTCTTAAAACTTAAACCCAAAAAAAATCTCCGGTCTCCGGGGAGAGAGGCCGGAAAAACCTAGACTAGGACAGGGTCCAAACATTTTGACCCTTGACGTCAAACATTGAAATTTCCCACACCAACCAACTCTCGTCATAATATCAACTATCAAGAAATTGAAAAGTTCAGAAACTTACAGGAATTTACGCTAGAAACCAGATAATCTGTCGCGCCACAAATACTCGCTCACTCGCATCACGTCTGCCTATACATCTGCCTATCATATGCGCGTTATGCCTAATTGTTATGTCTAAACGAATGCATGCAATCCTTCCTTTCATTTATCCGTGTCATGATCTACCTCTAGGCCCTTTTTTGTTTTTTGTTTTGTTTCGCCTGTCTCCTAAGCTAACCTGCCATTCATGCTCGGAATAGTATGTCTCTTTTCGATGGCGATTACTTATTGCAGATATTAACACGCATCTAGAAACCTCGCTCTTAGCCGCCGTGGACCTGCACACTCACACTCACACTCACACTCACACCCAGATACAGATGCACGGCTTACCGTACGTAGCGGGCTCATGTGTCTGTACTTGGGTTGCCGAGCCTAGGCTAAAAACAATCTATTGACATACGCACGTATGTATAATCTCGTAGCTATGGCCGATCATTCGCCATATCGAGCATTACCTTGGCGGATGCTTTACGACGAATACGGGATATCGGCCTTTGTGTACGGGATTGCCCTTCGATCCTGTGGCACTTGTGGTGTCTATCGACACTCGCTGGCGCGCTCATCTCAGAGGCTAACCATAAGCATCTTGAGATTAATCTGGGTCACTATTCCGTATGTGTCCTGGTTGAAGGGGAAGAGTTGTCGTCGTATGTTCGGGTCATAAGCCCAGGAAGGTTTCACCCGGTTTCCTACGTATAACGATGCCGAAACACATTCAATTCACAAGTATCTTGAGCCGATTCGGCTTCGGGTACAATCAGGTCCTCGGCTTAGACAATTCTCAAATGTATCATGCATGTCTTGTGTCGCGATGGACGATACACTCTACTCTGCCCTATTATTAAGGAACCTCTGCATCGGAGTACACTACGTGGACAATGGTCGCGGGTTCGGGATGGCGTGTCTTTCGTCAAGCAACATGCCGGTTAGTCAGTCCACGACTAACATGTCTGAGTAACAGATGTTACTTGGTCTATGACATGTCAAGTTATGTTATTTCGAGATCTACGGCAGACGTAGAAGTGCATGACGCGACATGGCTGTCTTTACGGCCAACAATTTGATTAGGTGGTTGCCTACGATATAATGCGGCTTAATGGTCTACTATTGCTTAGTATCTCCCCCGAAACCAGCCTCTCGAGTCATCTTCGAGACTATTCTTGGCTAGGTACGTATTTGCAAGGCAAGGCAACTTTGTGCGGGTTTTTGGAAAGCCGGCCTAGATGCGGATTGGTGTTTACTGATACCATAATTTCTTGTATTTGGTACTCGCATATGCTCTGCATTTGTTGGCTTACAACAGGGTAGGCTTCAGATCATTTCCAACTCCAGAGCTGTGTTTTCTTTCACTGTCAAACTTGGACGAAGGCTGGTTGGTACTATTAACCTATTCTTACTAGCTTAGTGTCGGGGTTGGCTCCATGTCCACGATGGACTTACAGGACCACGGCCTGGGGTTGACACCTTCATACACATGTCATTATCTCAAATTGGAGACTATTAGCGACATTGGGATAAGCTTAGCTGTGATTGGCAACTAGGACATGGTGGTCTACTTTTTTATTTTTGATGGCGTTGATCTAAACTAGTCATCCCGGGTCGTTGGTTCTGTTGCATCTCCAATCCCTACCTGGGGATTAGGTACACTCGCTACTCGAGAGCCAGCCAGCCTTACTCGCTGATATTCTATCACTGCCCCATTAGCGACATGCAATGTGACACTCGATGGCACGCGTCGTATGACACTGCAACTCAGGAGACCAGTATTGATTTTCAAACCAAGCTTTCAGTTCAGCAATGAGTCTGCCGGGGAGGACACAGCCAGTGATATTGCCAGATGCAGAGTTTGTGCTAGATGCCGCGCCTTTAATGTTCTGGGCTTGGGCGGGAGAACGATACAATCAGTACCTTCGCTTACATGCCAATACCTTGATACCCCATCTTGGAGATGTGGGAGTCTGAAAAGACACTAGAGAAATTTGCTGTTTGGTATCGTCGAATTGCAAAGAAGGTAAATCCTAAAACGCTACTGTTAAGATAGCGTTGGCTATTTATGAAAGTTTTCGGTCAAGATATTAGACCCTCCTAACCTCTGATTTTCCCATTTTACCACTGAGAATCAGAGTTCGAAATATACTACGGTGGGACGATATTAGTAAACGGCCAGTTATCCGCATAGGATATAGAGGAAAGCTACGAAAGCCACGAAAGCTACTATAAGGTTTCGGTGTCCTATGTTCTCAAGATGCTGTGAAACGACGGGATCAAGGAAAACCGCATGAGAATCTTATCACAAGTCTTTCAGAGTCTAGGCTGCTACCTACAGCATTTTGCGCCGAGAAGTCCCTGCAGATGTGATGTTGCATGGAGGTATTACTACAGCTTGTACAGCGACCGCGTCTACTCAGTTGCCTGTACAGCATCTTAGCTCAGTCCTCATTTGCGGATCAGTATCACGACCCATAACTTCTGAATCTCCAGGTAAGTTACCGGAACCAATAATCACACCTTCCCCCGATGCGATTAATTAAAATCGGAAACTCGTGTCGCCACTTGACGCAAAGCGTGAGCGCACTGCTGTTCAGCTACTCCTCCTTTATTATGGCACCTCCAATATGAAGATAGAGAAATAGGGGCACCTGAATACTTTACATACGATGGCGCGTATTCTATCATCAGCAGAGTTCTGCCTGATCCTACTACCATTAGTAGCACTTCGTAGTAATGAGAAGGTTGGCACTTGACTTCTAATAGTCGGCCAACAATCTCGATACATATCTCATTTTAGTCTAAGATGAAAGATGGTGGAGTTGCTTTCCTTAGGAACTCTACGTGGCGTTCTCTAGAATCGATCAAACACGCATAACCGATAATAGGCACGTCAGATCTCAGATGATATGCCTTAGTAGTTATTGATCTGAGTCAGGAGCATGTAAATGGCTTCTTATCCAAGTATATCTTCAGCGGTGGCAAAATCGGAGAAGCATGGAAGTTGTAAGGTTTCTAGTACAATACGACGTTACCTGAGCATCAAGAAAAGATTTGCGGATTACAAAGGGGTCGATATCATGAAGTCGTGGCGACCAGTTCGTGACGACCAGTTCGTGGCAACCGTAATCTCACAGTGCCGATGCGAAGATATGATTACATCTATTTTAATCATATTTTGGAGGAGTTTATATGATTTTACTCTCCGGCACCGCCGTCCAACATAACGCATTAGCTCTCGCAAGACATAGCCACGTCGATTAAATATTGGCCTCAGGTGTGTCCCCTAAGAGTTGTTACGTTACCTAAGAGGTATTCCGAGCTTGATGGCGATTCCTACGGGAACTTACTTCCCCGCCACGATTTCGAGATAATCCATACCCGGGGGCTATCAGCCTGGCCACCATCAAACGGACACACCGCCCAGTTGGCGATCACCAGGGATGAGTTTATACTCTAATTCCATGACCTGATTGTTTTTATGAGCGGCTTCCTTCGGACTGACGATCATGCTAGATGGTCGGGTTGACAGAAATATGCATTTCGGTAACTTGGACTCTTTCGCCCTTCGGGACGAGTCTGAAGAAGGTAGAGACATCGATACATGAACACCAGGGCCGAAGACTCGTGGGTAAGCTTTGGGCCAATCAAGGAACTGGCTTGTCGAGAAGCCGCCTAGACTGTTCCAGAACCACGATCGCTTGGGCTTTAAAGCCTCGTGATGGCTTCTCAGGAAGTATTGTGGACCGCTACTATGCATGGAGACCGATGTCTGGCGTTGGAGATGAGAGATGCGGCCGATATCTGTCCACTGCGTATGACTTCTGCGTATGACTTCTCGTATTCATGCGGTTGGAATCTAGACCTCATTACATGCGTGGTCGGTTTATCTCCTTTGCGTCTTATGATGGGATGCATGCAAACGGTAGTTGCACGCCCTACCCCTTCTAACCACCTCTCTGAGCAACCGAGGCTGTGTCACGTCTCAGGGGCTACGTCTCGCCATCCAAGACCCCCGGTAGCGAGATATTTTCAGAAGGAAAATACAGCTTGGAAAAACTTTTAGGATCATCGAAGAAAATATTTTCTCAGCTGCTCAGCAAGGGGCGGTCCCGCCTGGGAGCGATATTTTCTACCCCCCTTTCTCTACGTTAAGTACCCCTATCTTTATAGGTCACAAAATAATATATCACAAAATGCAAGCGACTATTCGACCGTCGATTCCAAATATGTATGTCTGTTCTAGTAGCTGAAAATGGCAACTACCGAAGTCCTATGCTGGTACATACATAGGGCAAGGATATCTGCAGAGGATAAACCGCATCTCTACAGGTTGTCTTGGATGCGCAAAAGTTTTTGGCGAGAGACTTTTACGCCTCTTTTCATATTGCATCCCCAGTCCTTTTTACCCGCCTATCATAAAGCACCGATCAGAAGATCAGAACGCCACAACTTGGACACCACAACTTGGACACGGAATACTAACTCTGCCCGTCTGTGTGTCTAGGTAATCATATGACGAGACAGCTCCCGTAGGTATCCATTACAACAAAACATTCGCTCGCCTAGTTCCTAGCTTTCCCTTAACTACGGTAACTACCGTTGATACACTGCTCTGCTGTCCGCCTCGATAGGTATTCGAGATTCGGCACTCATCTCTTTGACGCCGTGCTCATTAGGTAGCTCTGACGGCGGCCAGTTGACATGCATTGGCGGTTGGGTAAAGGGCGGCGCGCCCCACGTCGTCGAACTCCAGTTACTAGGACCCATCATGTTTGCTTGGGCTTCTTGCAGTTCTGCCGCCTCTTGCCTCCTCTTCCGCCGCCGCGACCAAAACATCCACAATATCACCGCGCCCAGTGCCAGAACCACGAATGCAGCACCAATGCCGACACCGGCGGCGGCACCGGCACTAAGCCTGGTACGCCCGTCGCTATCAGGTTGCGCTTCCGCTGTCGTTGATGTCGAGGGCGAAGTTTCCGATGCGGGGGCGGAACTGTCTGACAACGATCCGGAAACTACGGTTGCCGTCTCCTCTGCCGTCGTCGTCGCGGGACTGTTCTGGATCACAACGCCGTACGCCATGATGGTACCGGGAGCGAACAAACTCGTCACCGATCCGGCTTCCTCATCCCCATTCAGCGTGCCATCGATGGTCGTGAAGCTCGTCTCCGTGTTTACTCTGTATACGGACATGCAACCTAGCGTTGGTCCCCACGGGTAGCTATAGCTGCTCGACGTAGGAGCACATTCGTAGTTCCCTTGCCTAGATAGGTACGTCTCTCATTAGATTTCTACATTCGATAACATTCGATATATCGCTTCCCTCGTCGTTCGGGTCCGCTCGTCTCTTAACATCAAGCCCGGTATCCTATCCTATCCTATCCTATCCTACCAAATACTACAGGTGGACAGATGGGTGGCTACCGCTAAGGCTACGGAAATTCAAGAGCAAAGGAAAAACGCGTATGCGATGTTACTTACGGACAACATGTCGCCCGCGTGGCGACGATTGTACCCCCCGCGGTCGATATAGACTCGCAGGCGCGCGTATAGCCAGAAGGGCATACTCCGGGACTGTAATACTGATTTTGATAGGGAGAGTAGTCGTCAGGGAAGCACGATGATTGTCCCGGTCGGCCGTGCAGCCAGTAGAAGGTTGAAGCGGTGTTGACCCAGTACAGCGCTGACGATGCGACGCAGTCGGCCGGTGGCGTGAAGCTCGTTGTAAGTGGACCGAGCGACATAGTTGCGTATGGCTCTAAGCCCTCGGCCGAGTGGTTGATGGATGGATATCCGATGTAGATCCCGTGTTTACGTCCTTCTCCTATCTCTATCCCTTGTCCTTTCTTTCTTTCTCTCTCTCTCTTCAACAGACCGACTAGTAATATCAGCCTTCACTATGCGCAATCTGCCGTGTTTGGTTGCACTCGTATCGTCTCTATTATTATTTCCGAATTAATAAGAAAAAGAAAAAGAGAAATCGGGTTCGTGTTTTCTATTTTATTTTATTTTTCCGCGACGACGCTACACGCAAGGAGGAGAGAAAATTAGAACCCGGCTAGACAAAACATCTCTGTCTGCCTCGTCTACCCACAGATTGGCAGTATGGCTGGTTTATTAAAATTTGCTGGGTGATTGACATGCTGGCACTCAGGGCGCCGGAAGGATTGGAATCCCGGACCAGCCATGATCTCACGTCGTATGCAAGCCCTTCCATCATATATTCTCTGTGCCGCTTTGCCTGACGAGTATGGACTGGCTTAGCAAATCAAGGGGCTCGCATGTGCCGCTGTCATTGGAGACTCATCTGTTTTCTCATTGCCACACATACATACATAGGTAGCCAGCCATAGCGGCGAACCTGGTTGTATGTATTTTGCTTCTTAGCTGCGAATATGCATGGATGCATGGATGGATGCATGGAGAGGCAAATAGGATAACAATAAAGCGCGTCTATGCCACCCCGGCCTTTGCCACTTGTAGTATGGATCGTCGTGCCTAGACATCTTTCAAACTTGGCTAAGCTCTTTTCGACTCGGCCTTCACGCAAAGTCGAAAGGCTGAGCTGTCTATCTTATTTGTCTCGTCTCCGCTATACATATACATAATATGTACGGGCACCCTTGGAAGCAGACTGGAAGGCTCTCTCGAGACTTGGGGGCCAAAATCTAATTAACAGGCGGTCACGCATATGTATGTACATACCTACCTACATACCTACCTGTCGATTGTCCAGTCTAGTCCAAATGCTACAGATTACGGGATGCCCCGTTTAGAAGTGGGCGGCTGCTACTATGTCAAAATAAGAAAAACCGGAATCCTTCGTCGGCCTCTTAGCCCTACGCGGACCCCAGACACGGATACATGGCGGTAATCGACCAAAGCACCGCTCCGTGCATTGGCCGCCCCGCCGTTAATATATTATCCTAGCATAGGTCGAGCACTGCTGGACGTAGTAGCTTAAGTCCGGTTGTCAGGTAGGTCCGAGAGGAGGTTAAGACGTCCGGATATTATTACCACAGCCCGGGGACCATGACCATATGTAGGTAATTGATGAAGAATTTAGGTTAGGGATGGAAACTGTCTGTTTACATACCTACCTATATATTAATGCAGGGGTGGACATCTTCAATAGCCTTTCTCCTTTGTATATGTAGTAGAGTAGAGTGAGTGGAGCACGAGCTGAAGGATTACGTGTTCTCGGTATTTCAGCTTGTCTTAACATTCTCTAATCCAGTAACCTGGGTACCTAATCCAGCATTAGCTCCGTAACTATGTACAATATATAACCCTAACTAACCTACCTAGGTTACCTACACATATAAATATAAATACCTAGGTACCTATACATAGTATAAGCGCGGCAATCCCCCGTAACTACCTTAACTCCAGCCGTGGCCCCGGCCTAGTATCAAGGCGAACATGTCCGGGACCGAACATATGAGACGTCCGTCCACTCAGAAACCACGCCATGTCCAAGTCTCCCGTGTCTCACCGCCACCCAACTCATTCATTTGTGCTTCACAAGGTAGGCAGTCTCATTAATTCTGCCGCGAGATAGTTATACTACATGAGAAGCACCATTTATATAAGACATCAAAGTCTTTTGCACAACCCCGTCATAAATTCAATTGACTAGCTTGAATACGTAGACGGATACCAGATCGATGCTATCAGGACCAAGCCATTTCTGTTAAGCTTCTAAACCGTGGGCCATCCGCTCTAATATTTATTTATCGCGGCCTCCTTGTCATCTAAAATAACTTGCCTCAGCCTTGCAACCCCTGCTTAGTAAAAAATTGAGTATATATGACACAATCGTACACCTTCAAGAACGCTGCTGGGACAGCGGTTAGCATATCGTGTAGTCCATAAGATTCTGTTATAGACTGCCGTCTCTGAATAAGACCCCTCTTAGATATGCTTATTAGCTTTTAGGCTGTCAATCCTAGGTTTCTTACCCCCGAGGCGTCGGCTCGAGCCTGCATCAAAAGGACTATTGGACTCTGATCATCCTAGCTCGTAGAATATTCTCGTTTCCTAAGGGTGGTTATAGCCCAGGTCAGCGGCCGCCCTTCATAGCAGCTCGGCGTCTCATCTTGTCAGCTACTGCCTTCAGTGCCAACTTGACCTCTTTCTGCCCGTCCCAAGACTCGATATCATAATATACGGGGGCAAGTTCCTACAACCATTTAGTTAATTACCCGGACTTCATTTACATATATATAGTATTGACTTACCAAGAGCCACTCCGGCTTGATTCCGGTGACTGTTCGGATATAATGTTTAGATGTCATGACAAATTCGTTGTAGAGAACCCAGTCGTATTCTGTCTGGAGCACGGTGCTCGGGTGCAGCATCACTTGTTGGCTGTTGTCTTTCAGGGTGCGGTATACCCTATCCTTCTCCTTTTTGGCCACTTGCATGAAGAAGCCGGTGACAAGCGCGCGACGAATGTTAATGTAGTAATTTTTATCGTTGAAGTCTGTGCTGACCAGGTCCAGGCCTTGCGTTTCCATAATACGCTTGAGTTGAGCACGGACGTTATCCGCGCTAGAAAGGTGACGGAACGACAGATAGTGCTTGTGGCACCATGTCCTCGCATCTTCGCTGCGGTTCAAGACCCCCTTAAAAGCGTGGTATACATTTAGCATAGTTAAATGATCACCGTCGGGATGCTTGAACAAATTCTTCATTTCATCAGCTTCTCGCCTCTTTTGAGCTGGGCGCACGAAGATCTGAGGCACCGAGAGCAGTGCAGTAATCGAGAGCATTTCATTCGAACAGTAGAACTCAGGGCTCGAAATGAGCATGACGGCTAAACTGGGATCTAGGGGAAACTCGGATGCTAAACCGCCAAGAGCTGTTAGTTCCCCTTCGTCGTCGAGGCACCTAAGATAGTTAAGTTCCTCGAGAGCTCGCATCATGGTCTCGGGAGCAGGAGGGTCCATGAGATCGAAATGCACCAGATCTACAACACCAAGCTTCTTGAGCTCGAGCACGGTGTTCGCAAGGTTAGATCGAAGAATTTCTGGATATGTCTGCTCAATCAGCTCATCTTTAAACGCCTTTTCCGTATAGAGCCGGAAACACTTTCCAGGCTTTGTTCGACCAGCACGACCAGCTCGCTGCTGAGCAGAAGCCTTGGAGATGGGAGACACCAAAAGCGACTCAACTCGTAATCGAGGGTTATAGATCTTCTGTTTACTGAAACCAGGGTCGACAACATAGACGATACCGTCGATTGTCAAACTTGTCTCGGCAATATTTGTTGATACGATGCACTTGCGACCAGGCCTGCCACCTTTTTTGAGCGGAGGGGGTGCTGGGTCGAAGATTTTCTGCTGCTGGTGTGGAGGGAGCGTACCATAAAGGGGATAGACCGTCATCGGTCCGCAATCAGTTTCCCTCACAAGCTCGTCGACCTCGAGGGAGATCTTCCTACATGTATCCTCGATCTCTTCCTCGCCGGTAAGAAATAGGAGAATGTCCCCTTCGCCCTCACCAGCATGGATTTGAAGCACAGTACGTATCGCACCCTCTACGTAATCCTTCTCGGGCTCGGGTGTGTAGAAAATCTCGACAGGGAATGTTCGACCTGGGACAGCGAGCAAGGGCGCATCGAAGAAATACCGTTGGAACTTCTGCGCATCTAGCGTGGCAGACATGACAATAAGCTTGAGGTCGGACCTGCGCCTGGTGATCTGCTTTAAAAGTGCCATAAGTATGTCGGTAGCGAGGGTACGCTCGTGCGCTTCGTCCAAAATGATACAGCTATATCGTGACATGTCGTGGTCGTGCATCGCCTCCCTCAACAACATACCATCGGTCATGTACTTAAGCATCGTCTTGGAACTCGTCTTATCTTCGAAACGGATACTATAACCGACCTCCTCTCCTAGGGTAACGTCAAGCTCGTTGGCGACACGTTGGGCAACAGACATGGCGGCGACTCGTCGGGGTTGCGTACAGGCAACCAGCTTTCGATTAAGATGTGGTAGTTCGTCATAAACGACATATTGAGGAATTTGCGTCGTTTTACCAGAACCGGTCTCGCCGACGAACACCAGTATTTGCGATTTATGATATAGATCGAGAAACTCTTGTCTACAGCAGGCGCATTAGTATAGGACCGCAAAAAGGTAAAGGATGTAAGGGTGTAAAGGATCAAAACAAACTACTGGAAGCAAGTTTACCTTTGCTTATGAACGGGGAGGTTGCGCCTCGACTTCAATATGTTAAAATACTGTTGTGAGTGCGGTTCTCCCGTAAAAGGGTTATTGTCGCCATCCTCAGCTTCGGATGCTTGTTTGGCTGTTGTCTTTCGTTGTTCGAAATGCGCCAGAGGAGAACCCTTTGGCAGTCTATCGCTAAACCCGGAGCCGTTTCCGTTGTAATTGTTATCCCAGCCGTCATTACCATTACTCCAATGTGCAAGGTATTTGTTGTATTCGGCCGGTTTCGAATCGCCGCCCTCTTTTGTTTTAACGCGCTTCATAGGCGTCTCAGCATCTGGACTACTCAGGCGCTTCTTGTCATTCTGCGAACCTTTTCCATTTGATTTATCAGCCATCGCTACTACTTTTTCTGCTGATGAATGTAAGGATATGTCGCTGTATGTCCGAGAGGGTCGATGCTGTCGCAATGGGTGGCTGTTAGGACAAGGCTGAAGAAAAAAAAAAAAGGGCAGAAAGGCAGAAAGCTAGAGGTCAATGATTTTTATTTTTGGTTAAAACGTTCTTAGCCCCACTTGTCCGTGCCTCTTGCCCCAAAATGATACCGTCTAACCGCGCATTCATTCATTTAAACAAAATTTCATACTTTCTATATGCATCTATGAATGCATAGAAATATATAATTCAAGTATAACGGTAATATTTGCGGATGGTACTTTAAATAAATTAAGGCAACAAGTATCTAGGTAGCAACATGAACAATTGTAGTTCATAATGTATTATACATACACTTGGTTGTACAGCCATCCGAAATCATCGCAATCGAATCTCTCAAGGAAGGAGTCCTACAGATCTCAAGAAGTGACTCGTCGCCTAGCCATAGTATACATCCATCCGTCCAACTCCTTGAATCCCCCCCGCCTAACCACATATAAATCTCCTTCGTATACATGAACGGAGGAGTACGAAATCAAAACATTCCCCTTTCATGAGCCCTATGCCCGAGAAATAAAACAAGCCTATGTAGGCGCTAAGTCTAACCGTGAGATGATCATCTGCCGGAGGTTGAGCAAGATGCCATCTAATCAACGCCAAACTCCACAGAACGGCACGTGCCGTCCCTGGGACCATTATTTCATGGTTTCGTTATGCTCGTGTCTTGTTCGCCACATTCCTTATGCTACTTTCTCGGATCGGTAATCTCAATATTCTCATTTGCGGTATTACAGTGCGTGCTACTGATCCGCCGGGCATCTCTGATAATGCTCTCAATCAATTCCATGGAATCGTCTGGTACTTCCGGAAGGTCACTTGTGTCCACTGCTATCGAAGGTACAAGTGCCGAGGCTATAGGGGTCGTGGTATATCTTCCTGGTGATGATACTGACTCTGCTGCGCTTGGCTGTTGTATAGCTGTGGCGGCTGATAACCGTTGTATGTCTGCTGGTCGTACGTCACGTACCGAAACTGTTCGTGACTCGTCTGGCTGAGGCTGCTGCTGTTAGGCACTGTCTGCGGGAACTTCTGCCAAAAAGGTCCGCTTACATTGCTGGGCTGGGGCCCTGGACTTTCTATGTGCCTCGGAATTCCGGATCCGTCGTTCATCGACGGGCCCGGCGCATTTGGGTTAATAGTCGGGGTGGCTATGGTTGGTGTCATAGAACGAGATGGGTGTTCCGTTGGGAAATATTGAGGCTGAACCGGAACCTGTGACTTACGTAGTGTTTCCCACGGTCGAGGAGGTGGTATATAAGTCTGCCTAGGTGGTAGACTTGGTGTCCTTGCTAGAGCATTTGAGCTTGTCGACGGGGGCAGTTTCTGGCCCATAGTGGCCATATTCGATGGTGAGGGGGTATCTACCTTGGGCTGTGATGAGTTGGGGTTTGGAGCTGAGATGATCATTGGCGAGGTGACCGAAGCGACCTGAGAAGATAGTATTGGCGTCGAAGGTGATTGCTGGTTTAGCATGGCTTGGTGTGCTTGAACGGTAGTTTGCTCGTTGCGGGCCTCGAAGTTTCTCGTCTGTAACAATGCGGCATATTGGGCTCGGATTGCTGGATGTAGTTGTGTTATAGGTCCTTCACTTAAATACAAGGAATCTACGACACGTGTCGGTGTTTGTTGAACTTCTAGCCGTCCGGTTGATGCTATATGTGTCGCTGGCAGTGTCACTTTCTGTGTTGCAAGTGGAGTAGGAGAATCAGATGTTGGTAGACCAGCCGATGAGCGAGCTGGGCCAGAGTTACCCGTGTATGGCGCTGGGCTAGGAGTACCATTGTTCGGGATACCATTACTAAAAGGAATCTGGCGAGTAGAGAGTGGGCCAGGAGTACCGCTGCTGAAGCCAGATGATCGCCTTCTAATCTCAAAAAGCGCTTCAGGCGATCTCATCAGATGAGCTCGAAGGTTACCCTCATAACCGTTGGTAAAGCCACCCCAATTGGCGTAAGGTGTCCTATACTTGGTAGAATCCCTAAATGATTATTAGCACAGAACTGAATCGCGGGAAATTTGACTGCTATACCTGTTATGATGAACCTGGAAAAAGGCATATCTCTGAACAATGCTTGGTCGCGCTTGCTTAGGGGCATTGCATTGCGGAGGAATCTTGGCTTCTCCCACAGTCCCTTGAGCGGATGCAGAAGATGGTCGAATAGCAGACGATGTCATCGGCGTGTCGAATGAACGGTTAGATGCCAGCGATCCAGACCTAGCTCTAGCTTGGGCCTGGAACAGTTGGCCGTTTTGCGGTGACGGCGAGGGCCCAAGGCCGGGAGGTTGCGTGAACCCATGGCTAAAGGGTGATTTGGCGGTAGAATCAATTCGGCTACCCCCGTACGAGAACGGCGGCGTCCTAAATCGATTATCTGAACCGAACGCCAAAGACTGACCATTGAGTGAAGACCGGTTCCGAGTGTGTCCGCCTTGCGGAGGTGTTGGTCGAGGTATGGGAGCTGACCTTGATATAACATGTTGGGCGGAGGATTGTCTGTTATGTTGTGGTGTAGCAACTGGCTGTTGTGGAGTTTGCTGGGGAATAAATTGTCCGCTTTGCTGATCTGGAGAAGTTTGTTGACGAATAGATTGCTGTGGAGGGTAATGATTGATGAACTGGGGGGTGTAGACCGGCTTCTGGATATTATGCTGTGGTGTATACGGCCCTTTTTGTTGCAGAATAGGTGGCGTAGGCGCTGGTTTTGGTACAGACTGCTGCGGAGTACGCTGTAAGGTCTGTTCGGGGGCAGGAACCAGCTTCGACGCTGTGCTTTGTGGGGGATAGAATGGTGGCCTTGGGATGTATTGCTGTGTCGTGAAGGGAGAAGGCTTCGGAACGAACTGTTGGGTCGCAAATGAAGAATGGACATAGGAAGGAATAATAGGATCCCTTGGCTTATACTGGTATGGCTTCTCAGGTTTCGCTCCTGTTGTGGTCAGAGTCTGTACCGAAAACGTGGATCCATATGACTTTCGGGGTTGAGCTGTAGGCGGAGCCGGTCGAGGAACAGTTTCTAAAAAGTTACTCTTAGGGTTGTGTCTAGGATTCTTCGGATCTTCTGTGTACTGAGCACGCGCTTCCGTCGATGTTCTACCAAGGTAATACCAAATCTGATTATCCTTGGACAGATCCACTTTAGCTTGGAACTTGTTCGAGCAATCACACGAGTTGAATTCGGACCAGGTGAATCCTTCGACAAACGGTGCATCTGCGCGTGGAAGCTCCTCCGTGACTCGCTTTGTGGCATTGATCTGATCCTTAGCCTTACGTGACGTTGGCATGGGAATAGCATTCGCAGACGCTTTCGGTAAATGGAAGTCGGCTGGATCTGGAAGGAGAAGCCATTTCCATTCAACTTCAACACGTTCCCTAGAAAAAGTTAGCGACAAGCTTCTGCTAATGTGGCTATATGTTTCGCACCCGTTGGGAATAATGTCGACAAGGAGCGTCTGTTCGTCAGCTCGGTTCTCAACGACAACACCTGCGAAGATATCCCCGCGGTAATACTGCAATTGGCATATGTCCCCTTTTTTGAGAGCAGCCGCCGCTTGGCGGGTCTTCTGACATTCTTCCAACCCATCCCCATCCAACTTCTTATCTCTCTTGGTCCTGTGGAAACGACAGCTAAATTCGAAGGCTTGTTCCTTGTATTCGGTTCCATCCTCGCCGAATATAGGAACGTCTGCCTCTTCTACCAAGACTCCAGCTGCTGCGGCACAAGTTGCATGGTAGGAGCGGGCGCATTTCTTCTGGGAACACTGGAAACAAGCACCCCTCTTAGAGCGGCAATACAGGCACTTCAATTCTAGGCGAGTTTTGCTGAGGTTTTCGACATTGGCGACGACTTCTTTCCCTTCAACTGTTTCAACCCAGGTTTCGGGTCCGTATAGTGCGCAGATCCTATGGGCTTTGCGACCATCGCTTGTCGGTAAAACCTCCTGTCCTGGTATGTCGTGGGGACACAGGCAACACGGCGGTTCAACGTGGTTCTTGACACGGAGTCGTATCTTCTTGGCCTTCTGCTTCTCTCCTTTATCTGCCGCCGGACGTTTACGTTTACGCCCAGGCTGCTTAAATCTCACAGCATTAGACGAAGGCGGTGTCGGTACACCATTATCGAGGTCATCATCATCTTCGTCCTCATCCTCATCCTCTTCATCCTCCGTTTCTTCATAGTCTGTCTCTTCTCCTCTCAATTTACGCTCGATCTCATACACGTCGACCCAAACGCTATCTTGCGCTTGAGCACATTCACATCTCTTGGCGATCTTTCCCATCGGCAACCAGGAATCCAAGGCAAAGTTTACAGCCTCGGCACAGTTATAGCCCAAATTATACCCCGAGTGATAACCATACGGATAAGTGACAACAAATTCCCCCGGGTAGGAGACGCACTTATTGACTTTGATATTGTAGAAATTCGCCAAATGGTTTGGCGAGATTAGAAAAGCCTTGTGTCGTAGAAATTGGTCGCAGGCCTTCGCGTCTGTTGGCCAGATGCTCTTCATCGCAGCTTCGAACCGGCGCGCATCGCCTTGAGAAATACTGTACCACTGCTTCGGAGCACCAAAGTGTAGGTAGTTGATACTGTATAGATCGACATCTTCAAGATGCCATGCGAAAGTCGCCTTCCACATACCGAGGTAAAGATATGCCGTGTTAACGCCCGGCACCTTGGTACCCAAGACGTCAAGGAGGTTCGGGAGCTTATTAAGATTCCAAGTATCGCATTCGTCATCGAAAAGTGTTCCGGGAAGATCAGCACCGTAAAGTGGCTGTGCATATGTAAGAGTTTTCCAGTATATGCGCTCAAGCTCCTCACACCTATCAGGTGTATAGTCGGAGATGTCCATACGGTAATCGAAGTCCTTGAAGGCTTCCTCATCGATCCTAGCTGATGCCTCTCGCCTCGAGAACTTCCTCCGCGCTGATGTAGATTGTAACTTAGGTTTGGCCTGTCTAGCGCCACCCATCCGACCAACAACCGGGGGACCGTCGTCGTCATCATCTACCTCAGCACCCGGGTCCTGCTCTACGGACTCAACAATCTCTTCGTTCGGTTTTGGCGAGACAGGTGTCATCGGTCGGTCTTCTTGGTCTACCTTGTCTTTTGCTGCACCTCGCTTACCTCGACCCCTAGTCGATCGACGTCTCTTAGAATCGGTGGCACTTGAGGACGAAGCTGGTTTCGGTTTAGACGGTGCCTGTGCACGCCTCTCACCTCGTTTAGCAGGAGGCTGGTGTTCACTTTGGTCGCAGAGCTGTCGCCACTGTGGAATATTGTAGGATCTCTGGTGGAGAATGTTGACTTGTCGATAGGTTCCATTGGAACCCATGATATCCTGTTTGATAGGTTCCCTAACTTTGATTTGCTTGATCATATCATCCAGAGGAGGACGTTTGTCTGCCCATTCCTTGGGCGGGATGATCTTAATAATGCCAGACTTCATCCCGTAACAATCGACTTTTGTCATCTAAAAGTGTAAGAGTTAGCAATGTCAGGATCGGATGAGAAATAAAGGGATGAGAGTAGGGGTATAACCATACGAATTTCTTAAAATCCTTGAACTGGTGCATGTTTGGTTTGAAGACAGGAACAGTACCAGACCAATGGTCAGGAATGACCTCCCCGATATCTTCCTCTTCCTCTTGCTTAACGTCTTGATCATCATTTGCAGGTTCAAGTGGTGGAGCAGGAGGAGACGGGTTGATATGCAAGTGCATGTCTATGTCCATGTCCATGAACGAGGGATCGTCGAGATCACTCAATTCGGAATCGTCGCTACCGTCCAACTTCATTGCGCTGTTACTATCGGGCGGTGAGTGGAGGCCGGTGGCTTTATTGTTGAGTGCATCATTGCTAGGTTGGTCACTTGCGACCTCGATCTCAACCATCTCTTTCTCGGGCGCAGACGCCATCGCGGCGGTCGCTTCGGCGGACATGACAATTGGTGGCTACATGCGACCGATGGATTCAACGTAATGCTATTCCCATCGGTCTTCGTTGAGACGTCTTTTACTAGCTGCAATTATTCCTGATTAATTCGTTCAGAGTGTTGAAGGCAGAATGGTAGGAAAAAAAGAAATATAATGGTCGGCGGAATTGTAAAGCTAGGTACAGTTGACTCCTTGTTAGATGAATGGTCGAAATGAAGTCGGTAGGTGTCGGTCGTAGCACTGCACTGTGGAGGTGTGGGATGCAACTGCTAAGTGGTGTGTATCAAAGCTTTTCCCTTCCAGGCTCTAACGAACCCCGGTTAATCTTCGGCTGGCAGTCGCAATGGTGCGTTGGTGGTACGTTTTGCCTTCTCAGTTGCCTTACGGGGGTCGTGTTGGGGTGGATAATTTGGGGGGTGCGGAGGCCTTGGACAAGCTGAGGGGATTAACTAAGGAAAGAACTGCCTTATCTATGTCATATTATGCCTTGCGAACAAGATACGATTGAGGAAAGAAATAATAACTAGGTGAGTACCTACTTCTTAGACTTTGCAGAAATGGTTGAAGAATAAAATCCGATAGCTGCACTGACGTACCCGATAGCTACTACCAGGTTAGTTGAAATGGATTATGTACGAAGTATAACTTTTAATAGGTACTGTAACCTAGTGTACTATGTAGTGCGGACATGTTCGTGGGTTATACAGTTATTAAATTTAGAGGCTTGCACTGTCTTCATATCTGGGAAGTACTTGCATGTACCTTTGTATTTCGTATCCTAGAAAGATCTTTCCGGTTTAACGTTATCTGATGCTGCAGCACGGGCCTATGGGCCTATGTATGGGCATTCTTTTTCGAGGTCGGAAATCGGGATCTAAGAACTACAGCATCTATGAGGAGATCATCTTGAAGAGCCTCTTCCTTACTCGGTAAGTTACCTAGGTACCTAGTACATATATATTAATCTAGATCAAGCCCCGCCGCCTTTATTCTCAATGGACAGTTTCTTCCATTTTTGCACGTATTCCGCCTCCTATCTCCACAACAATTATGGAATGTACATAGGTAGGTAATAAGAAGGTGGAAAGGACACTCGCATGGCTTGTTAATGCACGTCAGGGCTATGTCATCATTCGCCCAGAATTAAATAGGATAAACTCTCAATATGAGAGACCGGTTAAGCGATCTAGTTCCTAAATTAGCATCGCTTTACTTGCAATCATTATATTATGTTAAGAGGCTTCGAGAAAACAATTATTTCATCGGAAATAACTTGCAACAGTTTAAAATACGGAGTTTAAGTATTGGAGACTAGTATAGGTAGAAAGCGGAGGCTGTTTATAATGATTGAATTTTTTTGCATGATGTCAATGATGTGATTATTTCTTTTTGGTAAAAATTTATTTCCTTTCATAATTGTGAGCCAATCGAGTAACAAAAGTAGAAAATGAATGAAAAAAGAGCAAGGCCTTCTATTTACTCGCATGTGAATCGAAAATGTGTATTTCATTTTTCTATTATGTCAAAAATGAGTGGAGAAAACTTAGGTTCATAGAAAGTCCATCATTGTAAAGTTTTATCAGTCAGTCACTCACTCACTCAGGTCTTGGCTCAAGATTTCTTCTTCACAATTAATTTTCCCGTCTCTTTCACCAAATTTTTATACCAAGTCATAAGTTATATTTCGCAATTTTATTTATTTAGCGCATTGTTATTATAATCGTGATAATCTTAAAAGGATAATAATATACAAGTAGCAATAAACATGACCACTTAGCCTTAACGCCACCAAGTCATGCTAAATTCATATAATACATAAGAGCTAAGACGCTTTTGTTTTATCTTTCATGTTTCTTTATGAAACTCTGTCATTTCACGTATGCCCCTCAAGGTTCTTCGCTGTGCAGCAAAGACCCTTAGGTCAGTTGGTCCTCTCTTTCTAGCTCACCAGTTCGGGTCTCTATTCATCTGCTAATACGCTTCATGGAAATAATACGGTTAATTTTAAACCTGCTTAAGATACCTAATTATGAGTTTTTTTTTATCTAGTTACATCTTACTAAACTCCGTTTCTCGGGTCCTGAATTGCTTAATTTTAGATTTGCCCATCTAGTAGCCCCTCGCGATTTTATCAGGGACTATAATAATGATGCCGCTTTTACTTCTGTACATCCTGCGATCTTTAGTTAAGGTATTTTTGAGGCACGCATGATTAGCACTCTCTAATCGCGAATAGTTACACACAATCGTAGCCTGTCCAATGAAATGTATAGATGATCTGTAGGACTTCCTCGTGTAGGGTAAGACTGCATACACGCACCTTTACCGCGGTCGAGAGTCCAAAAACGAGCAATAGTTCTATTATATAATACATATAGGTATGACGCCCTTTGACATTAGATGCTCGTATATTACGAAAATCGCAACTTAATCCGAACTCTGTCTCCATCTACGACTACGTCATAGATGCATAACTACCAAGGAAATGATTACTATGTTCGTCCTTGAATTTATTTGTTACCAAAACGCCTCATGCAGATGACGTACAATAGTTTAAAGTCCGTACGAGAATAGTTCCACTGTTAGTTATTTCGTTTTTTCTAACTGCTATAGCCTGAAAACATCGATAACACGTAGGTGCTCTTCAATACATGAACCATAAGATAATATGCCCAGTTACTCATTGTCATTCGCGATGCAACTCCCAGATAGTGTTTTACAAAGGTATACAATCCCAGAGAAAACAAAATGCATTCTCAAACTCCTTGGAGCTAGGAATCAGGTCTTATCCACGAGGTACTATCCAGTGCTCTAGAAACAAGATGCTATGAACCCATTGCTCGCGTATGACGCTTGGAAAATAAGAAAGGAGGTATCATAATGTCATCGACAGGCCATTCGTGTTCGTGAGAAGGGGCGCATGACTTCGATCTTTCAAGTAGGGAGCATAACTGAAATTAAAGAAATTTGTCTTGCTGAGCCTTTCATTACTAGAATGGAGCACAGCTGAAGGCACCTCGAACTTTGCCCTTGCTATATCCGTCAATCTATAAGGCGTTAGTTAATGGTCCAAAAGAAATAGATGATAATAAGCCGTGAGACTAGTGACTTACGATGTCGACAATGCTAGCGTACGTGCCACCAACTAGTACAATCATCCCGATAATAAATACCAAGCCGTTGAGAATACTCTTTAGAATGTTTTCTTTTGCGTACCACTTGCCCTGCTTGATGAGCATAAACCAGAAAACAGCAGGGAAGTAAAATGTAAACCCGGAGATGAACAGCGCCGAAGAGATGGCCAGGAGATCGGAAAAGAAGGGGATGGCCTCGGCGATAACCCACGCAATGAGAGTAATGAACGTGATGAGCGCCAGCCACGTGCTCCAGCCTTTGGTGGTATTGATGAAACGAGTGACCGAGTCCTTGTAAACACGACCGTGAATATATCGGCCTACGACGGTACCGTTGATGGATCCGGAGATGAAGATGACGGGTAGAGCAATACCGAAGGCTATCTTGGAAACCAAGTCTCCAGCCGACAGGAGAGAAGGGGACTTGACATCTTGACCGACGAAGCAGAAGATCAATGCTCCGGTCAGTGTGTAAATCACGATCTCAATCAGGCCGAGCGCCCAGATGGATTTAACGAAATGCTTAGGGGTGTGCATTTCATCCATGAACGAGAACTGGCAGATGGCAAAGCTGTAGGCAAAGACGATATTTGTAATGGCAATGAAAGCCTCAGTGAAGGTCATGTTCTCCTTCGGCCACGCGGACCAATCAGAGGGGACCCCAGCATCTGTCCGTTGCACACCCGTCGCAATAATCGTGACGAAGATAGCGGCCATGATAGAAACAAAGTCAATGTAACCCAGAATGGCTACTTCGGCAAAAGAGGGCGGGATAGCGAGAAGCAGGAGAATGATGGCTGAGACAACACCGAAAACCAACGAACAGGCGCCATTGTTGGTAATGTTCATGAAAGCGATAGTACCCGTGAGACAGTGAGATCCGACAAGGAATACCAGTTGCAACACGAACATCCCGCCGATTAGTTCATACCCAAATTTACCCATTATCAGACGACCGGCATCTGCGTAGTGCTGTACTTCCGGGAACTTTAGTTTGACCTGGCCGACGACATAACTGGTGTAGATGGCAATGAGACCCAGGCCAACACTCAAGATGACGCCAGCCACCATTCCTAAGGTAGCGAATGCTGCAGGCATGCTCAGACTGCCGAGGGCGATGGCCTCTACGATGAGCACTACTGTGAGTCGCTTCCATCCTAACCTTTTGAAGTGAGCGTTGCCCAAGGCTACTTTTTGCGCCTCGAATGCCGAGATGTCGCTGACTTGACCAACCACCTCAGTGCTGGACCCCAGCTCTTGCCCCGAAGGCGAGTCCGAATCGAACATCTTCTCGTTCTTCGTATCCGCCATCTTGTCTGCTACCGTGTCCGTGAGATCTAGCTAACCGTCGTGTCGTCCTAGATGTAGTTGTCGTTGGCACAGATGATACCCGTAGGTGATGGCTGAGGGCGGAGGGCGGAGGGCGGAGGGCAAGGTTGATGGCGTGAGAGTTCCGTCCAGAGAAGCAGAGCGCCCGGGTGAAGAATCAAAGCCAAAACTCTAAAACGCGCGGGCTCCTAGGATTTATTATGTATGTATAAAAGACCGAGGAACGAACTGCACTAGGCAAGTAGTCAGGCGGGTAAATATTGACTTCCACCGAGAAACCATGTTCGTATACGAACCATCCATGGGCACAGATGGGGTTGCCACATTGTGGACATGGACCAGTATACATAGCCCAGTAGACCAATCACGCCGGCGTTTCCGGCCATCTTTGTGACGAAAGCCCTAATGATCGACGAGATTACATTACGTTTCGCGGTCGAGATGGTGGCTCAGTCCCCAACAGCGGTCGACATACCAGGATACCGAGAGGTGGTCCTAGTGTCTCGCGTGGTTAAGCAGTGATGACGGACCCCGTAATAATCAAAGCACCGTAACCTTCCAATATGGGGGTTCTCTTATTCGCCCATGCGAAAAAATAAAAATAAATCATTCGCCAAGGTTGCCCTCGGCCAGCTACCGACGCTAGTACCTTGAACCATGGACGTCACCACCATGACCATCCGGGTCTAAGCATTAAGCATGCCAGTATATCCGTGGACCTTCTAGAAAAATAAGAGATTTCTTAGTCTTGCCGATCCAGGCACTCGGAGATATTCTATTGGTCAGCCTGGATCCGCTTGCGGCGACTCCTTCACCGCCGACACAGGCGCCGAAGCAAATTTTTTTTTTTTTAAAGAAGAAAAAAGTTGAAATGTCTGAGACACCATCCTTTTCCGTTTTGCTCTCGTACCCATTGTTAGCAGTTCGTCCAGAACCGGACTCGAAATGTATCTCCTCCACATCGAGGCTCACGGTTGTGGCTTACGCCGCATTCCTAACCCCCTCACACCACTTTCATTTAAACCCGCTCTGAGTGGCAGACTGAGCTGAGTGGTAATGTTGTATGTGTTATGTCATCGTTTGATTCTGCGACTCGAGATCCCAGGGCCATTGTGGAGGGTTACACCACGCATGGAGCCGCTTAATCCGATTGTCTCATGAGTCTGAAGTTCGAGAGGGGGTATGTAAACCCAGGTATTCTCCAGATTGCACTGTAGAATTTCGGAAACGATCGGGTCAAAATATAGGAATGCAAGTAAGAGAGTTGCGCCTCGAAGCTTTGATGGTTCTTTCATCATACAATACATAAAAACACCGACAAGTAAGTCGATGATGGCCATAAACGGAAACGAGAATCCTCGGACCGATGACACGCAGCATTCAAGTAAGACATAAATACAATGCCATTGCTCAGATGATTATGTTGGTAGGCTGTAGGAGGCGACATACGTAAGAGATACGATGGGTACAATGTATGTAAACATGTCGAAAAGGGTCTCCGCTTGTAGCCTATCTTTCTACATAATCTCTTTCTAATCTCATTCCATAATACATACGGAGTAACTGGGGCTACTCCCTCTGCATATCATACTGGTGGCTGGCTAGGCAGATGGGGCGATATCTACATTATTTATGCATCCGTAACGTCTTAACCCAGATCTATGTAGATATAGTTATACAGGGAATTATGTGGGCGTTAATCTAAAATGAAGGGCATTGTCTCTTATTAAATCCGAGCTTCTTCTTGGCGAGAACATCTCCGATATGTACCTACATAAGAATCCACATGCCCCATCGTCGGTCACTACGAAGGATTTGTTGTGCGCTAATATCATTTATTTGCTGTTCCATGTATGGTAAAGTTAATGATCTTTTAGGAAATATACCTTCCTGTTCGCTTAGCCATCGACTCTTAAACAAGGCGTGCAAACTCAATGCGGACGTATATCCTGGTAGCTTTGAGGGGCCACCATTGTGGGGAAATACGACACAGACAACGCCGGCCAGGGCTACGCGCCTCACGAAGATACCTATATATAGGTAAATACAGAGATAGGATTCACCGATGCATGCTCCTCATCCTATTAATGATATTAGTAGTACCATTGAAGGAGTTGTTATTATAACGTGCCTACGTGGTTTCATATTTTTGCCGGGGATCTTGTCAAAGCTTATCTCAACAGTACTGGAATATCTATTGAAGAAGCTTTAGTAATAGCGACGGTAAGGGCCGCGATGTACTAATGTGGCATATTAAGCATAGGATCGCTATGAAATTCCCTTCTAGCTGATCTTAAGATTAAAACGCGCTTAGTTCGCTTGGCCTCGCCGCTACATTACATACCTAAATCGCCTACCTGGAACTATTACTTAATAACAATAGAAGTCATCCATGAAAACCAATCATTGGTATTCTGTGTTCCAATCTAGCAGAAGTAGTTTTCAGGTCATAGTTTTCAGGACACATCGAACAGAGGCGGGTCCATCTCTAAACCTGCAAGCCGCTCATGATATGGCTTCTCCACGACCAAGTGACAGCAATCTCTACTAAGTTTCTCTACTAAGTTTGCTGGTTCAGTTCTCGGGTTCTCAGTCTAAGAGATTCTATGCAGGATGCAAGGCGTGGGGGTAGCCCTAGATAACGGCCATAGGTAAGACAGTTTAAACAGTCTTGAAATTCTTCTTTACCATCGGGGCCAATGCGTCAGTGGTTCCATAATCGTGAGGTTTATAAACTAATAGAGAGCTAGAGAATACGCTTCGGTGTCGAATAGAGCTATCCGCATAGTGGTTCCGGGTGGAGAGATGAGTTACATCGCGGTATGGATGCACAGTCATATTTTTCCGTAAGAGAATTTCCTTTCGGTCGAAGCACGCCATTAAAAAAAAAAAAAAACCATGTAAACGCATTCGGATTTCTTGCTTGGTGTGTGTCACTTCTTTCCCGTTTACAACTACTCGTCTTTTACTGTTAGTCAGAGCTCCTTGGCATTAAAATAAATGATAGGCTGGCCGGTCTTGCTAAGCATCGGGCGGCAATACGGATCCGGATAGAAAAGAGACAACCGCCAAGGACCGTCTTTCGGCCACTAGTACACATTTGTACGGTTGCGATCAGTTTCGATGAGTTGACTTTGTATTGAGTGAGGCCACTCCTATCTATCTAACCTTGGCGGATATTCCACGCAGAACTTACCCGACATGGTGGGAGTGAAGAAACCAGTAGACTTATATTGGCTTGGTCGTTGGAACTGAGTAAAGTAGGATATTAATAAAAAAGCGGCAAATATAGGGGCTAGACCGGTGTCATCAATTATCAATCTATCGTGTAATCAAACATGTGCTAACTTTGTAGATGATCTCCGGAACGTACGAGCGGTTTAAATAGATAATAATTATATCTTCTCTCTCTATCTCTTGCTCTATGCATCCCTAATCAACCGCGGCGGCTCTCGTCTGCCGGATAATAATGCAATACGCCGCCAAGATCCTTAAATCCGATGTCCCACGAACCCCCAAGGCCTTCCCCTAACTATCCATTTAGCCAAAGTTGATCATAGCTATCATCGCATGCGTCGCTTGGATTTTCTCAAGAAGCGATGCTTGTACTGGGAAGAACTCGCATTGTTGGTATAAAGGATGGCTTGGCCACCTATGTCGGTATTCATAGGAACCGTTAAGGGTATCAGAGGCATAGAGTTAGGCTAGAGTCTAGAGAACAGACATGGCGGGTCAACTCTTTGCGTTAGGGCTATTTACCGCCACGAGGGTTGTCGCGCAGCCAGTAGCTACCTATGACTATATCGTTGTGGGTTCAGGTCCCGGAGGCGCACCACTCGCGGCTAACCTCGCGCGAGCGGGATATCCGACGTTGCTACTAGAGGCAGGCGATGACCTGGGGAACAACAAGAACTATTCGGAGATGGCCAACTTTAACCTTGCGGCGAACGATGAGAAATCACGATGGGACTTCTTTGTCAAGCACTCTTCGGACGAGGAGCGTGAGGGCAAGTATGAGCACACGACGTGGCGCAAACCTGACGGATCTTTCTACGTTGGTCTCGACCCCCCAGAGGGATCCGAACGACTGGGTATCTATTACCCACGTTCAGCGACACTTGGAGGTTGCGCTAGTATGTAACATCAAAGTTCTTTTACCCCTGGTGATCTATCTTGAGAGTCTAGGTTTCCCGAACGAATTGATCGAGGAATACAACTTTTCTAAGAGCTCGCATGAAAGGAATGTTGACTGATATTATCAAAAGTGCACAATGGTGGTGTTTGTGCGCTTCCCTCTGAAGACGACTGGGACGCAATCGCCGAGAGCACTGGAGACGACACGTGGTTAGCGAAGAATATGCGACAGTATTTCGAGAGAATAGAGACGGCTCAATACGTACCCCCTGGAACTCCTGGGCATGGATACACTGGATACCTCAATGTCACGATTAGTGACCCTGCCTTCATGCAGCAGTCATCTGACGTGCGGGACATCGCAAGTAGTATCATTAAGGTTACTGGTGGCGATGTAACCCGGGATATTAATGCGTTGGATCCGGATCGAGACCAGTCTACGGGCGTCTTCGGGCTTGCCAGTCATGCTGATCCTACCGGACACCGCGTTGGTACTAACACTTATATCCGGGCAACTTTGGATGATCCAGCCAAGTACCCCTTAACCGTTCAGCTCCGGAGTCTCGTTACTAAGGTGCTATTTTCGGAAGATTCCGAGGAGCCAACTGCAATCGGTGTCGAAGTCCTCCGTGGCCAATCTCTGTACAAAGCCGATCCACGCTACAACGGTACCAAGGGAGAGGTGGTCCAGATATTTGCTAAGAGGGAAGTCATCGTCTCCGGAGGCGCATTCAACACGCCGCAGATACTCAAGCTTAGCGGCATCGGGCCGGCCGAAGAGCTCGAAAAGTTCAACATTCCCGTCATAAAAGACCTTCCCGGTGTGGGCGAGAAGCTAGCAGACAACTACGAGGGAGGCGTGCTGGCACTAGCTAGTAAACCTTTGAACGGGTCGTCGGGCCCAATCGCAGTACAGCTCAAGACCCCTACAGCGCGCAAGAACCGTAATATATATGCCTGGTGCAAGTCCTTCTCCTTTGAAGGGTTCTGGCCTGGCTACCCGACTGAGTATGGCCCATCACAGTACGAGTGTGCTTTCGTACATATGAACCCGCGGTCGCAGGCTGGATACGTCCACCTGCGCTCGAATGATCCGCAGGAGCCGCCGGAGATTAACTTCAACTTCTTCGAGCACGGTGGGAATGAAGATCTAACTGAGATGTTGGACGCAGCAAAGACGTTCCGGAAGGCCTGTATGTAACATCTGGGATCTCCCCTCAATCCCCTCTTAGCTTCATATCGAGGCGACTGGAACATAGCTACTTCCAAGACATGACTTAAAGCCCTTAAGCTTCCCACTAACTAGAAGAAGCACTTGCTAACTCTCATTTCCAAAGTCACGTCAGTCGGCGAGCCAATCGGGCCCTTTAATGAGAAGCACCCATGTCCAGGCATAAACCAGAACTGTACAGACGCAGCGCAGAAAGAATTCTTGAAACTGCAGACATACTCACACCACGCCTCAAGTACGTGCGGGATCGGACCCGCGGACGATAGGTTAGCAGTGTTGGACTCCAAGTTCAGGGTCCATGGCGTAAAGAACCTGCGCGTCGTTGACGCATCTTCTTTTCCCGCCGTTCCCGGTGCATTCCCGGTCTGCCCAGTCTTCAGTAAGTGAAATCTAAAATCTAAAAAACACTTTTTCAGCCTATTCCAGGGCTCGAGACCTCCAAGTAGAGTTACTTATCGAGTCCCCTGGAACATATATCAATTCCGTGAGTTCTATAAGTAGCGGTAGCAGTTGCTGACACTCAATTTTAAGTGCTCGCGGAAAAAGCAACGGATGACATTTTGAGAGACGCCAAAGCCGCTTCCCGTTCCGCATAAATCGAAAATAGGAGGTGCATGATTAGAAGGTAGAAGATAGAGGAGAGCATGGTGGATATGGATAGCAGAGAATGGAATGTATGATCGAAGAGCGAGCAGCTGATAGATGTATGTAATTTAGGCTGCTTATATTGTATTTTTTCTATAGACCATCTACCGATAGTATTGTCTTGCTTGTACTAGTAAATCTACATTATATACCACCCACCTATACTTTCTATAATATCTAAAATAAGAATTCGTAAACCCCAAAATTAGATACTTCACACTAACTTCTGTAGGGCTCCGCAGACATCGGTTGTGTGTACTCTATTTTACTAAAGGCTAGAATAGAGCCCAAGAGATGCAAGGGTATTTTATCTACCAAAAGGTATCTTTGCCATGTAGAAATTATGGAAGATGAAAGGGGAAAATCCAGCATCCTACGTCGTCTTAATCTTAGGGAATCATAAGGGACGACTAGCTGAGCTGCGGACTGGTTGGCAGGCAGCGACATGGGACATATGCTCATCCTTACAGGTGAACCTTGCCCTACATTTGCAATAATAATAAACTTCATGAATCGGCCTACGACAGCATGTAATGTGGCAGAGGTAGCTGTCCTTTCGGGGAGAGGCGTATCTACACCGGCATCGGTATACTGGATCGGTTTTCTTCCGATGGACAGTGTCCTGGTGCCGTTTCAAGTGGCTCCCCGTGCTTAAGACCTTATGGCATATTTTGCATTGATATAATGCTGTCGACGTGGGGGATTGAGGCGATCTATTGGGCAACATGTTAGCAACCTGGATAGCCGACGCCTAGATTTGCAGTCTATTCGCTGAAGCTATGACACCGTCAATAGACTGACAGCAACGTCGAGTCATCTTATAGCAACTACTAAACAAGGCAGAAATGCGGGACAATAAAGTTACTGTTATGAGTAACAAAGAATTAAAGTAAGGTTTGTTTCTGGAGTGAAGGGGTATGTTCTCAATTGCCAGAGACATGGTACATCATGTCTCGTTGGTAATTGAGGACATACCTAGTATAATTATGGACCGAATAGGGTGGCAATGGTATGATCCTAAGATAGCTCTTAGGATTCTAGAAGAAGTGTTTAAAATACTAGAGGCCTCCAGTATGTATTAGGTAGGTAGTCATAAGTCTCGTAACTTGGGGTCAAGTTCTTTGCGGAACAAAGAGTTGCTTTCACACATCCTAGGCCTATATTGTGACAATGGCCTATTCTTTTCAGGTACGAATAATCTGCAAGTCGTCATTGTTTTAACTACCGGGTAAGCTCCCCGTAGACCATAGCCTTGAATACTATGATGTTCTATAATATTACGTGGTGCTAAACTACCCACCTAGGATTTATACATGTACTAATTACTGAGGTGGCATCGCATAAATAATTTAAATCATGAAATAACTTACCATAGGAGATCTTACTGCTTTATCGGCTACTATAGTTGGCACTCTATAAAAAGCATATATTGGACCTCGGTCGAAACCTGTTACGAGGTGGAACTAAACAGTAGGGAAACAACTTCGTTGCTCCGCGAGGAAATCTACTCTATCTTTGAGAGTCTGTGTCTATACATACTGAGCATGCTCTTTGTTCTAGATGTCTCATCTAGAATCCTGACAAAACCGCAATTGACCAATCCGAACCGATACAGAACCCGAAGCCACGCGGCTCTGGGGCATTTATTAATGTACCATACGTATTAGTATATGCCGGAGGGAGGAATTCAAAGATACCGGATCCGGTGTCTCATATATGTGTCTGGCCTGTTCGTTTCTCTTGTATTTCTGCGGCCTTGAAGATGGCAGCAGCGTTCGTGCAAACGTATGCTGATTAGAATCTGCTTTGTCCCTAATCATTGTGACCCTTCGGGATGCCAGTAGAGATCTTATGCTAAAAGAGATGAATGGTATTATTGCTGATTTATTATGTTTGCTTTGGATCGATGAACCGATCGTAATGTCCACACTAAGACATTTACTGCATAGCGTAAGACGATAGATCTCGGGGACGAACGCCATAGACACTACGGAACTACGGACTTAGCAGACGTATACTATATGCATTACTACCTACCTGTGAATAGCTTCTCATCCTCTCACTAACATCGTTTCTATTCTCAGCTCATTTTCGCGCTCCAGCAAAGGCGCAATTAACTATGGGGGCCATAGAAGATATTGCAGACAACTATTCCCAAGGCCAAATGATTGGCGTTGGGGTAGCTTTCATGATATTACCCATTGTTGCCGTCGCCCTGCGGTTGTGGGCCAAGTTCCTCGGCCAAAAAGGTATCCAATTAGACGATTATTTAGTTGTCACTGCAATGGTATGTTATATCGCAAGTATACTTCTATAGAGATGTCTAATTGATTATCTGGTATAGGCTGTTGCTATTGGTTGTGCTTCGGTGCAGCTTGTAGCCGCTGTTGATGGCCAGCTCGGCCAACATCAATCAACTACTCCCGACGGACAGCCGATTCTTGACGACCCTCGATTTGCTACTTATGAGAAAGTATGTTAATAGCCAGCTTCAGAAATGAGGGTTGAGGGCTGGTACCAACGTTATATATATTATAGTGCAAATTTGCGGTGAACATCCTCTCTACTGTCGGCCTCGGATTTGTGAAATCATCCATCCTAGTCTTCTACATGAACATCTTCTTTGGCAAGCAGTTCGAGATCGCCTCAAAAATAGTGCTAGGCCTCGTTATCGGCTGGGCGGTCTCATTCTTTTTCGCTAACCTCTTCACCTGCTATCCGATAACTCCGTTCATCGAGGCCTTTTATCACAATCACTGCGTGGACGGGCTTGCGCTGTGGTACGCCATGGCCATTTCGGATATCATCACAGATGTGATTATTCTCATCATGCCGATACCCATGGTTCTCAAGTTAAATTTGCCGTGGGCTCAGAAGTTAGGTGTGTTGGCCATGTTCTTGTTAGGTGCCACGTGCGTTTTCCCTCCCACATCCCTCATCTATACGATGGTATAGCACTAATTATGCTGTAGAGTATGTGCATTCAGCCTCACCCGTGTGCTCATATATGTTCATGTGGGTGAGAGCCTGGAACTTCATTATAATGACGAGACTTGTACGATACCTTGTCTATGTAGCCCTTGTCTATGTAGCATTGCATCAGGCACCTAATGGTTCTGGTGGCTAATTTCACGCAGACTACACCTCGCCGGTCTTCTTCTGGGCTGTCATTGAGCTATCTACCGCAGTACTTAGCGCCTGTCTTCCAACTTACCGGCCAATCTGGCTCCTGCTTCGCGGCCGGCCGATTAAGTAGAGTAACTAGAGCTCTTACTATGCACGTAATCATGGTCCGAGGTACAACATGAGCGAAGCGCGAGGCTAGCTCGGCCAAGACCTGACCAGCACCGCAGCCGACATCGTGCGCGATTTCCCATCGAGATGAGTGGGCGGCATGGTGGTTGAAGATCTTATTGTAGAAAGCGGCGCTATAATGTGACCGTGTAGTCATCCCAGAACTTGGAGTCGTCGGTCGAAACACGCCAGAAGTTCTCCGAGTCTTCTTACTCTTGATGCTTGAGCGTGGTACTGCTACTGTAGTGTCTTACCCTGGTGGCCGGCCTACCCCACAGTTGATTGCCTCGGAATACCTACGGCTGGAACCCAACCGTGGCGTTCCCGGATCTTACTGTGCTCAAGCCATAAGTTTGGTCCAGTCGACATGCCACATGAAAGGTCTTCAACTTGTACCTCCTCTCTAAGGGGCATGATGTTCTTCTAGTTCTCCTGATGTTGGCTAAATCTTCCATCTCATACCTTGACAATTCTTATGGATAGTTTTCGTCGAAGGAACGAAGCCATGATGTAGGTGGTAGTATCAGGGGCAAGACGCTAAGCTACCTTAATCGAACCGATGCTAACTTATTGATAGGGAGTGAAACAGCAATATATTGGAACTAAAACTCCGGACATAGTATTCCTTAGAAGCTAAGGTACATTGTGGATTTGTGGCAGCATATGTACACTAGCTCCTATTTTCCACCATAGCGGCCGAAATCTAAGACATATCTCACCCTATATAGATTCCGTGAGGGGGCTCGTCCCACATCCAATTATGTATTCCAGATACGTTATTCTGGGTTCAACTACGTCTACTAGCTTCTAGGTAGATCAAAATGCGATATTATAGGCGAGTTCTTGGCCTCATAGCCAGTATCAGCATCTGCAACGCCAGCATAAGGGTTGCTAGGCCAATCGATGGTGACTTGAAGAAGTTACTCTCATCAGGTGCAACTATCTCTTATGGTGCCTCTACGGCGCCGCGTTGGAGCGAGTTTCATGCTCCCCAGCCTGGTACAATCGTATCGGTCGCAACTGAAACTGACGTGGAGGTGACTGTCTGTCACGCCCCGTATTACGTCGCCAAAGAGTCGCGCTGATATCGTATAGGTCCAATACTGCCTCGAGAAGAATATCCCTTTCTTCGCTCAGAATGGAGGCCACGGCTGGAGTAGCTCGTGGCACCTGGGCGAAAACGGTCTTATGATCAACCTCCGCGGCCTCAACACCGTTGTCTTTAACGATGATAAAACACAAGCGCGTATCGGAGGAGGTGCGAGCATACAAGAAGTTATAGACGCAGCATACGGCAATGATGTTCATGTTCTAACGGGGAATTGTAACTGCGTTGGATATCTCGGCGCGGGGCTTGGAGGGGGTTACGGTAACTTGATGGGTCTCTATGGCTTCAGCGTCGACAATTACTTATCCATAAACGTCGTGCTGGCAAACGGGAGCCTCGTTACCGTGGGCCCTGAGAATGAAGACCTTTGGTGGGCTCTCCGCGGCGCCGGCCCCAACTTCGGTGTCGTCACTTCTATCGTGAGTAAAACGACGCCCCTACCGCGGGAACAGAATATGGCTTGGGTAGGTGGTTTATACTTCACTGAAGATAAGGTCGAGCAGATCGCGCAGGGCATCGAGAATTTGAAGCTAGAGGCACACATGAACATCTTCCTGTACTTTATAACGTCAGGGACTCCGGACTATATGCCGACGGTACTCGTAACGGTCTTCTACTATGGCACAGAGGCGGACGGCCGTGCAGCGTTTAAGTCAATCCTGGACATTGGACCCTACACGGATACAACGGCGGTGCTGCCGCAGAACCAGTGGAACGAGGGGGCAGACGGCTTCTGTGTTAAGGGGGAGCGCAAGCCTACGTACGCCGCCGGGTTTAGCCACATGGTCCCATCAACCTGGCGTCAGACCTGGACCGCATTCACCGAGTTTCTCAAAAACCCCGACACAGGCTCTACTTCCGTTGTCGTTGAGTGCTACTCGTTGGACAAGGCGCGGTCGATCGCTTCGGACTCTGCGTCATTTCCGAATCGCGACGTCCGCTTCAACGGCTTTGTCATCGCTTGGTACCCGGACCCAGCCCTCGACAGTACGGCTGAGACGTTCGGCTCCAAGCTGCGTGACTTGTGGCGGGCGGATAGTGAGCTACCAACCAACCGCACGTAAGCATTCCTCTTCAATCTTAAATAACATCGATTTTCGCTGTTAACACTTGGCCCTAGATACGTCAATTTCGCTTACGGAGACGAAACCAACGATGTCGTTTACCATGATAGCACAACTAGACTTCGGCAGCTCAAGAAACAATATGACCCCAACAACATATTCAATCAGTGGTTTAACCTACAACGATAAGATTGTATTTTTGTGTGTTAAGGACTTTGAGGGGAATGTTTGTCCATAATAGGAGTTGATGTATTTTAAAAATAGCTTAATTTAGTGTATATATTGGTAATTGTAGATATGTATAGGGGAGAAGTATAATAATGTCGTTATATTCGGTACCTTCCTAAGATTCGTTCAAACAAACCATGATACATCTTAGGTAACTAGGTATTTAATATATCTTTTTCACATGGTTATCACCAGAGATCCATCGTTGCGCAATCAAGCACTTGCAGCGATAATATCAGCAGCTTGTTCCGCGACGCCGTACAGGCTCGCCATGGGATGTCCTCCTATAGGGCTTGGGAAAACACTGGCGTCGCAGATCCTAAGACTTTGAATACCCTTGACCCTGAGATCACCGTCCACGACCTTCCCCATGGCACAGCTACCCATAGCGTGGAAGTGAGCGACGCCGACGGCTCTAATTCTGTCCTCAATTTCACTGTCAGAGGACTCTAGCGTAAGTGGAGTGAAACTCGGCGGTGGCAACTCGGACTCGATATAGTCCTTCAAAGCTTCCGTACCAAGCATAACATTTAGTAGACGTCGCACACCGTGAATAAGAGAAACACGGTCGAGAGCGGTTGTGAAGTAGTTTGGCTCAATATGAGGGGTGGTGCTGTCGATATCTTTGGATAGCAACACACGGCCGCGACTACTAGGTAGAGTGAGCATAGTAGACGTGCAAAGTATGCTGCCGTCAGAGGGGAAGCTGGGAGCGAGGGGGTGGTAAAAGATTAGCGTTTCCACGAACACGCGACCCGGCTGTAGTAAGGCCTCGCGCTCTGTACCTACAACGCCGTCTTCGTCAAGGGCTTTCTCTAGGATATCGCGCGGAAGCCCTTCGTTGGCGCTGAAGTCACCCGGCATGCCTGCTACAAAGGCCGGGTCGGACAGGTTAGGGTGGCCTAGCACAAGCCCACGAGAAGGATCTTTGATCTTGAACCATTGGAACAAAGCAAAATGGTCAAAATATTGTTGACCGACGCTAGGAAGGGCCTGTACCAAAGGGATCTTGTTCTCAGATAAGACTGAGGGTTCTCCGATACCTGAACGAAGTAAGAGGCGTGGTGTTTGCAATGTACCCGCGGAGAGGATGGTTTCTTTCTTTGCTCTAACCGTCTGCCCATTTACTAGCTTTACACCTATCGCCTTTGGTGTCCCGTCTACTTCGAATAATATTTGCGAGACCGTAGTAGATGTCCTCACATCCACCCCTTTTAATGGATATGCGAGGTGACTAGGCCGCCTCTTTCCATCCTCCCAGATTTCGTAGTAGTCGCTTAGTCCAGCTAAGCGGTTCGCAAAGGGATCGATATTTTTCTGTAGTCCGACTTCCTTCCACGCCCTCTCTATTGGGTCGCGGAGAGGATATTTCCTGGCCGCATGACTTGCCTTGGTTGGGGTGATTTTCAACGGGCCGTCAAAGCCGTGTTTCTCGGTATTAGCACTGGTATCGTAGAAGCTTTCGGTGCGCTTGAAATAAGGTAACAAGCCAGCATAGCACCAACGGGCATCTCCGCCTAGCTTCACAGCCCAGGCATCGTAGTCCGGATCATCACCGCGCGACCACCCTCCGTAGTTAAGTACGCTACCGCCACCAAGCGTCTTGCCATGTGTTAAAGTATGTGTACGGTTCGCCGTAGACGGCGTCGCTGCAGTTTGAAATTGCCAGTCTAGAGCACCGCCTTGTAGAGCAAAGCCTCCAAAGGTTGAAACGACATCGTGTTCCGGGTCCGGGTCCTGGCCAGCTTCAAGAACCAGGATGGAAGTATTCAGCAGGGAACGTCTTAGGCGCGAAGCTAGAGCGCAGCCGCTAAGACCCCCGCCAACGATTATATAGTCTACAGTCGTTAATTCTGTCATGATTTGTTAGGAAACCTTACCTACCCGTATAGAAAATAGGAGAAAAAGAGCGACTGCAAGAGCTTATAGTATGGAAACTATGGTCTTGAGGTACAATCAGGAGTAAAATGTGAAAGGAGAGTATTATGGATTTATCACCTGAGACCCTTTGTACCGCTACGTGTATGTTAGAAAGTTTGTGTTAGACCGACGCAAGGAAGAAAAGGGAGAGGCGTAACTCCGAGCTTATAGATGGCTTATACGGATATAAGACAAAGTCAAGCTAGGTACCTAGGTACCTAAATTATGTGTACAAATATAGCCTTCGCGTGGGCGGTGAGGCTCCACTCGTGGCTAGTCCGTGCACACCTAGCATCGGATCCACACAGGTACCTGACAAGGGTCCACTTAGAGCTGATAAGATGGATAATGACGGATGTCGATAACGATAACGATAACGATAACTTTAATCTTTGCTAGCCAGGTACATTATTTTTTAATCTACGGAATACAATTCGCATCCATCACCTTTCTGGCCAGCCCCTCGCCGCCCGTATTCTATAACCTGCCTCAAGATGGGCAAGAGAAAGGTCGCAGCCCTCGAGAAGACAGAGGCAGACCTTGCCGGTCTTCAGTATAAAATTCGCAAGGATCCAGAGTATGCATACCAATCTTTCCCGCTTTGATAATGCCTTGTCTGACCCGTTCATCTATAGAGCATATGAGAAGGAGTTCATTGAGAATTGGCAACAGTTCGATGCTGCGCACGAAAAGTTTCTAGCTGCTCCCGTGGGCGCTGACTCTAACTCACTTATAACTTTTCGCGAACAGATAGATCTAAGTATGCGATCTCTACCTATTTTATATCCTTAAGCTCATGGTGTTGATAGTTGCCCATTGCGCCGAGCTGTATCCTCAGATAGCTGCGACATTCCCCGACGACCTTAAAGATGTACTTACCAAGCATCATGCTGTATTGGAACCTACCCTACGAGAGAAGATAGTATCTAGCCTTACACTACTGCGGCGCAAAGATGTTATCGACAGCAACTATCTCCTCACTACCCTATTTCCCATTCTCATCAGCACTCCCTCCAAATCCTTAAGAATGATCCTCTACCAGAAAATATTGAGCGATATACGGAACACAAATACGAAGACAAAAAATCACCGAGTAAACCGGACTATGCAAACCGTCCTCTATAACCTCGTTACTTCAGATCGCTCTTCTCCAAAAGCTTTATGGGCCGTCAAATTGGTACGGGAATTATGGCGGCGTCAAATCTGGAGTGATGCTAAAACCGTTGATATTATGCGCCAAGCTTGCCTGGCAGATAACGAGAAGGTGATTTCGGGAGGTGTAAGATTTTTCCTTGGGGGAGACAAAGAACGTGAAGAGTATGAGGACGAAAGTAGCGACGAGGAGACGATCGATATTAGAAAAGTTAAACACTCGATCGAGATCAACAAGAAGACGAAGAAATCTAAAAAGGCTCTCGACAGGGCTGTCGACAAAGTCAAGAGGCAGGACCGAAAAAAGAATGCACCACATCCGCTCAACTTTCCAGCACTGCATCTACTACAGGATCCTCAAGGCTTTAGCGAGAATTTATTCGAGAAGCACCTCCAGAATTCTAAGTCTAGGCTTTCCCTCGAGAGTAAGCTTCTCGTCTTGCAGCTCGTCACCCGTCTGGTTGGACTGCACAAGTTGACTGTTATCTCTCTTTACTCCTGGTTCATCAAGTATATATCTCCTAGACAGCAGTCGGCCTCGTCTTTCCTAGCGTCGCTCGCCCAAGGGACTCACAACCTAGTACCCCCAGATGCAATCGAGCCGTTGATACAAAAGATCGCAAACGAGTTTGTATCTGAAGCATCAGCATCGGAAGTCTGCTCTGCAGGTCTTAATGCAATCCGCGAGATATGTGCTCGACAACCGCTAGCAATGAATGAAACGTTATTGCAGGACTTGGTCGAATACAGGAAGAGCAAGGACAAGGGAGTCATGATGGCTGCAAAGGGTCTGCTTTCATTGTACCGCGAAAAGGGCGCGGATATGCTGCGGAAGAAAGATCGTGGCAAGGACGCGACCATGGGCCTCAGGAGCGGGGATTTGAAACAGCCGAAGTTCGGTGAAGAGCAAGTTGGAGAAATTGAAGGCCTCGAACTTCTAGCGAAGTGGAAAGAAGAGCAGAAGAAGCAGAAACGAGCCGAAGGAGATGTGCCAGAAGGAGCTGAAAAGGGCGAAGACGAAGAGAACGACTGGGATTCGGACGATTGGGAAGTTGCATCAACAGATAGCAGCGACTCTGGGGAATGGATTAGGGTAAGCGATTCAGAAGATGAAGCAGAACCCGAACCAGATGCCAAGAGGCAAAAGGTCAATCCAGATGACCCCGAGGAGGATGATAAAGAAAACGCAGAGAACGAGGCTATTGATTTCATAAAATTAGCCACGACCCAGATTCTTACACCCGCCGACTTGGCCAAACTTCGCGAATTACGAATGGAAGCCAATATCGATAAAGCTATGGGCAGCAGCAAGCGCAAGAAGGAGCTGGAAAGCCGACATGTCGACGAAGGATTAACAGCAGAGCATATTGAAGCGCCATCAAGGCTACGCAAGAGTACCAAGGAAGAACGAATAGCACTGGCGAAAGAAGGCAAGCCGGATCGCGAGGAGCACAAGTCTACACAGGCTATACGAAAATCTAAGAAAGAAGCCGAGGGTAAATCTTCAACTAATAAGGAGAAGGCACGCAAGAAGAACTTCATGATGACGCTAGGCAAGGCGAAATCGAAGCAGAAACGAAGTCTTGTTACCACGAGGAATATTTTGAAGAACCATATCGATAGAAGCAAATCCGGTGGCAGGAGAAGGAATGGTGTATCACGATAATCAGTCAAATAGATTAATACTTGGGCTAAGCGAGACTCATTCGCTTTTCCTGTTGCTGATGAAATTAATCTATTCAACTAATTTTCTGAGCATAAAGTATTCAATAAGGATGATACCTTTTACCTACCTTAGGTAACCTTGCTTATGTTGGATGGCGCCATCCGGTCCCCATGCAAATTGCACCGCTTTTAATCTTGAATAACACAAATGCACATCCATGAGAGGGGCCTATTTAACACCATACCATGTCATATATAATATTTGACCTATATGCTTTTGAAAAGCCATTTATGTAATAGGGTTGGAATTAACGGTTTTGGCACCCCCTTAGACGAGATACTTCGTACAAACTGCTACCCCTTTTCCAATATACCAATCTAGATCTTAACCCCGAAGCTATTTTTTCTAGATGAGTATGATATAGAAAGTCCTTGAGTTGAGTAGATATCGTGGTTGATAAGGTGATGAGCTGATTACTTGGAGATATCTTACTTGAAGAGCCATGTTATGTCACACTTCATGAACACGGGATAGCGATAAAAGAAGAAAGCGACTGCTCCCATAATTTAGGTCTAATTTTTGTAGGGGTTTCCTCAGGGGGCACGTACCAGGATAACCGTCATAAGAATCATCTATAAGACATGGGCTAATATATCCGCGAAGAGCTCTATATATACTGATTTAACCTACCCAGTTCTCCTTATGTTAATCACCCTTTTAACATAACGCTATCAAATCCAAAAACGCAAGGCAGTCATACACCGACTAGTTCTAGCAGATCGAGTGCGTCTTGCCGTGCTTGCCCTGGATCGAATGTTTTTCTTTCTATTACCTCAGGGGTTAGTATAGAATCGCGAGAAAATAAAGTGTTATAGGAATGAAAAGGGGGAAAGGAGGGAAAGGAGGGAAAGGGAGAAAAGATGCTTACGCGGAATCGAGGGTGGTTGTGTGTGGCCTGCGCGCTGTTCATGGTGTGTTTGCGGATGAATTCTTCTTGCTTGGCGATGGACTCCTTGTCTAGCTGTTCAAGCAGCTGCTGGCAGTACCGAATATCTGAGATAAGGGAGTCGCATCGGTTCTTAGTAAAGTCCTCGCGGACGACCACGCGAAGCATCTTAAGGTCGTTAGTGTGTGGCGCCATGGTGTACGCTGGAACTACCCAGCCCCTGGCACGTAACCTATGCGCCAGCGCGAACTCATCATAGTTACGCTCCGTTGTAGTATCTGGCAACCGGAAGGCAACTAGCGGCAGACCTTCGCCCGACTTCTTGCTCATAATTATGAAGCCTAGCGCTGCGAGGGATTCGGATAGATAATCAGCCGTGCGTGTTAGGTTCGACATGATAGCTCGGTATCCCTTCTTCCCTAGCCGGATCAGCTGGTAGTACTGCCCGATGACCTGGCTAGCACCCTTGGAGAAGTTAAGCGTGAACGACGACTGGTCGGCGCCAAGGTAATTTATGTTGAAGACGAGTTCCTGGGGTAAGTATTTCGCATCCCGCCACACAACCCAACCAACACCGGGGTAAACTAAACCATACTTGTGGCCTGAGACATTTATAGAGACGACCTTTTCAAGTCTAAAGTCCCATTCTAGATCCGGAACTACAAAGGGGGCAACGAACCCACCACTGGCGGCATCAACATGAATTGGGACATCGAGCTCCCTTTCTACCAGGAGGTCGTTGACGCTCTTAACGTCCTCGTACTCCCCGGTATAGGTAGTACCCAAGATAGTACAGATGCCGATGGTGTTCTCGTCGACGAGTTCGACTGTCTCTTCAGGGTCAATAACGTAACGGTCTGGCGTGCAGTAGACCAGCTTCTCTTCGACCTCGAAGTAACGCGTTGCCTTCTCCCAGCACACTTGTACGGCTGAAGACATGACGAGGTTGGGCCTGTCAGTAGACTTGCCCTCGGCTATGCGCTTGTTCTTCCAGCGCTTCTTCATGGCTAGTACAGCTAGCATGATAGCCTCCGACGAACCTACACATGAGGTACCAACAGCACCACCGCCCTCTTCATGTTCTGTAGGCGCATGGAAGAGCCGGGCGATCATGGACACACATCTGTTTTGGATATCGGCCGACTGTGGATACTCCTCGTAATCGATGAAGTTCTTGGAGAAGCTCTCGGCCATGAGCTTTTCAGCCTCTTCTTCCTAGTCCATAGTGTCAGCAGATTTCCATGCGATGTAACGTCGCCACAAGTGCCGAGATCCAAGTTGGGCTTCAACAGGGCACGTACCATGTAAGTGGTAACGAATGAGGCAAGACTATTGGAGAAAACGAATTGTCAGCTCGTCTGCCCACGTTCGCCTCGTTTTCTAGAATATTTCGAGGCGCCACATCGTATCACGATCAGGAGATTGATATGTATGTATGTACACGCCTCAACTTACTTCAACATTGGGTTGCCGTCCAAGCTGAGCTCGTCTTTGATCATGCGGTAGGCAATCTCCTTAGGCATCTCACCCTCGGGCATCTCATGCTTAGGGAGGTCTTCTGCGGCGAACCTAGAGCCATAGACGCTTGTTGTGTAGCTATCATCTTCGTTACTTAGCTGTAGGTTGATCTTCTTGACGGCTTCCGGCAGGTTGGAGGTTTCCCCGTTGACGGATACCTTAGCAAGATGTACCATTTTGCGTAAGGACAAGTTTCGAAATGAAGTGATAAAGTGCTGGAGCTTGTGTTAGGCGAGTAAAGGATAAGAAACTCAGAACGAAGTTAAAGGAGCGAGGAAACGGTAAGACGATCGTGTATGTATATTTATATACCTCCTTGATATACGGACGCGAGAGCTCTCCAATTGCACGACCCCACGTTCCAGCGCAGAGTTTCTCTACATACAGGTTACATAGTATCAGCTAGTGCAGTCTATGGAGCAGGGAAACGGAGAGGATATGAAATACATAGGATGTATCATGCGGGGTAGCCTATAGCAAGGCATTTCATAACAGCGCATGTTAGTTAAGATGCTGTAAGTACATAGGTAACCAGCACATATATACGCTACCTACGTAGTACGTCGTAAAGCTAGTGGAGTTCTGCTCTTGACCTAGACCTATGTAGACTTGTGTACATATTTTCTAACAGCCATAAATGACGTGCCTACACAGTTAATGAGGCGTGGCGGTGAATACGATCGATCCGGCGGGTCTTTCGGCGTCATCCTTTTTGCACCTTTACACTACCTAGGTACGTAATAAGCAGGCGGTGAACATGAGCAGATTGATGATGGATGGGTAACAGAAGCAGATTAAACAAGTTTTCCAACAGCCCATAACTTGGGTACTTACCAATGGTCAGTACAAATTTGTGTTGTCATCTCAGGGGAAGACTCCCGTCAGGAACCATAATGGACAAACAAAGAGGGAACAGGGGATGATGGGATCGTCGGGTTCCGTATGTATGTAATATAGTATGTACATTAGCTGATTCTTTTAAAAACAGGCCCCAACTTCAGGCCGCCAAGGGTTGGCAAAAAAGCTTGGTAAAAAATTGGGCAGCTCAACACGTTTCGGCTAGTAGGGACCAACAGGGATCAACAGGTACATACTACATGGAATCCGCTCGTAATAATATTCTCCTAACTTTTACATACATCACATGTACATGCATGGTAGGCCTCCAACTGCAACTGCAACTGCAACTCCAACTCCAAGAGATTGGCAGCTTGGTTCAGACGCGGCATAGCCCATTCGTCTTCCATAGAATGCCCAACACGACATAATGTCCTGTTATAAAAATGTAGTGCCAGAGCACACAGCAAACGATCTTCTCTCATGCAGACCCGGTGTGCTCAACGAGTAACACCGAGATCTCCAGATCTTATGCAGGACGGGATCGACACGAGCCATATTCATGTTGTTCAAACCCGCCATAATACAGGTGCATTCGCAACCACAACGATTGCGACACAAAGGTACTAAAAAGCTAGAGCTGTCAGCTGTTATATTAGGCAGTGTCCTACCCAGACTTGACAGTCCACGTCATCCAGAATCCTTGGAGGTTTCCTGCTCGAGACATTCTTCACCTTTCCACAGCGTTTTCGACGCATCATCTTACCCAAATATCGTATGTAGTTGGTATTATTCAGCACTGGTGGTTTCAATTACTCAATGTTAATTAAGATTGTCGCCAGACAGGCTTCTTGGGCAGAATGTGGCTACGTTACCCGAACTCAGCTTACGATGCGTGGCTATTCGATGCCGGCATATTTTCCAATCCCTTTGACTCGTACATGTGGCTGTGCCTCCCTGATTTAGGTTTCGTTTAAAAGCTACCTATGTGTAAAGAGGTAGTATTATAAGAGGATATGGCAAGAGGATTACCTTTTGCCGGCTGCTTGGACCTTCTCTAGCTCATCAATGCGAGCTTTTCAAACATTCATGGTATCGTAGGAACATGCAAAGATAGCAAACCAAAGTGACATTTTAGTTGTTGAGGCTTCAGCATCTCAATCAACGTCTACAATTTCATATAACCGAGAGGCCAGATATGCTAGGTATCATCTTACATGCCGGTCACTCGAAGAGTTAGACCTAGCTCACTAACCTAGATGATACCTATGTTTCGCTCATACCATGTCACTATAAGAATCGAACATAAAACATAGGGTGGAAAGTAGGTATGCATACGTGCGTGCCTAGGTAAGGTAGCAAGCAGCCCTGACCTTTCACGATTAACTTCGCCATCTGGACTAGTTAAAACTTACCTCCCCCTTCATAAGCCACTAGGAGGCAGCTCAGAGAGGCTCTTGCATCTTGTATATTATGCTGCCTTAGGTACCTACGTAGGTAGGTAACTGTTGAGACTAGCTCTCCTTTCCTCTTGCCTCCCTAAAGTTACTCTTCTTCATCTGAATGCCTATATCATAATCGTCATTTATTCTTCTCCTACCATCTTATAACTTCTCGGCTAATTGAACCCGTTTTGCCTCCTACTTATAGATAACATTTCACTATACTCCTCCGGCTCAAGCGAAATGCCCGAGGCGCATATTCATTTCTAGGATACTACCATTAGTCCTCGTTGTTGTGTATAGCAAGCCGTCCTCTCTTTAGCAAGAAGTAACTGCAATCCTTACTCTCTTCACTTTGAAAATCCAAACCATATCGAGAACTCTACTATTTCAAGTTCATGATGGAGTTTACACAGATACCCTTAAATGATAACCATCAATCGACAAGCGCCAAGGGGAAACATGACAACACCCAAAGAGCATCGCTAGCGACGGTTGCACGGCTTGACTTTGATGGTAAAATGCTCTATGAAATATTATTAACACCGCGAGTAACGCTTCTCAAGCACGATGAGTTGCGAAAAAGAAGACTGGCAAATGGTGTTAGCCATAGTTCTTTTACCAATGGCCAGCAACCCCGAACCTCCAGAAATATACCTACGGCATTAAATGAATCACAGTTTGACATGGAAAAAGAAAAGCAGAGTCAAGAGATGATGGTGTCAAATATAAATGAATATACCACATCTAATTCGGACTCAAGTCTGAACGAGCGCAATGCGGTAAAGAGCTCTAGCTCAAACAGCTTGACAGATATACAGGTAGCCTCTCCCAAAGAACCACCCGAGTTGCGACCAATTCAGCTTAACCAGACAAACGAGAGGCCGAAACTTACACCGTTGAAACAGCCGAGCTGCGAGGGGATGGCCACCAACAAGCCTAGGGAGCGAAATGGTAACGTAAAGGTAGATGAACCCGCAAATAAGAGTTGCTTAAGCACATCGGATCAAGATATGCCACACAATGGATCCCTCAATAATGGCTACTCGCTACCGAATATACAGGTGGCAAATCGCAATGATGAAGGTTTAAGTGTCCCAACCGAAGTATCAGCAGACAGGTGGGAAGCGATAGAAGCATCAGAAGAGAAGACAGAAGACTTGCCTCTTGAGGGTACCAAAACTGATATCCAGAGCTTGCCGGGAGCCATGGATGTGGTATCACCTTTGTGTACAGAAGGTACGAAGATAGCCACGAAGACAATTTCCGAGCAACATGACAAAGCTACACAAGACAGCGCACCTAAGGGGCTAAATAAATATGAGGCACAACTAACTGGCCCTACACGAGAGAGCACCGAATGTATTGTTGTACAATATATACCTAACAGTATGAATGGTTTATCCCAAGCGAATAGCCTCTACGAGCCAACATCAACGCGTGAGACTAGTCCATCCCGTAACAATATACAAGACCCTTTAGAAGTCGATCGGTCCGAGAAGGGCTCGCTACGAGGGCCAGAACAAGATGCAAAGACAGATGGGTCCGTCAGGGGAAAGAGGGCGCCTCTAAATGAGCGTAGTAAGAAAAGCGGAAGTCTAAAGGACAAGACTAGGGAAGAGGAAGAAGCGATTGCAGCCCAGGAAAGTAGAAAGAAAGAGAGGAACTCCAAGAAAAAAGAGAGAGAAAGGAAAAAGGCTAGGGAGCAATGGGAGAACAAGAAAAAGATGGAACAAGCCAAGCAAGAGCTCAAGGAAGCGAGGAGGAGAGAGCAAGAGAAGTTGGAGCTGAAGAAGTTAGAGGAGGCAAAGAAAGTACAAACCCGCGAGCCAAAGTAGAGCGAGGACAACGCGGAAGTCGAACAACCAGGTACTGCTCAGAAACTGGAAGACGAGATACGTATGGCCGAGCAACCGGGAGAAAATAAGACTCAAAAGGGCGAAGAAGTTCAGGAACATGGTTACCCTGCGACCCAAAGAGAACGAGAACAGGTTAGCTGTGATGAGGCTAGCCATGGTGAGGTTTACGTTCGAGGGAAAGATGAGAAATCCGAAGGCATTATGCAAAGTCTACAAAAGGTTGAAGAGCAGCAAGAGAATGAGCCTCTAGAGAGCTACCAAAAAGTCGACCACGAGACCAAACTACCGGACCAGGGAGGGGAGGATGAGCCTACCTCGACTACCTACGTTACGAACAAGAGCACGCCAGGAAATATAGAAGAAACAGCAGAGGTAATTATGGGGAAGAGTCTAGAATCTAGAAAGGGTGCGGACGATGCTAAGAATTTATCTAACGACGCACACAACCAATTCGAGCATCAACAAATACCCGTCTCTCAACTACTATCATCACCGGCACGCTTTGAATTTAGAAAGCAGACGTCGTCTCCTGGATTTATACGGCAGCTTGATAAAGGACCTGACTTACTCCCACCTCTTCCTGTGCTTCAGTACAATGGCCAACCTCAGCAGCAAAGACTTACAATAGGCTCTTCCCAAATCAAGCCTTCTCAGCCATCGCTTATCTCCCAACAACCAGTTCGGTATAAAACACCCGAAACACCTCCAGGGTCTCAATTTCAAATGTCTCGACCACCGGAGGCATCTCAAACCTCTCCAACTTTACTAAACCTCCTTAGAGGATCAATTTCCAAAGGAGAAGTGGAGAAAGCATCGCCGAGAACCACGACTGATCGACCGTTCGAGGCTGATACTCAACGGCACTCTTTCGAAGTAAAGTACCATCAGCCTTCACAGCCTCAGTACTATAATGAACCCATGCAGATGAATAGAAATGGCGGGAACGCCTAGTTTGGCCCGCCAATTGAACCATCTGCGCCCATGCCTCAATGGCCTCAATTTTCACCAAATCCACTGAATCATAATATAGATAAAACGGATATATGTCATAGGCAAGATGTCCCGTTAGAATCACTACCGAGAACGGCGGGACAATTGAGCTCACAGCTGCCACAAATTCCCTACTACAACCAACAGAACATGACTAACGGGTATAGCCAACGCTACCCAGCCGAGCAGACACAGCAGCCGTTGGCACGATCTTCGTATTGCCCCACATCGGGAGATGAGTATCAAGAAGCGTCTCGATCCCCGGGTTCAACAAGTTGCCAACATTGGAGTAGTGAAGCAGAACCATCTACTAGTTCTAGATCAGAACCACAACCGACGATAAGATATCCTCACGTAATTACGAGAGGACAGGGACATGAGATCATATGGACTGATAGACAACCGAACTGGCAACCGAATGGGCAATCGAATGGGCAACCGAACAAAAAGCCGAATGGAGAGGGGAACGGAGAATCAAACCAACAGTGCAATGGGAGGGCGGACTGGCACGGGAGTCGACACGAGAACGGGCGAATGAACGAGCAAGTGAATGGATGGACACAGGCAAACCAGCCAGGGCACAGTAGCCGGCAGAGGGCCTATGCCGACCGAGATTCCTCGACTAATAGCCAGGGAAATAGGGACATGGCTAGATGCGGGTGTACTCGCAGGTGCACTGCCGGATGCCCTCGCGGTCGATACAGCCCTGCGAACTCTCGACATACAAACCGTGAATATGATGGGCGGGATAGGCGGGATAGGCGGGATAGGCGGGATAGGCGGGATAGGCGAGACAGGCGAGACAGGCGAGATGAATCTGATCCTGGGTTAACACGACATGAGCTTGACTACATGGCTTGGGAACTGGGTGTTATCGGTCGACGGATGCAAACCATCGGGACTCGGTTGCCTCGGTTGCGACCTAGTCCAACAAGAAGGATTCATGGTTCGGAGTCTGAGCATGAGGGATGCTAGAAAGTTGAATCATAGCGGGTGTTGGTATTACTAAGATTCTACAAGTATATCAGCGTAGGAATGATACAAGTTTTTTTCTTCAAGACACAGGATATTTAGGAACAAGTGCGTAGTGTTGAAAGGAAAAGGGGGAATACCCCCCCTTTTTAGTTATGCCTTTTTAGTTATGCGTCTAAGGGAGGATTGAGTAATTGTAACAAACGGAGCAGTCCCGGCTAATCATCGGGATTGGGAGAAGAGGGACGCGCGATGCAAGTAATAATAAATACCTAAAATATGGAGACGAACGAGTAAGTGGAATGACAGAAGGTACCAACCGTACCAATATCAACATGTAACAAAAGCAAAGATGACGGGATGGAATTCATAATAATACGTACCTCTTAACGTACCTACCTAATATAATAATATTAAATGCCAGACATGCAGACATACCACCTGCATTGTCTCCATACATAAGTCTCCATATCGCCTGCCTAGATAACTTAAGTAGATATACATATTCCTTATATGGTGACATTCTTGGACCAATGTTACATTAATGTATGTACATAGTCAAACCATAACCCATACAACCATATTTCGTATCATCACGGATACATCATCGCCCTCGCTTTTTCAAATTTCTACCTAACCTTGCCAACTCACAACTCTCACAACTCCATGTCCGAGCGCTAATAAGAAAAACATAACAGGGTGCATAAGCTAGAGAGACAAGGCCGACAGGCAAGTCATCGAGCTCGACCATGATTCCTAGGAAGTCAACATGGATCCCGAGTCAAATGCGCCCCTGGAGCGATCGACGTCACAACTCTCTGCAGCCTCAGCCTCGGCAAAGATGTCCCGAAGCCACTCGGCACGCGCAAAGTCGAAACCAAGGAAGTTGATCTCACAGCCTTCTAGTTCAGCATCATCTATCGCCGCCTCTGACAAGTCTCTTACCTCCTTCCCCTCATTTTCTCCCCAATCCCCGCGCGACGAGCCGTCATTCACCATCCTCGAGTCGAATGCTTCTACCGTAAATGTCGACAGGAAAGCCCTCGTGGCTCCGATTAGGACATCGATGGTTGAAAGTTTGACTTTAGCCGAGGCCCAGAGGACGGCGCGCGATGCGCTATTCGATGATGCTCCTATAACAGCATATAAGATACCCGGTGCGCTTCATCATGCTAGCGATGACCATATACAACATCTTATCGCGAAGCACGGGGCTATTAACCTCGTGCGCCAGGTCGCCGAGGACCTTGCATATCGCGACATGGAAATCTCCCGACTAAGAAGGAGAGCTGATGAAAGAGAAAGAGCACTTAGGAAAATAATACGTGGGTGTGGATTGTCAAGCCTAGATCTCGAGACAAAGCTCCGGTTGGTAGAGACAGAGCTTCAGGCGCAGGAAAAGATTAAATATGCTACAAATGGGGATGTTTCTGGCATGATGAACGACGCGATGCACGATTCAATGTCCTACAAAGCGCTGGGGATAACAGATATAGACGATAGTACGGTTAGAGCTAACACCCTATCTGCTCCTAGGGACAGCAACACGGTTAGTAAAGGCACGATGAAGGCATGGAAGGAATATCTATGGGGCGGCGGAAGTAGAAAGGCCAGCAGAGCAGCTAGTATTAACGAAGAGGGCGCAAAAACCGCCATTCGTGCATCAACACCAGGAGACCGCCGCCCTCCTATCCAGGAAGACCTCTTCACCCCGCCGGATGCCGAGTCTGCGCAAAGCTCAAGCCGTGCTTCTAGCATCTACTCAGCGCATACGAATAGAAAACCCTCATCATCTTTTGCTAGCATGGCTTTACAACTAGTGGCTGGGAAAGGCTCTTCGATCCGCGATTCTGAATCTACTAGAGGAAGATCAAATTCGGCGGGCCAGGGCGGTTCTGTGAGATCATCATCAAACGCTAGCACCAGGACGGGTGCCTCTAACAGAGCCGCATCTACACAAGGAGGCCCCAAAGCACTCATGTCGATGCGACGAGCAACTCCCAAACCTGGAAATCTGCAGTTATCCAGACCACGCGAAAGGTGGGAAAGCATAGGCGCAAACCCGGAAAGTCCGTCTGCAACGAGGTCAGATAACAATGGCCCGGTCGAGATGGATACTATATTTTCCCCTGAAGGTCAACCGCCGGCTTTATCGCAACTCTATAACAACTACAATAGCGGCGAGTACTTGATCGATCGCTTCGGCTTTATTTATGACCAACGTCGAAAGAGAAGACAGCGCGAAGCCGCCAAGGTCGCTTCACGCATGAAGAATGGACATGAGATGCTTTCTAGCGGAAGGTCTAACCTCTCGCCCAACCTACTTGATGACGACGCAAGTTCTAGCGGGGATACTAAGAGTGATGATCGTCCAGAGAGTCCGACTTCTATTGAGGGCCCTGTTGACCAAGGCAAGGCGAAACGATGGCAAGATTATCTTAAGATTGCTACCTTCCCTACGGAACTTTTATCGCATACGCCGTCTATAACAGCTCCGAACATAGAGGTGCTCGAAGGAAGTGGATCCAAATCTCCAGGACTAATCAACACAGACGACCGCGGATTCGTCCCGACCGCGACCACCACCACTGCGGCTCTTGATAGGGAAACGAGCCCAGCAAAATCAGAGGAAGAATCAGCTACGGCTACGCTAGTTCATGAGGATGTTGAGCCGGTTAAACTTCTACTAAAGCAGTTGAGTGACGTTCACGACACCCTGCAGAGAGAAAAGGCTGTGCGCTGGAATGAGTTTTTAAGAAAAGTACGTGCTGAGCGCCGACGTGAGGGCGAGGCTGCGGCTGCTACTGCGGCTGCCGCAGCTGAAGCTCGTTTCCAGACAGCTCCTGTTATGATTCCTGAAGCTAAGCTCACTGATGGTGAGACTATTGGTATCGCGGATCTTGGGATGAAGGGAAAAGTCGGGCGCGCTAAATGGAATGAATTCAGAAGCCTAGTGCTCGGCGGTATCCCCGTGGCAAACCGCCCCAAGATCTGGTCAGAATGCTCTGGTGCTCTCTCTAAACGAACCCCTGGCTACTACAGGGATCTTATCTCGCGACCTAGTGCACTTGATGATGAGGTTGTCATCTCGCAAATCGAAATGGACATCAACCGTACGCTTACCGACAACATATTCTTCCGTAAGGGGCCCGGTGTCACCAAGCTCAACGAAGTCCTCCGGGCATATGCTAGGCACAACCCCGAAGTAGGATACTGCCAAGGCATGAACCTAATCGCCGCGAACTTGCTGCTAATCATGCCATCTGCCGAGGATGCCTTCTGGGTATTCGTATCGATTATTGAACGTATCTTGCCGCAGGGATATTATGACCATAGCTTAATGGCTTCGCGCGCGGACCAGCACGTACTACGCCAGTATGTAAGCCAAGTCCTGCCAAAGCTGTCTCAACACCTCGATGCGCTAAGCATCGAGCTGGAGGCTTTGACGTTTCAATGGTTCCTAAGTGTCTTCACGGACTGCCTATCAGCCGAAGCGTTGTTCCGCGTATGGGATGTGGTACTATGCATCAACGATGGTAGCACGTTTCTGTTCCAAGTCGCGTTGGCGTTATTAAAACTCAATGAGCGCCAACTACTACAGTGCGATGCGCCTGCCGCAGTCTACACGTACATCAATCACCAAATGACCAACCACGCCATCAGCATCGACGGCCTAATCCAGGCCTCCGAGGGCTTGCGCCGCGTCGTTCGCCGCGAGGATGTTGAGGAACGCCGAAACAAGGCTATTGAGGCTGATAAGCAGATGGCACGGGAACGTGAGGAGCGTAATGCGAAACGTCGCGCTGAACAGAATTCGCAAAAGGGCACGTCGGTGCCTGCGCTCGTTGCCGAGTCTGGTGCCCCCACGGTCCCAAGTCTCGTGGTGCAGGCCGAGAGCGAAAGCAGTAGCGTGACTGGGTTGAATATCTTGGACGCGGTCGGGGAGGAGGCTGAAGAAGAAGAAGGCACTGGACCGGCACGGACACCGGCAGAGGAGGAAACGTCATTCGGGCTAGGATAAAGAGCACCGGAGATGGTGATGCTGAAATGGGGTTGAGAAAGTACAAGTACAACCCCGTAAAAGAATAAGACCAAAGAAGTGTCTTTTTCGGCGCAGAATAAATGGTAGGTAACTAGTCGGCTGGTGGACATGCGAGCATTATTATTACCCTAAACGGTTGGCGGCTTCTTGCGTTTGCCTGTTTTTTTCTCTTGTTTCTTTTGTCGTTCTCCCCGTTTTAGAGATTGGACCATGCTTGCATGCCATGATACCCCCTCTCGGTCGCACAAAGTCTTTATTTTTATTATTTTCCATTTCCTGTTATGAGCAGTTTAGTCGGGAGGATGAAGCAGTCGGACATAGCGGATAGATGTCACTTAGCCGCATGTAGAATGGGGGATGGACGAGAGGCCTGTCTCCACGAAGGTAGGCAGATTGGAGATAGTACCTAGTGCACGGGATGTGATGCCTTGCATACTATCCCTGCTGTCATGCGGCAAGGCTATATGAAGCGGAAGAAGGCGACGATGCGCGTGTAGGTGATGAGAATTATATCCGAGTGCGACAGAATGCCAGAGCTATTGGCACCGAACCGGAATTCAAGGACAGTTCATACTTACCGTTAGCCGGTTTTCTCTCAGGGTGCTCGCGTTTTTCGTCATTCCGTAAGACCGTAAGAATTAATTGATATCCAATAACTAAAGAGACCTACGCAAGATGCCACCGAAATCAAATGTACCTATTACATAAAAAAAATAAAAAAAAGTCTACCCATGAATATCCGATAAAGATATCAAATCAAAATGTACCTGGAAACAAATGAAATATTTGCAAAAATTAAACTCCGAATCGGGGAATCGAACCCCGGGCTTGACGGTACCTTCAAGGTCAGGAACCTTTTGAGAGCGTCAAATGTTAGCCACTACACCAATTCGGATTCATTGGATGACATTTACATCCGCTAATTTCCTATATATATATATATACTGGAAATAAGGTGCATGCTTAGCGCCTTATATGCTACGTAAAAATTCATTTACTACATACCTAGGTTACATACCTAGGTTACCTCTAGACACATGTAGTGCAGTTTCTAGTATGTATTTATATAAATAAACGACAGGTTTTTTTTGCCTTCTATTTATTGTAGAATTCTTTTCAACGTTACCTTAGTTACAAAAATTCCATTGGTGTAAATCATAGCCCTTCGTAGTGGTAACCCGAAAAGAACCATCAACTTCTTCACATAAGATGTAAGTACCAAGCAGAAATAGGGGTGGATTCTCATGCATCATGTCTTCATAGCTAGAATGCAACTCGATTCTCTTAATGTTTTTTTTTCTTTTTTGACAAAGTGCTGCGCTCCGCAAATAGTAGCGGCAATAGCAAGTGATGCTCATATCTACACGTTAAGAATTCATCCAGAACTCCGCGGCCTCCTTCTCCCATCGCTCCCTGTGCCAATCCTAGGCTCCGCTCCGTTCAACTCATCAATCACATCTCAACCAGACTACTTACTATCGATCCTAGGCATAGTGCTAAGAGGAGTAGGTCTGGAATAATCCTATGCTTGCTAGGCACAAACGCCGCGCCCCCATTATTCTGAAGTTTTGTAAACTTATTTTATACACGAGTCTTCCTAATCAGACTCAGATGTAGCCCCTTGCCATGCATGCATTAACCAGCTTCTCCAATGTTGTAGATGCGTCTTGTGTAATAGTCGAGAGCATCGCGATGAATTGGTCCGTCTAGAGTGAGATGTTCGTTCTGCCGAAGAATAGCTCCACCAACTCCTTAACCGAGTGGCATGTTATTACTAAAATTTCCCCTTGCATATTCTCTGTGAACACTTTTAAGTAGTACGCGTTACCGCGCAAAGACCTTGACGACTCCGTCTCCCCCGCCACTAACAACCCATCGACCGTCTTGGCTCCACACGACGGCGCATACGCCCTCTCCTCTCATAATTCGGTGGCTGGTAATCTCTTGGGTACAGGTTCGTTTTTCCAGAGACCAGAATCGAAGGCTTGCATCGTGGCCAGCAGATACGAGCTCGCGGCCGTCAGGACTGAGGGAAAGGGACGATATTGATGCTGGGTGGGCGAGCATGTTATATGTACATTGACCTTCAAAGAATTAGCGATATGCATACTTACGGTATCTCTAGAAACTCACCGCTATTGGCATCAAAGAACCTTATAAAGCGGTCTTCATGCCCTGATATAATAACACCCTCCACTCCGCTACCAGCTGTGCCCGTACCACCAGTTGGACCACTGGCATCGTCGTCGCCCAGGCCTGATCCAGAACTTTGATCGAGGCCTGCTGTGGTCGCGACGACGGCATTGACACTCGTGCCAATCGTATTGTCGTATGTTTCAAGGCTAACCATGGAGCCAATTTCTTCACCGGTTCGTGTATCGAACACGATAATAGCAGCGTCTGAATAACTAACTACAAATGCCTCCCCACTAGCTGATAACGGAGTAATGCACGTCGGTGACGCCCGGGATCCGTTAGAGCGGCGGATGTCATGTATTAGTGTATGATGGAACGGTGAACTCGATGCCATGTTTGGTTGAGGTGAGCTTGGGAACTGAGATCCGGAGCTCATAGAGTTACCTCTGACTCGACCGCTTCCGGTGCTCCGTCTTGGCGGACCCGGTTGAGGTGAGGTGAGTTGTGGCGGTGCACTGACGGCCCAGATCTTCACAGCGCCGTCGGCTGCTCCAGAGGCGACCAGGATACGGTCCGGGGTACCGTAAGGGTTTGATTGGCCAAAGACCGCGCCGAGGGTCGCAGGAAGTACGCATATGGCCCAAACAGCGTCGCTGTGACCGTCGAGCGTCGCCTTCGGATCTACCCTACCCCGTTCCCACACTCTGATAGTCGCATCTTGCCCACCGGAGAATATCCATCCATCACCTTGGGCACGGCCGCCGGTCGAAAAATTAGGAGAAGGAGACCAAGACGTTAATGATAACACAGCGCCAGTATGTCCACGATGGGTGAAGTCAGCTGGCACATCGAGGTCAGATGACAAAGTCCCGATATGGCTTGGATTCTCACGCGGAATGTGGAATCGCTTGATCAGCCCGTCGTCGCCTGCTGTGCAGATTTCTGGCTCTCCGGGACTTCCACCCCCGGAAAATATTACGGTTCGGACGGTATTAAGATGGCCACGCAATCCATATCGCAACTTAAAACTGCCACTCTCTGATTTCTGTGCAACACCATTCAGAGAGAGCTCCTGCTCCGCGCTTTTCCTGCGAGACATGGACGTCTTCCGCCTATGAGAATTAGGGCCACGATTAGGAGATTGCGGTACACTGTCAGCGTTGGGAAACGCGTCCGTGTCCGGACGGTGCGTAAGAGGTTGTAATTGCTGCGCCGCAGCCGGATCGGGGAAGGCTCCTTCGCCAAAATCCCAACCATCCCCATCAACTGGTGCTCGCTTCTCTAGTGTACTTTCACCAAAATCAGAGCGCGGAGGCTCATTAAGATGATTTGGCTTTGCGTTTGGATCTTCTTGCATACGAGCACCCGGTTGGTTGGAGGCCGGCCACTCGCCAGGGTGCGAGTACATCGGGGCGGCACCCTCCCCTGACCGAATCATAGGGGCAGATTGCAAATTCGGGTTCTCTGAGGTTGGCAAGTTAACGTTATGCGACATTCTCTGACTATGATGATTATTCGTATTTACAGCACCCTGGCGGGGCGCCGGGTCCCTCGCATGGTTCTGACTAAGTCTCAACGCCTGGAAAGCTGTGTCGAGCGGTTGTTGAGAGAGAGGTAATCCAAAGTCTCCTTCTCTCAAGTCATCCATCATGGGCAAGGGCGGAGACTCTCGAGGAGGCATAGGATTAGCGGGCGAAACCATTAGGTAGGTGAATTCGGCTTGGCACTGGTCCAAGAAGACCCTAAGGTTGTCGCGCTCCTCGTCCTCCTGTACACGCTCGCCAACAAGACCCTCCAAGCCGGCTACCGACTCTTTCGATCTCTCGTCCGATGCTAGAAATGAAGTCAATACTACACACTCGTATAGTTTTCCGTCTTGACACGTACATTTGAGCTTCTCCTGTATCAAGGCAGCCCTATCAATCTTCTGAGGTTGCTTCACAGAGTGATCTGTGGCGGAAGCGGCAGAAGAAAGCTTCAGCTTCGCAGCCTGGTCTTTAACCTTCTTCTCCAGGATAGTGACATATCTTTTTAATGCCTTTTGCGTAGCGTCTGCTCTCCTAGCAGAACCTTCGAGGGCGGCTATTCTACCCTTCATCTCCTGACGTTCGATCTCCCAGGCGTTTCTATCTCGCTCGTGTCGATGCCACTCGGTTTGAAGGAAGCGCATAACACCTATTCGTCGAGCGCATGTAAGTTAGCCAAGAAGAAACTAAAATACAGATCGGATAAGTCAAATATACCTTGTAATGTGTACTCGGTAGCATGTGGCTGATTTGACGGATTGCCGGGTAATCCTCCGCCAGATAATTCCTGGCCGCCGCCGAGACCACCGGCGCCCGGCATACCGGACCCATTCCCACCATTTCCCATAGCGGAGACCTGTTGCCAACTCATCGAGAGTTGAATTTCCGGCTTATTAGATTGACGGTGTTCAGCCCTCACAACCGTCTTCACCGTTTAGTTTGAGGTCGACTTCTCAACATGCGCATTTGCGTTGCAAGTGCCCTCTACGAAATACGACTTTATGTCGAAGAGGGAGGAAGATGCGACGGTGGGGAAATCAATTGGCCCAACGTCTCATGAGTAGAACGGAGCAGATCGTTAGGGTGATAGATTTCGGTACGTTTCTCGTTCGCGAAATATTGAATATTCGAATAAAGTCGCGGCTGTAGAAGAAAGGAGCTCTCGTTCGTGGGGGTTTAGAAGAAGAAAAAAAGAATTAAACAGGGCTAGTAATGAGCGAAGAGAATCGAGATAATACAGATTGTTTGACCCGAAATAAATGCGTCGCAGTGCAGTATAGTGAACTACTGTGCGATGCGATTTCGTTGCGTGCCGTAACGCGTGATGGGAATATCCCGACGTTATGTTATCGTCAGTCTAAATGGCAAAAGTTGAGAATTCCGAGACGTGATGGATTTGGAAAGCTGTCAAGGTCGATTTGCTGGCCTGCGAAGAGGACAGTACGTACTTCTGGCATACTCTTGGTACGTATTCCCCAAAACTTGTGCCAGATTAGGTCATTGCCGCCCCGAGCCACTTCTATCCTGGCCAATCAAGTAACTGCCACACAAGGCGAGGTCAAAACTTCCCCTGAAAGCTGTGTTTGCAACTGTGTTTATCTGTGATGTTTAAGCTCGGACCACCATGGCACCTAAGCCCCTTGTTATGGAATGGGGCATTATGTAAGCCGCCATGCTGCACGACAGACGTTGCAGCTAGCTACATCATCGTCGATCATCCCGTAGTAGCTCGGGCAAGGCTTTCTCTATCAGATTTCGAGCAGGTACAGTACAATACCAATAATATACCGCTTCCTTTATTTCCAGTCACTCGTTTTCTAGCGACTTTAGATTTTTTCATATCCAATTCAACCTACATTTAGCTTATGGCTATTATTTCCTGTCACGCTTTTTTATCACCAGAAAGCAGGCATACGTAGCTGATTGCCACTCGAGTAACAAGAACAGCGGGAAGCGCACCGAAGTTATTTTGAATATACGGGCGGGCTAGGAGGTCTGCTGTTGCATCCTTTGAACATTGCCGCTGTTCGAATATATAGGTAGGTACCTAGGTAAGCAAGGTAGAAGATGACGTGGGGTTAGTTTTCTCGAATAAAAGCGAAGACTATTCTGGCAATGCTTCGTCGTGTTCTAACATTAAAATACTCGGAAATTATTACGATTGATGTACCATAGGCTTATACAAAATTAAAGTAAATTCTGTGTTGACGTTTCATTGACCACTAAGATCCTGTAGTTGAGCTAAGCAATAAACTTATAGCAGCGGGGGAATCTGGTAACTATAAGTGATAGTAACTTACAACTACAATTCCAATAAAATAGCTAACCTAGATAACTACCTAACCTAGTATTAAAAATAAGTTTATAACAAGTTATTATTATATAGATGTTTTATACACTTTTACTTTGTTCCTCGGTTGCGATGTAGTTTAATTACATGTTCAATTACATGTTCAATTACATGTTCAAGATGATTCGGTTACATAGACTTCTAACCGTGGCCCATCTATTTATTTTGGCTAGTTCCGGTCTTATTTACCGAGGCGATAAGCAACCAGCCTTCAGCTCATCAACACATACCTAGTTGAGATCCTTTGACTAACAACTCTTCTCAAAGTTCACCTCCTTTTCCATTCTAAATAATGTCTAAGTTTCCAATTGGTAAAGATGCGCCTAGGGGGTTAACTATGTTAGAATCATTAAAACCGCTTGTCGGCATCGAGAAGGTTGAGGCGTATTTGAAATTGGCCTCAGAATCCCAAGACCCGAAGAATCATGTAAGCTCATCCCCGCCTTCGCGTCGATGCGTATTTACCTATGAAATATTTCGTATCAACTATGTCGTGCGCTATGCTATTGGTATCTAGGCAGTTGTATATTCTTGTTCGATACAAGGGGTATACTCGTGAGATGAGGTGGACGAATGAGAATTCAAGGAGTTGATGATTTACATCGAACACCCAAGTACCATATACTAACTGTACTTTAGGAATGGATGACAGCTATAACGCCTTACTTGTCTATTGTTTCGCACTCGTCCTCTCCGCCGCATCCTAGTATCACTTTCCGGTTTACTGTGCAGCCTATCCATAGCAACGGTCTCGGTAATCTACACGGCGGATGCGCATCTACTATTTTTGATGCATGCACTACGCTGCCGCTGCATCTTATTTCGAAGCCCGGCTTTTGGCAGTATACGGGCGTCAGCCGCACGCTCAATGTTACGTACCTACGACCAGTTCCAGTTGGTACCGTCGTCGATATCAAGTGCGACATCTTGCACGCCGGTCGCAATTTATGCGCTCTAAGAGGGGAGATGAGGACCGTAACCAAAGACGGCCGGGAAGGGCCCTTGTTGGTTGTTTGTGAGCACGGAAAAGCCAGCACAGATCCGCCGGTCGGGAAGTTGTAGATAGAGGTTGTCTGTCGTTTGCCTCTGATGAATGTAGCAGGAGGGGCGGTATGGCTGGCAGGATTTATGTCAAGGGATAGCTTTAAGACCTCTGGCAGAAATGTAAAAGACTTGGCATACGCGTCACAGCAGTTCGGAAATCTTCATTACTCCTAATCTGTTCTTTGGTCTACCATAGGGGTAATGCGGTGTGACGAGTTACTGTGTTGTTTAAGACATGAGGCAACTTCGCTTCGAGCTTACCGACGCACGGTTTTTATCGATAGGTAGGTTGCCTACTTTTTTTATCCCTAATTAATGCAGTGTTATCTATAAGTCCTGGCGAATAGAGCAGCACGAATCTAGCGTCATTGTCATTCGAGGCCCAAGTTTACTTGGAAAAGGCGAAGCTAGAGAACAGCAAGAATAACCCGCCTAAACCCCATTCTACTAAATAATTCAAAGAAATAGCAATAATCTATTACCTTTTATAACTAGGTAGGTACCTAACCTAGGCACTTTAATAATATGTAATTTATTTGTCCTCCTAGGTACATATATACTACTACCCTTGTGCTATTTCCGCTTATAGTATTGCGAACTAAAATACGTACATAGGTACCTAGGTACCTAGTGGTATGAGATACACAAGGTACTGCACGGGCAAACATGCAAGTTGAATTTGGGGTGCCGAGTTCGCACTTCGTCAGATACCTAGGTAGGTGTGTGATGCACGAGAGCCGCATCATGGGCCACAGATGACTATGTATGGGCATGACATGCGCCTTTTGCCGTCTGGAGTGGGTAGACATTCGCCAAGAAATGGAAAAAAAATATCACCCCACTAATCCCGAATTCCTATATGTATTCATCAACTAGGTACCCAGCCTCAGGTGCCTAACCCAATAACCTAGAAGGCGAGATAACGGCCTTATACTTGACCTAATATAGCATCGCGGATGGTATACGTGGTAGTTTTATACGTTCATGCCGGAGCTGAATTTTGCATCTAAGTATCATGTATATACGTTAACATATTAGAATAGTTCCATTATTAAAGGTTTGGTGTTTAATTGCTATCAAGTATTAGCCCTTAATATAGGCTTCATAATAATATAACACAAATAATGTTGGGATAACGGTCATGTGGCCTCGTCACATGACCAGGGTTATGCCCACACACACCGCCCACGCGCAGCCCACGCGTTTGTACAATAGATATCTTTCCCCACTCGGGGGAACCCCTCCTCTCTTACCTTAATAATAACAACAACCAATCAGACCACAGTTTTCGTTTATATTTCCATCGTACTACGTAATACAAAGTAACTCCAACAAATAAGGTTTAATAAAAGCTTCCTCTTATGATGCCGAAGATTTTATAAGAGACGGTTTCTTATCTTGGTTAAGTTCGTGAATGAAATAATCTTATATGTTGTAGAATGATGTATACCGACGTAACCAATCCAAGTAATCGTCGGCTGGTAAATTTATGAAAGGTTCTGTTTCTTCTTCCGTATCCCCCAGCGTAGCAATACTCCCACAGTGCATACTACACCGTAAACTTCTTTGGATATAAGTAATTTGATTGGCTTAAAGACTTAAATAATAGCCTCTGATTGGATACACTCCCGAAAAACGTTTACTGTGTCGCACTCTCGTACTTGACGACATGGTTCGCGGACAATCAGATGGTCCGCAGAAGGAAAGGAGCAGGCTTCTTGGAGTAGGCTTCTTGGAGTAGGCTTCTTGGAGTAGGCTTCTTGGAGTATGTAGGTAATAATAACCTGCACGCATCTTTGGAGGAGATCTCGACAAGCTTTTATGGAACTAACACCGATGCTCGCGCCGCTCACCACGACATCCACGCATTGCTGGTTAGGAGCTGGGCGCTTTTGTACATAATATCCAGGATCGAATTCTATCATATCGGTCGGTCTTCTTTTATATAAATATGCTGTTCTCTCCGCCATTTACTCTTGCTAAAAACATGGCGGACAAGCAAGCCACTCTTGAACGAAAAGCAATCGGCCTTCCTAAAATCTTGTATAGTGATATTCCCACACTATTTTCCTGCACTCTTATCTTGTCCCCCGAATCTAAGCAACTATGGACAAGTCATCCCAACCGGCCGTCAATGGGTAAGCCGTATATTTTCATCCTCAATGGTCATACATAGCCCGCCCCCTCCTCCCAGTCGAAGACCTTATTGTCAAGTTAGTAACTATGACTGGTTATCATACCACCCATCGTCTTTCCTACGGATCGACGTCGCACTACAGCATAAAGCCTTTACTTCTTTCTCTCTTACTCTCACCCCGCCTCTAGTATAAGCCGACGCGGACTCTGACTGATGATATTTCCTTGATTTAGCTCTGCCAAATCAGGGGAAACCAGTGTCAACTCCAAACACACTCAAGGCCAATACTCTACCCAGAGTATCCACGAGTATACGGCTGGCGTATTGAATGGCGATGCCCCCGTTAACACTCTCGTCGGGCTGAGAAACACCGACTTGAACATAATTCCTCGAAATGTTAAGGTCAATCGCGAAGTCGAGGACGCCTTGGCAAAGCTCGCCCAGAGGCCAGAGAAGTACGCATTTCGTCTTTGCCCTATACCTCCACGCATGATATGTATTGCATGTCACATGTCGTCGAGACTCAACCTGTCGATGAACCATATGGTCGTGCACTGTTCACTCGTTCCCCTACTCTATTCCTCAGTGTGGCATGAGATCGTATTACAAACTGTTCGAATCTGATTGGTTTAATAAGTAACGGAACTATTCCATAATAGGTAATAGTTAGGTATAAGCTAACCCCAGCAGAAATTTTGATTAAGTCAAATTCAAGCAGTTTGTACTGAGACCTTCTGTCGCTTCGGAAGAGTAACCCGGGTAGAACTCATCATGCATCGAGGTTGAGTGTGATCCTCATTTCAGTCGGAGATTTTCACATATCCCCTCTTCTCATAACAGGTAGAGAACATGCTAATTCAATCGTAGGTAAGGTTCTTGAGTTTGCTAAGTGGTAGGGTGAGATACCATATGGCTCGGTACATGTTTATGATAATGAAAGCGACGCGTCTGGCGCAGGATACCAAGAGTTGGAATTGTAGTGAACCACATCTGATCGGGGGAATGTACGTATGCATCGCAACGTTTGCCTGATAGGATATCACCTGAAAATGAAAACATTAAATTAGATATCAAAAAGTTCGTATACAAACCGTGATCCTAGCGTAACGCCGGCACCATGCAACTATCCATTTTCAATGCCTTCCCCCGCATAATAGTACAGGCGCTGGGGTTTAGAATGACTCCCCGATTCTTAGTACATATGGTAGGTCACCGCGGTCCTCCCTTGTGGCAAGCCGGATAATAGAAGACTGGGAAGCGGACTTAAAACTTGCGCTCGATTTTCGACTGGCAGGATATGGTCGCCTCGTTTGCGTGAAACTCCCCCCGTTATTTGAACTGGTAGACTGCGATGTCCTCCTACCACCGAATTTACTCCTCGGCGTCGTCGGCGCGGTACGATACTGGTGCCAGGTATGGGTTGAGGAATTGCGGTCCGGTAAGGCCGGCCCACGGGTACGTGAGCGTGTGCTGCTTCCGCTGAGGCTAAGGGAACTTGACCCGCTCCGCGCAGGTGTAGTCGGGTTGGTATCCCGAGGTGCGTCGTCATCGATATGCCCATCGCTTTCGGAGTAAGCGTCGTTAGGACTGCGAGATTCGTATAAAGACGCTGCGTCCAGAGGTTGCATTGCACGTAGAAGTTCGGCGAAAAGATGCATCAGCTGCCGGAAGTGCGCGTTGGACATGGGACGAGTGGAGAAGCGGGCACGCTCATAGCTATCAAGGAACTCAAATGCCTCTGGGGAGCTCAACAGCACGCCGACGCTCATGAGATGCATGACGTAGTCCCTCATCGTCATGTTAGAACGGCGCTGGAGGAGAGAAACAGAGTCCGCATCAAACATTGGGGGGTTCATAGCAGAGGTCGGGTCCATTGGCGCCTGAGAGACAGCCTTAGCTTCAATCAGGTTCGGTAACTCGGAGAGGACTGTGCTATATTGAACATCGGGCAAATCTGGTGAGCTTGGTGAACCCCAGCCGTCGTGCTCAATCTCGCCCCAAACGGGGCGCAAAGGAGGAAATGAGATACCCAGCTGCTCTTCTACCGTTGCAGGCGATTTTGGCTTAAATAACCGAAAAGACCTTCTTGGCTTCTTCATATTTCCCTCGGTTGTAACCCCTTCCTCTGCCACATCTTCCAGTGATGTCACTCGGATTACCGGCGCTATGACCTTTGGATGCGCCCCTAACGCGATGGCAGCACTGCGGCCAAGATCGGTAGCGATCACTTTGCGGACCTCCTTGGGGACATCTCCTTTTTCAATGGGTATCCAAGTTTTGGGTATCGAAGCCAGTACTGTCCGGGTAACATAAAGTCGCAAGATGTAAATGAACAGAACAATTAATACAGTAAGGACAAAGACGATCGCGAGGACGATTAAGTTGATGTATTGACCGGAGGAAAACAGATCCTGGCGTATAAAATCGCCGGGAACGATAAGAAATAAAGCGGCAAGAAGAAGACATAATAGAAGATAGATGGAATTGTAGACTATGCGAGAGACAAGGTTAGTGGCGCTCTTCATTATGACGCGCCAGGTATTAGGATCGAGTATTATAACATTCTCGTGTCGCGCGGCACAGGGCGGCTAAGGCTCCGGCTATTAGGCGACGAGCGACCAAGTTGAAGGAGCGTAATCGAAGTTCATATTAAGAGACGAGTATTCATGACGATTCCTTAGGCCGTGCGATAGGATTAAGACTTGTCGGTTATAAGATCCATAAAGGGCTGCGCGAAGACATCCTAGATGGATGGGGAAAGAAAGGAACAAGTAAGGGTGAAGTTGAGATAACCGTGTTTGTAATTCACCAGGAGATTAGATTGTATGATGCGATTTGCAGGGGTTAATGCCGCTCGGGATTTTAGTTTCCCCACTTCCATCCGAGTGACGTCTGATTGGGCGCCTCGTGTACCCTCCGTTTCAGCTATAGGTACGTACATATTTAGTTGCATCAGCCTCACACTATTCCCGTCCCATACATTCAATATTCAGAAAAGAGTATTAAAAAGGGACTAACCTAGTTAGTTTAACATGTGTTTGTCTCGACTTTAAGCTTTAGCAAATGTACTTAAGTGGCTGTAACCTGGAACGGACGTAAATAATATTAGATCCCGGGTCTAACTTGGCATGATTACCTACCTACCTTACCTAGGTAGGTATTAAAGTCAATAAATCTACGAGCTGCACAAACTAAGAGAACAATATATTTCCATAGTTAGTATTTACTAAACAAGCCTTTATAACAACTATGCCAATCATATTATATTAGCAATGTTTCTAACCTTTCCCCAATATCCCACAAGTAACCCCTTCCTTTCCTTCCCTTTAGCCCGCCGAGTCCAAGACCGCACAACAGCAATAATCTCCCTATCTGCCCACTTCTCCGCCTCCTCAACAATTTCTTCCGGCCTAACACCCGGACCCAATCGTCCACGATTTAAAAACAGCTCAACGACATCCACCCGACCCCGCCGTATAGCCTCGCTAACATTCCGTCTACTAACCGCACTAGTCCTCTCTAATATCCTCTCCACAATCTCAAGCGACTGTCCACCAATCACCGCCGCATACAACGCGCCTCCGCCGGGACCCCACCCATCATACACGTCGGCGCCGTAGTCCAGTAACACGTGCAACACCGGTCCGATCTCCTCTGGCGGCCGGGCGCACGCATCCGTCAGAAAGCTCCGCATGCCGGAGTCGATAGAGAAGCTAGCAAAGTTACGTTCGTGATTGCAGAGAACTTGCAATATTTCTGGATTGGGGTGCTCGAGAACTGCGCGGACGATCCCGTGCTCTTGCATGAGCGAGAACGAGGGGTACATCTGAAGAATAAACTTGACGATAGCGACTTGTTCCGCTGCTACAGCCTGCTCGAGCAATTTACTGGTAGGGGGAATACGGAGCCCCATAGTTGTAGTTAATGCTTCTTGAAGGCTACCTGGGTCAATAAGTTTTGGATAGACTGGTTTACTACCAGGTTGAATGCCGTGATCAGTGAAAAGTCGTTGCAAAGTCGAAATATCCCCGGAAGAACAGACATCGAGTATGTATGGCTCTAGGTCGCCTTGGTAAGTCATGATGTAAAAATTAGGGTTTGCTGGACGATAGAGAGATTAAGTCAACTACCCGACTTAAGACGATCACTATCTAGATTATAGATCACCTTATGTACCTATGTAGGATTTTGTGGCACTGCCACACTGTAAATACAACCTTACCCATAAGACCCATAAGATCCTTACTAAAACCCAGATGAAAGGGATATGTCTTTAAGACGAACACCAATTTTATAGCCAAATAAACTTAACAAACACAGTATTTCTTTTTGTCTTCGTGAACCAATTTTATCATAAAGTTGCACCCATAGCTACTATTACACTTAATGTAACCCGGTCAATTTGCCCTGGAGACTCGACGTGAGCAGCCGCTGCCACTAGCGTATTTGTTGCATTTGCGGTTGAGCCTCTACATTACGGGCTGCTGCGGCCCGTCTCGGCACTTCTACCACCGCTTCCACCTGCTTCTTCTCTGCGGCTTCCCTCGCTAATCTCATATCTGCCCGGGTGAGCCTCAAATCGCTGCTGTACTGCCCAAATGACGTGATGAGCTCGTTTAGTCCGTCCTTCAACGCTTCCAGCAGCTCGTCTACCTCGGGACACACTCGATTCTTTCTAAGATCTGTCCAGTGCATCGGCAATCCATCCCTGAATCTCTCTAGCTTTTTGATCACTGCCGTAAACGTCCGTATGATGGCCGGTACATCTCTTTGGACGTTACCATACTGGTCCTCCGTCAAACTAGACACTGCCAACTTTGATAGAGCGTAGGCAGCGTTGACGTATATGCTAAGTTCGCCATACGGTCGGCCAAGCACAGCAGTTGCTAATCGGCGACTAAAAAGTTGCTGAAATAATATGCCGAATGTGGGTAGACTCAAAATTCGTAATGCTATAGTCTGGGCAAGCGAGTTAATACCTTCGGGAGATAGTGCCTCCTTTTGCTCTTTCGTGAGTAAGTGGTCAGTAGCCTCTAACGCTTTCTTCTTCGCCTCCGGCAAGTATACCTCGGCGGGTGTCTTCCCGGGCGACGTTGCAACACTAGTAACGAACTTGCCTAACGAGTCGCGAAACCCTCTCGAACTCGGTGCTGGTGCCCAAACATCGTCTGTCTTTGGGGGTTGGACAACTCGGGCCTGTGGCTGAGGAGGTGCGGCACTGGGAGGTGCGGGAGGAGGAGCCGGTGGTTTTCCGTACTCGTCGATTCTTTGCTCCAGCGATTTAATCGTGCTCAGACATGTGGCGTAGATCTGCGACCACATTGGGCCATCCTTACGATCGATATCTTCGAATATGCTTCTCCTTCTGATATCGAAGTCCCTTGTAATTAAGGCCAATTCCCATATGGCAAATGCCTACATCGTTAGCGCCATGCTTGAATAGAATGGTAAAGGGAACAACATACCGATATACGTGGTTTCTTGCTCTGTAACCCATTCAATAGACTCCCATTAGGGTCCTTCGACTCAGCACTAAGTGGCTGGCCGTTTTTCAGAGGCGCTCTTCCAAGCTGTAACCTAAAGACCATGTCGCCAAAGTACCACAAAAGGCACAACAAGAACCCTGCCCACATTGATCTTGCCAGCATCCAGATACTCCATGGCGCCTGGGAAGGTGGGATATTAGATTTTGGAAGACTATAGAATAGCCGGAAAAAGGACAAGGCCCAGCCCCAGGCGGAGCGTCGGAGGAAATGGTAAAGTACAACGTAGTTGGCTAAAGAAACAATTATTGAGAGCATCCCAGCGCGAACGACGATTACGGGTACCCATTCGGTTAATCGTATCCAACTGCTTGTTGTTTGAGTATTCGCCTCTCCTTCGCGTTTCGGCTTCACCGTCCCTAGAAGCATTCGGTCGTAATCCGCGGACACATGTAAAATGCCCTGGGCAATCCCTAAAACGATAATATTCACGGTATAGAATAGTGCTCTCTCGTTCAGCCGGGCGCGATCCCCGCTATAGTAGGTGATCCAACCGAGGTTTGCACTAGCCGGAGTTGATAACAGGTATGTTTGACTAAATAGCCATGCGGAGATAGCGAATGTGATTATTGTCTCTATCGTCGCGAAAGACAGGGCATAGTGGCTGAAAGTGTCGAAAGGCGAATGAGACGTTCGAATGCCGATGTGGGAATGGGCAATTCGCAATATTATAACGGGGAGGATACAGCTGAATATAGCTAGGGTGCGAATACTCGCAGGCCCAACTGGAAACCACGGCCACAGCACTGATAATATGTTAGATATCTATGTGATATAATTAGAAGATAGCAATGTACGGCACGTACGATTACTCCAGTTAGCTAAGAAGAGGTTCTCAATATAGGCTAGGCCTAATAAAACCCCGGTGGTTGAGGCGAATCGTCTCTGGAGGGCGGGTTGGAGGAAGTCCTTGTAAGGCGCTCGGCGCGCAATTGCGGGAGGCATCTTCGCAACTGTAAAGGAAAGAAATATTTAACTAGATCAGCTCATGGTTCGGGCTTGGGAAGTAGAAAATGTGATCCGTATGCAGATATTTTCGTGTGAATCTAAGCTCAGAAAAAAGGAATGTTGGCTCTGAGCACCGTTGCTCTGGGGAAGGTTGTTACCTATCGGACGGGTGAATGTAAATAAAATAAAAACTTACAGAGCTTCTTGAAATCCACTGAGAACGTTGTTGCTTTAGGACCTAAGCGTCATCCGCCTTATTGCATTAGCTTAATGCACCAGCCACAGTACAAATGTACATAGTACCTACAAATGTATTTATGGGGTACATGTAGGTACAATCCACGGACCGGGTACCTGCCGCGATTTTTATGTACAAGTACATCATATCCATGGATGACTTACCAACATTGAACGCTAGTGATGTAGTGTAGTAGTGCTGACTGACGTAAGCAGATGCATGTGTAACTTCAATCTTGAATCCCCAATTCGGTTGCCTTGCCGTGACCTGCACTTGTACCTGCGCAATCCGTCGCAGATGATCCTGACTGACATCAAACCCTTCTCATATTATCCGTGCCCATAGTAGGTACCATCTAAATACTCGATCCTTTCAGGACCAACCTCTCTTTAATTCATCAAAATTTCCTTTATTGAATCTCGTCGTTCTCTCCAATCCAGAATCGTCCAGCTATGTCTTTCGATCAGTTATCGTCAATAGAATCCGGCAGCGGGGCTGGCCGTCGCCAGAATAATGGCGCCTACGCGGATGACCCGGAGTTCACTCGATTATCGCAAGGCCTTATGAACAAGCTATTTCATCTACAGGGTAATATTTCAAAGCTGAGGTCGGATATTGGTCTCCTCGGTACTCGACGGGACAATCCTAGATTGCGCGAGCGGGTCCACGTTGTAATTGAGGAGTCTACGGAGCAGTTCAAGGAGGTTGGTGAAGGTATCAAGAAGATTCAGACATGGGAAGAGCCCACTGTAAGTAAATCGAATGATGCGATTGACTATATCTACCTATCTAATGTGACATATGCCTAACTTTTGTTTGCCTCGTAGCCCACCCAGAAGTATTCGCAACAGAAGCTATCGCGCGAATTCAAGGCTGCCCTCAGCGAATTCCAAAACCTTCAGCGCACCGCACTCGAGAAACAACGAGCCTCGGTTAGCGCGGCCAAGGCAGCACTCGACCATGATCAATCTGGCGAGGGCGCCCCGTCTAATGCCACCGGCGAGCAACTACAGCTTCAGCAGCAGGAACAAGTCCACCTAGCTCCCCAGGACGAAGTTGATTTCCAAGAGGCCCTAATTACCGAGCGAGAGGAGGAAATCCGTCAGATAGAGGAAGGTGTTGGCGATCTCAATGTGCTCTTCCAGCAAGTGGCGCAGATCGTCAGCGAGCAGGGTGAGGTGCTGGAGACGATTGAGAGCAACGCCGTTAATATTCGCGACGATACCCGCGGTGCCGACTACGAGTTGAGGAGTGCTGCAAGATATCAGAAGAATGCCCGGAGCAAGGCATGCTGCTTGCTATTAATCCTAGCCGTGATCATGGCTATCGTCCTTTTGGCTGTATTCTTGGGATGAACCAAATCTTTTGGCAATTTGATGGTGTATGAGCGACATCTCGGGCGTTTTGGAGTTGGCGTGAGCAAGTTCGAACTTCTCTTTAAGTGTATCAGGATTGTGTTGGCGATGGCCAATAAGAATTGGTCGTCCCTTGAGGTAACTCAGAGATATCTGTTCCCTCTTTTGCGGTTTATGGGTAGCAAGTAACTATACCTCTATGAAGATAGCTTTGGTATTTATAACCAGTTATATTTGGAGTTTAATCAACATTCGGACTGCCAAACCGCGAGGTTATTCACATAGGTGTAAGTAGGTAATTACAAATACATTGCCAAAAATGGCAAATTTTATGAATTAGTGGCCTTTCCAATAAGTTGCTGTGCAGGTTGGTACGAGTCCTATTCCGAACTGGCGGCTTCAAAATCCACGTTTGTCTAATTTGTAGCTTTTACTGCTTTCTCGATTCGTTTTGGTCGTATGACATCGGCCTCATAACCTACACATCTTTGAACAACATTTGTGTCAATTGGCATGAACTTGGACAATGCCTTGCTCGTAACTGTGTGTGTGGCGCTCGTCGACAGCCAGTAGAGGTGAAGTGCTGCCGGAAGATCTGCAGTCATAGGTCCTATGAGAGCACTTAAGACAATGAGCACTCGACGAAGTCTACGTTGCCTCGTCATTGCCGGAATCTCAACTACAACCTCATTCCCAGGGTTGAGTCCAGCTAGCTGTCGCAATCCGGCTTTGGATTTAGGGAGCATATTCCAGACTAGCAAAGCGGATAGTGCGAAAGGGAGAATGTGGTATGGGTCAGGAGCGGACAGGTCGGGAAACCACAGGCAGCCCTCTAACGTGATGCTTAGATCTGGTAGATTTTTAACATGCTCGGTCGTGGTAGCAGTCACGCTTGGATCTACCGTAATTTCTACGTTGCCTTGAGTATTTGAAGCCGCAACATCTTCAGTTCTACCCAGGAACAGCTGCCCGATAATCCCCCTCGGACCACCACAAACCCGTCTGACGCTCTCGATGCCGATGAGCCAGAAGGGCAGACCTAGGATGCTGGAATATAATTTCCATTCTTGTAAGCCGACTGTACGGTATATCCTCGATGCTAGCTTCTTATGCCTCGCCAATAACTCCTTCGACTCCCGCGAAGATGGAATTCCTTCCCGCTTAATATCCCGCGAGATACGCGCAGTCCATCCCATAAGGACGGGAGTGAATCTAGCCCGACGTTGGTTGATCCTATGTATATAGACGTTGAAGGGTAGCCGAAAAGCGAGGCTTACTCCGACTGCCGCGAGAGGAATCGTTAGGAACCATGGCATGTGAGTAAGATCATGGATAGCTAGCAAGGTATCCTGGGCCGTTTGTATAACAGTGGCGGCAGTTGGTGCAAAATGGAATGACCTGACACTGGGTTGACGTCTAAAGTGACAGGGTTGAGTCCTGGTCCTTGATACTAGGCCAAAGGGCCTAGTTGCCCCTATAGTATGAGTCCAATGAATCGAGCTCATCGTCGATCACCATAAGCCCTTACTGGTTCATGAATGGAAGAATGGAATAGTAAGAAGAGAGCTTATGAACAAACGAACATCATATGTAAAATGATTTTGAAGCTATCGAGCCTTTCATAAATGTACGAAATATAACACCATACTCCAAACAGCTTCAATCTCAAATCTATCTTAGGTGCAGGTACTTAGGTAGGTAGATTTGGAAAATATAGGTATCATTGAATAAGGAATTACGGTTATAGATAGGTTAGTTATACTTCATACTACCTAAGTACCTAAGGTATGTACATAACATAATGTACCTCCTAAATGCATGTGGTATAACGGTAAAAGAAAACTGTTGCAGCTCTATCGATAAATAATGCCTATGCAGCAGCCCGCGCTAGATTATGTGTGGAAGGTGGAAGGTGGAAGGAAGGTGGGATGGGGTGCATAATGCCCAAGGGACCACCTTCCAGAGCTTAGGTTTCCGAGGTGCTAAAAATTAGGTTAGGTACCTAAGCCTAAATACATACAGCCATCAATTCTGGTCACTCTGTCACTTGTATCAACGATTGATCACACGCCAAATTATAATTACCAACAAACCAAGACAACATATGTACCTAACTAATAAATTAACGAGCGCGCAACTTGCAACTTGCAACACCACAATACCTTTCTAGGTCATAACAATGGGTCAACTGGACTGCTTCTGGACTGCTTCTGGCCCAGTCTGAAGAGGCCAGACCGGTATTGTCTTCCTGACACGTGTGCCTAGGCTCATAAACCACATCCTTTTAACAATATTTCTTCGCCAGTCTTTAGGCAAATGTCGGATTTCACCTCTGGCTCAAGCTGTTCCGTTCCCTTTAAAGACGTACCATATTCCTTCGGCATGGAGCCCAAGACTCTAGCCTTTACAGCGATTGCCATCGCCTGTACTCCCTTCGCCGCCTTAATATTCTGGAACTTCATCCTTCCACTCTTATTCCACATATTCGCCCTGACAGCCGGGTCGGCCTTCGGTTGGTGTTTGAGGAAGGGTTCCGAAGGTCGCCGCTCCTTACTTGTCCGCACTACAGCCGAAAGCGAAGCTAGATTTAGAGAGGCTAAAGCTCAAGGGAAAGACGGCAGTGCTAGCAGCGATGATGACGAGAGCTGGGAGAATATCGATGGGTCTACAGCTGGAACGTCTGGCAACGGGGAGAAAGGTGACCGAGACTGGGATGGTATAGTCGGTTTCTTCCATCCTTTCTGCAATGCTGGAGGAGGTGGCGAACGAGTCCTATGGGCTGCGGTTCGAGCTACTCAGAAGAGATGGCCCAACGCCAAGATCGTTATATATACGGGCGACCACGATGTTTCAAAGGAGAGCATGCTCTCTCGTGTCAAGGTTTGGGGTTCCTGTTATGTAATGAACTTGCAATCAAGATTGCTAATTGCACCATAGAATACTTTCAGTATCGACATCCACCCGCCTACGATCCATTTTATCTACCTAACAACTCGACACTGGGTTTTGTCTTCTACATGGCCGCATATGACTTTACTAGGGCAGTCAGTTGGCTCCATACTTATGGGGATGGATGCTTTCTCTTTCCTAGTACCTGACATCTTCGTGGACACTATGGGTTACGCCTTCGTACTCGGTCTGAGCAAGATTCTCTTTCCCAATATGCCAACTGCTGCATATGTACACTATCCTACCATTTCCACAGACATGCTCGACTCCCTCGACCCTAAAACGCCAGTTGGAGGTCAGGGTGTCAATGCCGGGAAGGGGGTTGGCGTTAAAGGTATACTGAAAAAACACTATTGGAAGATCTTCGCCGCTATTTATTCATGGATGGGCGCTTCCGTCGACGTTGTCATGACAAATTCCTCCTGGACGCAAGACCATATTAAGTCTATATGGGGGCCGCGCCGAAAGCAGAGAGGCAGGGAAAATTCTATTGCTGTTGTGTACCCCCCGTGCGCCGTCAATGAGATTGAGCGGGCTGTCGAAATCTCCGAAGAGAGCGAGAAGAGACGCCAGAAGTACTTAGTATACATCGCCCAGTTCCGGCCAGAAAAGAACCACCAACTCATCCTGCAATCCTTTGCCGAATTCGTCAAGACTGGTACTCCCTCAGCAAAAGAAGCCAAATTAGTCCTCCTGGGTAGCGTTAGGGGCGACGACGACTCGAGACGCGTGTACAAGCTTCGTCTGCTGGTCAACGAATTGCAAATCAAGGATCAGGTAATATTCCAGCTGGATGCTCCATGGTCTGAGATCCTCCAATGGCTTGGCAAGGCCTTCGTAGGCGTAAATGGCATGTGGAACGAGCACTTCGGCATCGGCGTAGTCGAGTACCTCGCGGCGGGTCTAATATCAGTCGTGCATAACAGCGGTGGTCCGAAGCTAGACATTGTCATTGATGTTGATGGCCAACCTACGGGTATGTTAATTGCGGCATTTCTTGCATTGTGTTTTTGAACTAATAAGTTCAATTAGGTTTCCACGCCTCCACCACGTCGGAGTTCGCTGAAGGTTTCGAGAAGGCACTCTCGCACCCCGACCCCCTTTCTGTCAGACGCAGAGCGCGCTTATCATCTAAGCGCTTCACTGAGGAAGAGTTCGCCAGGAAATGGTTGGCGGAGCTAGAGAAGCTCGTCGCCATGAAGCTATAAACGAGATTCGTTTCATTCATTACCACTACCCTAACCAATTCTCCTCTCAAAAAATGGTACTATTATCAGTACCAACATTCCTACTACCCAGATAGATATAGACTTACATCCGATACCCCCAGGATTATCACGGTGGGAGGCGGGCTCGGAGTTTGTATTGCCTTGTTTTTATGTTGCGGTGCGTTGTATTATCCTCGTTCATCGCGTTGAGTTGAGGGTGGATGCGGAAACTGAGAGGATACCATAAGTTAGGTTAAGTAGAACCGAGCCCGTATAACTATGGAATACATCCTTATTTACGTAATTCTTTCGAGCCTTAACTTTATGAGTTTTACACCGACAATTTCGAAGACTTGGATTAATATTTGTCTGACAATGTAAGTTCTAAATAGCTATATAGGTACATAACGTAACTCTATCAAAAACACACGGTAATATATATAGGGGTACCTGACCTAATGTCTGTAGCAGGTAGGCAGTAGACAAGTGTCTACAAAGTCAACCCAGCACTATTTTTCTGCCGCGTCTCGCCCGCAGCCTCAAACACGCCATCTTCATCAACGCCGATGGCTTGAACGGCACTATACCCTTCGCGCACCCACGTCACGTTATGCCCCTTCTCTAACATACTCGCCACAGTCGCGTTTTCAAAGGTATATTCGAAGGCAACTTGGTTCGGCATCAACTGGTCGTGGAACCGCGGTGCGGCTACAGCGTGGTTTACAGAGAGCCCACGCTCTAACATGTGCCATAAGACTTGCGTCGTCGAGCTGATAATGCGGGATCCGCCGGCAGCACCAACGACGGCAGCAAGGAGCGGGATGGCGGTTGAGGTGGAAGCGTCGAGCCACTCGGCGATGACGGGGGTGATGGAGGAGAGCGGACGTTTCCCCGGACGGACATAGTTGGCTGGGCTGGGTGCGTAGCCAAACTCGTTACGTACGCCCGGGATGGAGAAATCGTTCATCTCGTCGTTGAGTACGACGCCCGTCTCGGGGACCATAAGCAAGCTACCAAAAAGTAGGTTAACAGTGGTGGTAGACGAGACGGCGGTACCCGAGGAATCCGCCGTCGAGATGTGCGAGGTGCCGTGGCTTTCGGGAACGTAGATGCGCGGCGGGTCGTAGTTTTCAACAGGTTGTGTTTTATCATCGCGAATGCGCCGACGTATCGACTCGGCGTGTGCATCGTCCAGCATAGCCTCCTCGAGCCGCGACATACCGGAGACGAAGGCCGGGTCGCCGAGGGCCTGGTGCGCGCCGTACGCGAAACGCATCGATTCGTCGAAACGGTGGAGCGTGAGATTAGGATCAGCAGCTGCGTCTGAAGCGTCGTAGCCCTCCATCGTCTTTAGTGTGCTGAGACAGACGGCGCCGCTGCTAGGTACGCCCGAGGAGAAAAGCTTGAAGCCACGGTACGAGATGCCGATGGGCTCGCGAATGATGGCCTCGTAGTTAGACATGTCTTCTAGGGTCATGGTTCCGTTATACTTCTGGATGTGCTTGATCGTCGCCTCGGCTTAGAAAAGATTAGAATACTTTGTTTCGAGGAAGAGAGAGATTCTACGAACCCATTGGGCCAGTATAGAATACGTCGGCACCATGCTCAGCTATCTGTTCTAGTGTTCTAGATTGGAAGGTGAGTAAAGACCGAGAGTGTTTGATTATTTCCATGAGTAAACCTCTTACTTTGCGTAGCGCTCTCTGGTCATAGTATCACCTAACTTAACAAGCACACCTAACAAAATAGTTAGCTAACATTATTATTGTGAAACGCCTTCACGATGGAAGACATGTAAGTTGGCAGTTCTCACCATTCGGGGCGAAGTCTTGAGCCCACGAGGGATCTTCGACTAAGAAATTCCAGCCGGCCGTTCCGAGGCCGAACTCCATGTAACGTACCAGATCCTCGGAAACCGGGAATCCGCGGCGCGCAAGGGAGGCGGCTGGTTGCACAACAGACTTCCAAGATAGTAAGCCGAACTTCTTATGGGCGTATTCGAGACCTCGCAGCTCGCCCGGTACACCCACGGAAAGCCCACCGTGCACACTACCCATCACGTTACCTTGATACATATCCTCGAAGGCCGCACTAGGAGCGGATTCGCGATAATCGATGACGGTGTAGTTGCCGTTACTATCCCGGACGAGACTGAATCCACCGCCACCGATTCCCGAATGATACATGCCGATAACACCGACACATAGCTGAGTCCCGACAAAAGCATCAATGGCATTTCCCTATTACAGATATGAGCAGTCTAATAGCGGAAATTCTAGCTATCGGTACTACTCACACCTTGATCAAGGAGGTCAATGCCAATTTGACTACAGATTTTACTCTCAGAAGCGACAGCGCCTCGCTTCCCTGAAACGGATTGCTGGTGCAATACCGCTTGTCCAGTTGGTTGCCATTGTGAAGGGACCGCAGCCGAAGGGGCGACAGCTAGAAGTAACAGCAGAAGACTCTGCGGGAGTGTTGTAGGAGTTACTTAGGGGTCATGTTAGTTACTAGATGGTAAGAAATTAAGGAGGTAGATGTAACTCAAACGTCTACTCACTCATCTCGCAAAGTCTTTACAAATGTTGTGATCGGAACTCGGTATGTTGCAATCGTCCCAATCCGTCGTCTGTGCTCTCTATCTAACCCTGGGTACTCTCAGAGCACAGCATATCATACGACGGGGTTGCGTACTCTGAGGTAGAGACACTGATACCCTGTGATTATAACTACCTCTATCAACGGTAGCGCATTAGTATACGATAGAATAATAATGATAATGTAAAGAATGAAAAGGAAATAAATATAGATGATAGATGATGGTGATAATTAGAGAACGACACTCCGACGACGTTAGGGTAGTTATCTTTTGTACAAGGTTGCAAAGCCAGATTATAAAGCGAGATAAGCAGCCCGGCATGGAAGTTTAATACTAATAATAATAATAGTCTAACCTAGGTAGTTAATACTGTAAAGCCCCACCACACTATCACGTAGCAAGCTTGTAGCTCAGACTTACATAAATGTCGTAATCTATTAGGTATACCCGAGCGGGTTGGATAGTAAACTTCTTTGTCTATAATTTATATTCAACTACATTATGTAAGTCAAGTTGGGCTATTGTCTCTTCATTACATTTTTAAACCGCGATACATGACGAAATACGCGGTAGAACACAGCTTACGGCAAATAAGCTAACATGAGCTAGGCATTATAGCCATGGATTTTTAGGGGCTCATCCCCTGTCTATCGCGCCCTGGATTTGTAATTCATACACAGGAAACCATCCGAGGTCACCGAGACGCGCACCTTCAATCAAGCCCGAATACTTTCCTGGTCTCAATATCGGGAAGTCAGATGAGTCCATCTAATGCCCCCTAGACAGGAATGGATTCATACAAGATCTAAGGCTTGTAAAGTTCTGATAAGATTGTGATATTTAAGAGCGACAATAGCTATCGCATATGGTTTCTATAACTATACGTAGGTATATATAGGTTTTCAATAAGTATAAAGCTATCAAGTGACTGTCGGGTCAAATATCAGAAATTATACCACCTCGTATTCTCTTCATTATAAATCGCTGAGCTGGTTAAGCCTAGAGATTTAACGGCATAAATAACTATAACTATATTTTGAATTAACTATAATATTTAGTTAACCTAGTTACTTTCTTCAAACATCTATGAGGACTGTATTTGACAGTGTTATTTCGTAGCAAAGAAGTCTATGGTATATCCAAAACTGTAATTGACGAGATGCTACGTACTTCAGCATATATACACGTTACAGCTCTTCTCACTACTGGCCAAGAATTAAGTCGTATGTCGAAGGTCGGGCTGTTATAAGAAGGAATAACGTGTGGTAAGGCGTAAGTATCATACTATATTGTTCTATCATTTAGCCTATCTAAGAAGATAACAATTTTCCGATGAGACTTGTCTGCTTGTCTAATGAGGGGTAATCATATCACTTGGCGATGTCCAGCGGCCGCCATGTTGAGGCTGTGAGACAAACCCCCTGGTTATTCACGGCCGTTTGGGTTACGATTCATACGTAGGAGGCGCACGTATCAGCCTTGTAGCGCCTCAACAATAGAACTGAGACACACATAGGTATCACAAGGTTGAGTGTCGATTAGGTACGTCATCGCTGTGGCGTGACGTCGGGGCGGATAGAAGGCTTTGTTGTGACATAGCCGACCTAGAGCTCGATAGATATAAACTTGTCGTCTCTCCCGGATGGTAATCGATTGTATAACTTAACCATATAAAAAGTTTTACCTTTAAGAAAAGCAAATTATTGAACACCATGTGTTTCGGAGTGAGTAGATATGCATTCCTAGCATCACGTACATAGTACATATACCCAGCATACTCATACTTATCATATACCTATCATATAAGCTGTTTTTAAAGGAGAGGCCATGACTAACAAGATTTCTATTGAGCAGTCGAGCAAAAGCCATCCAAGAGAAGAACCCGCAAGGCCTGCAAGGCATGATCAAGCCCACCCACCGCACGGAACCGTTCACGGAAGAGCTGGGAATGCCCACGGCGGAAGTCATGGCGGACACCACAAGACGCATCCCGCACATGACGAAGGGAATCACGATGCGATGCTAGCAGGGCAGCAGGCACAAATGGATCCGGTGGCTCAAGGCATGATATAAATCAGTGTCATACTGAGGCTTGGATGGATGAATAATGTTGAAGCAAAGTTGTGTGAGCTTTGCTGTATGAAACTTATAGGAATATTTATCGAGTTCTTAATAGGAGAAATAGGAGATGTGGTTTAGACTGTATACTTGAATAAATGTGACTTACGAAGTAATCCGTACAAATCCTTAAAAAGACAGTGCGGGGTCGTATAGTATCTAATCGCGATAAGCTACCGTAGTGCATAACGCTAACATGACCATAACGCTAGGTACCTTAGGTACCTACCTACCTTAGGTAAGGTAGTTACTCGGTACATGGTACAATCTTCCATCCAACTTTCATCCAGTAAAAAATCGTCAATTTACAATTTCAAGTATTTTTTTTTTCTTCAGGTCTTTCTATAGACGATAAACTGGGAGGATTCGACTGAAGAAACTGCTGAACCAATGCAATTTTATAAGACAATAACACCGCGGTTACTTCTAAGAACCAAACTCGCAACCCATCCCGTCTTTGGCTCGTTACAGTTTTCACTTCAGTCCCTTACCTTGGCCAATTGCCACATTCACTTATCTGAAGTTGGAAAAGGTATACGTCTGTATCAACTTTCTAAGAGACCTAAGTCTCGACAGGACACTACCCCTGACCTCAGCGCTGCTCAGGTGATACGTATGATTAGATCGCCAAATTTCAAAAAGATGGCTTCATCAGATGGACAGGTGAAAATGGGTAGCCAACATCAAGAGCCAAGACCTAATCGCGGGAAAAGGCCGTTCCAGAATGAAAAGTCTAAGCTCGCAACGAAAAAGGAAAACAAGAAGAAGCAGAAAAAGACGAAGGAAAGCGAAACCGACATGAACATGAAGACTGGCTCAGCGGAGGAAGTCTTAGCTATTGACGTGAAGAATCTAATCGAGTCTCTCAAACAAGATGATGATAGAGCGGTAGAAGGAGGGAATGCCGCGCCAGAGCCAGAAACTGAAAACTTGCCAGAGCAAGGCTCCGAGATCGAGGTTGAAGTTGTCGAGCTTTCCTCGACTGGAGAAGGCCTAGCTTTACGTAAAGGCTCTAAGCACGTATACGTCGTGCCATTCTCAATACCAGGCGACACTGTCAAGGCGAAGGTGTACCGCCACCTAAAGGAAGAGGGCTATTCCGTGGCGGATTACATCTCTCTCGTGAAGCCGTCAGCCTCCCGCGACGACAGTCGGATCAAGTGCAAATACTTTGCCACTTGCTCAGGATGCCAATTTCAGATGCTGGATTATACCGATCAGCTGAAGCATAAGAAGAACATCGTCGAGAAGGCCTTTCGTCACTTCTCCGAGTTGCCCCCAGAGCTTATCCCCGCTATCCAAGACACCATCGGCAGCCCGCTTCAATACGGCTACCGAACAAAGCTGACGCCGCACTTTGATGGCCCTCCGGGCTGGCGCAAAGGTAAGAATCCCTTCAAGAGCTGCCCCCCTATTGGCTTCATGCCCAAGGGCAAGCGTGACCCTTTAGATATTGAGGATTGCCCTATTGGTACCGACGCCATACGTCTTGGTATGAAAAAGGAACGTGCACGCATGGCCGTCGAGTACGGAAAATACGTACGGGGCGCTACGATTCTTCTGCGCGAAAGCACCAAGCGTATTCCGAAGAAACAGAGCGAAGCCGAGGGAGCATCTTCACCGAAAGGACCTGAGGCAAAATCACCATCGCCCCCGCCTCCCGAGGACTCCGTTGTTAGAGTCGAGACAGACTCATACACAGACCTAAAGACCTACGTGACAGACAACAATGGCACATCAACCGAGTACGTCGGGCCCTACGTCTTCCACAATCCAGCCGGCTCTTTCTTCCAGAACAACAACTCCATCCTCCCCGTCTTCACAGACTACATCCGAGAGCACATCCTCCCTCCTTCCTCTCCTCTTTCCCCCGAAATCAAATTCCTCCTCGACGCCTACTCCGGCTCCGGGCTCTTCACCATAACCCTGTCCTCCCTATTCAGCGACAGCGTCGGCATCGACATCAGTGACGCCTCCATCAAATACGCGTCCCGCAACGGCGCGGAAAATAACCTCCCCCTTTCGCGTGCGAAATTTATCGCCGGCGATGCCAAAGACTTGTTTGCGTCCGCCCTGCGCAAGGCATACCCCTGCGATCAAACCGTCGTCGTGATCGACCCCCCGCGTAAGGGCTGCGACCAGGATTTCCTGAACCAGTTGTTGCGCTTTGCGCCCCGCCGCGTCGTATATGTGAGCTGTAATGTGCACACACAGGCGCGCGATATCGGTATCCTGGTTCGTGGGCTTGAGGGTGCGGGTGGTGCAGAGACGGGGACGGGGATGAAGACTGGCGTTGCAAAGAACAAGTGGAAAGGGACGAAGTATGCGATTGAAAGCATACGCGGCTTCGACTTCTTCCCGCAGACGGGACATGTTGAGGGCGTTGCCATTCTGAATCGGGTGGACGGCTAGGTATTCTAATATTAGGTAGCTATCTACCTATATTCTGAAGACATCTTAGAAGGAAAGTATGAGGTTAAACCACCCATTCTGGGGAACTACTGTATCATAAGAAGGGCTTCATTTACAAGGCACGTTTACGCGGCGTAAGGTTGAATAGGGCAATACTTATTCGACAACTAACAATAGATAAGAAGGTGCCAAAAACCAGGACGTTCCAAGTATTAGATACCTGACAACCCGACCAAAAATTCCAAACTGAATAGGTACTCTGTCCTTGAACAATTATATTCAGTACTTCTTTCAACACACACATCTTGCGACGCACAACAATTTGCGAGACTGCCTATTTCTGCTACTCTTAATCCTGTTGCTCAAGTAAGACCTTTAGAGCCTGAACCGTGACCTCGACAACTTCGGCTCTCCGGCTACTCTTCGTACACTCCTTCAAAACCTCAATTCCGTTCTTCTCCCTGATCTCCTTCCGTGCCGCCTTACCTGCTTCTCCCTCGCACGCAACCATATTATACACAACAAATGCACCTCGATGCCGTAGATCTTCGCTCTTCTCACCGCACAAACCCAGGACTACTTCGACCCCGCGCGTCCTTTTGAGAATACCGGTTACAACGGCGTCATATGCCGTGAGAGAGGCCAAAGCACCACCGGCGGCGCTCCTCGTTCCTTCATCTTCTGCATCTGCAAGTGCGAGTAGAATGTGTAGTCGATTAGCAGCTTGTGGGCTATTGTCAGCGTACTGAGTAATACCCTCAACGGACTGCACTAGGTTGCATATTAATTCCACAGCAGCTTTAGAAACCCGATTGTTGGACGATAGCATCAACTCCTCGATCTCTGGCCATGCGTTACGGATAATTGTCACCCGTGTATCGTCGTCCGTAGATGCTAAATTAGTAAGCGCCATCAATGCCTCGAACGTCGGCAGGAGATCTCGAGTTTCGGTTGTAGGGTCAGGAGTGAGTATATAAATGAGCGGCCGGATTGCCGAGTTCTGTGGACGAGCGCGCGTACCGCCGAAAACGAGAGCGGGATTCGTGCTGATTAGTATACGAGCGAGTGCCTGGGCTGCTGTTCGTTTGGCTTGCGATTCGGAATCTGGTAGAGCCGAGGCGGCCGCAATAAGAAGGTTAACAGCTCCTTGCTGCGATAGTTGGCCCCGCAAGGTGGTTGTAACTGACAATGCAGAGATAATCGATACGATGAGGTTAAGCGAGGCAACCGAACCGTGCCTACTATGTGTTACTAGAACGGGTACAATACCGGCTTTAAAAACTTGTATACACCGCTCTGTGACGTGGTTGTCATTGTTCAATGGGTTTGGTGCTCCCAGCTTTCCAACAGCATTGGCGTAGGCTTTCAGCTGAGTCATTTTCTTCTCCTCCTCAGATTGCACTGGTTGATAGCGAGTTAAATTCACAAATATGCTTAAAGCTCCGTAAGTAAGTGGTGATTTTGCAGGAGCATCACCTAAAATCTTGACCAGAGCCTTCAAAAGCTCGGTGTTATGTGCGACTTCTTCCTTGATTCCAGGTTGGATTGTTGCGTAGGCTAAGCCCTCCACCGAATGTCGCTTGTCACTCTCCGGGTCCTTCAGTATCATCGTACTGAACATCTTAGATAGGTCCTCAATACTGGTGTTCGCTTGCTGTATTCTACTCTCGGATCCTTCTGCCGTTTGTTGCGCCGACGATGGCACTGCCTGAAGCCCCAGGTCAGCCCAACTCCATTCCTCACCGAGCCGGTCACCGCCACTGAAGATGCTCGAATGCGGGCGGTGACGCGAGCGGAAGCTTTAGGGTGCCTACCCTCAATTTCGCCAAGATAACCGCGGCCAAATTTTGAACTGCTACGGAGTGTCTCCTCATGGCAATCGAACCTTCTGAGACCTGAATCTGAGGGTCTGTCGTGTAGATGGCCCTGGCTAATTCGTTCGGATCTTGGTCAACAACCTCTTCCAGCCAGTCAGCGCAGTACTTATTAATAGCTTCGCGGCACGACGAATTCATGGAAGCAGCGTTGAGCATTTCCAGACATGCCGTCTCGACCTTTCTGCTTTTCCATTTTCGTCGCATCAAGGGGTCCAAGGTGGGTAAAAAGCCTTCGCTGAGGAATATGTCAGCCGTTACGTCTGAGGCGATAGGAAATATAGCGGCGGCGACACAAAAGGCGACGATATAGTCGTCATAAGTCCCTCTTTGGACTCGATCGAAAAAGAACTTGCGAAGAGCCTCGTTCCCTTTCTCCCCGGCCGCTTTAAGATACGCTGAAGCGCTCAAGACGGCGTGACCACGGACCGAATCAGCTTGTCTCATGTCGAGATAACCAAGTATAGTATCGACACATACATCATCGATGACTTCGCAGATAGATTGGCTTTTGTTTTTAGCTTTAGTATCGTCGTTTAGCATTTTGGTAAGGCGATCAAGTTCACGACAAGTATCGTCATCTTCCTGACCACCTTCCATCAATCGGGCTAAGATGAGCTGCGTCTGCTCTATGTTGCTCAGTTTTGCCATCTCCTCACGATTAGAAGTGAGACCGATAGGAAATTCCTCCATTGTATCCCGCGAGTTGATATTCGGTGTCGCTAAAGCTTTTTGGTAGAGAATGTTAGGAGTAGATGTTATAGGTAGAATGAGAAGTCTTGAGGATTTGAGGACTCGAAACTTGAAAACTTGAGAGGGCTTGTGAGGACTTTTATACAAGTGCTTCTTTGACGGAATAACGGAGTTAAACTGAAATATGGCGGCTTGTTGAGGGGCTTATACCTCGTCAACAATATAATGCTTAGTTTCTAGGGTGGTATTCTTGGGTAGTAGCTAACGCTGAAGGGTTGGCTGAGCTTTGGTGTGAGAGCTTTAGTATGAGATTGAGGGAAGTGTAAATGGGTAAGGTTATAGTATTGTGGTGTTCTGGTGTAAGTTTTAAATGAGGATAGTAACTTTCTCGTCGGCTATGGCCGCTTTATCATCGGCTTGGTGATAAATACGAGCTAATGGGTCTGGTGTTGGACTCGTGACGGATATGAAAGCAGCTAAGATACAAAGAAAACACAGATTGCGTAGATTACACATACCTCTTCTCACCTATCGTAAGCTTGTGATCAGACTGGTCAAGTCTTGGCCTTAATTTGCAGTAAGTATAGCCGCGAAAATTTCTTGGCTTAGCTTGAAATTCTAGCCTAGAAGAACCCGAAGCCACCAGGAGCCGTTTCAAGGTTTGAAGCAAACGGTTCGTTGGTGAAATTTACTCACATGAACTAAATCGATGGGGTATCAGTCGCTGCAACTTAATTTAAATCCAGGTACCTAGCATATGTAGATACATAGGGAGGTATGTATGTATATAAGGCAAAGCGTAGAACCGATGGGGAGGAAGCGAAGTTGGCTGGACTGGTCTGTTTGGAGTATGCAACATGCCGCAAGGAATATATTCATAGATTTCTTAGAAAAAAGACATGGGGTAAGAAACAACTTACATTTGTTTATTTGGTATTTTCAATACTTTTGAAGGACGTAAGGTTGTTCGTCATTTGCGAATTGAGTATCAGATAACCAGACGAGATATCTCAAAGTTGTTAACACACAGAGGATATAACTTCGCCGTAAAAGGTTAGGATGGAGTGTTTGTAGGACGATGATATTCTAGTGAGCAAAAGTATGGATATGGGATGGGACGGAATGGAAGTTCTGGCTTCAATATGGCTCGTCGACTCGTCGACTCGTTCAAAGGAACACAAGGGAACATTCACTGAAATACCCCGCTAAGGTTTGTAGACGCCAATAAGGTTATCATGACCCTCTTGCGCCTGATAAAGTGGCTGCAGGGGTTTCCGTAAGATCTACTCAACAATGACGTCTGCCTATTATATGTACCTAGACGTACCGTACCTAGGTACCTATGTATTATTAGTCATGTGAGCTAGCGTCTTTATTCTCTTCCCCGGCTTGGCACGGCATTGAAACGCAGACGCGTGCTGCTCGTGATACAGCTTTTGGGCGGGTCTTCTCGGTGAGCTCTGGACTTATGTATCTCATGTACCTAATTCAGCAGTCAGCTCTTATCAATTCGTTATCAATCTCTTCATACCAGTCCGGAAATCCAATGCTTATCCCGTTGTCGATAATTACATCTTCTCCATACCATTGCCAATTAGAGTATTGCGCAACAGCATCACCCGTGAACTCCCCTTCTACTAATACTTAAACTTGGGATTGCAAAATCTTAAGTGAGAAAAAAGCCGATTCTACAAAGGAGGTGGCCTCTGAGCCCTTTCTCCGTTTCTCATGTCATAAACACTCCCCCGACGAGTTGAAACAGAAAAGACGGCACGATGAACCGCATCGACGCCTCAGATCACTATACAGAACCCGTCTCTAGCATTAGCCAAATACCCTCGCTCCTTACCATCGTGGTCGACACCAACCCGCGCGCTTGGGCTGCCCTCGCCGACCTCCTCCCCATCTCCAAGGCCCTAGCCAACCTGCTCGTCTTCATTAACGCCCATCTTGCTTTCGGCAATGACAATCATGTTGCTATACTCGCCGCGCACCCCAACCGCGCCGTGTGGCTCTACCCCAAGTCCCCCAACCCCGATTTCCGGGCCGTGTCTTCGCGATCTAACGGTGATGTCGAAATGACCGACGTTGACGGGCGACAGGACGGTACCTCAGCAGCAACAGAACTTGGCGGCTCTGCCAACAAGTTCCCCTTATTCGCCCAAATCGAATCCTCTATCCTGACCTCCTTGCGCTCTCTCATCGACAGCACCACGCCCTCAGACCTTAACCCTACGACCTTAGTATCAGGAGCCCTCACGCTAGCACTATCTTACATCCACAAGATGTCGCATGCCCTAGAACCGGCCAAGACGTCCTCGGACCCTGCGAACCCGACCTCAACAGCAACTAGCTCCTCGCCTACTGAGTCGACCGTCGCGACGCTACACTCGCGCATTCTAGTCTTATCTGTCTCGGACTCGGAGCCTGCGCAGTACATTCCTACCATGAACGCTGTCTTCGCAGCCTCTCACGCGCGCATCCCAGTAGACACCTTATCTCTATACGGGACGCCGACATTCCTACAGCAAGCAGCCTTTATAACAGGAGGCACTTTTCTTTCCGCAGCCTCGAATCCACGTGGCTTGCTCTCATATTTAATGTTCGGTTTCCTCGCGGACGCCGAAGCACGACGATCTCTCGTGACTCCCACCCAAGACTCAGTAGACTTCCGTGCGGCTTGTTTCTGCCACCGCAATGTCATTGACACAGGTTTTGTCTGCAGTATTTGCCTTAGTATCTTCTGCTCTGTGCCCGACAACGCCGAATGTCTGACCTGCGGTACTAAATTAGCCCTCGGCAGTTACGGCGCCAAACCTGCTGTCGCCCCTCGTAAAAAGAAGAAGAAGAAAGTACGCGCTAACGGCGTTGGGGCCAGGGAGGACACAGGTAGTGCTGCGGGGACGCCTGCCCCTACGTAGTTGAGGAGCAAGCTTTATGAGTCTTCTTTATTGTACTAATACTCAAATCATATTACATGGAAGCGGTCTGGTTGTATCGCAACGGGTTGGAGTTTGCATACGCGGAGTTGCGTCCGGCATGGGACAAAATATCGTGAATTAAAAAGCATAGGCGTAGTGATAAGACAGTCAACTTAGGCGTGTTTTATATTTTCATAACTACCTTGTACAGTCTATCTATACTGTCCAAGTGATCCTACTGCCACTATTACCCATGTAATTCTTTTCATCCAAGGATTTACGCTTAGTTTTTCTAGTCTTGGTTCGGCTGCAATTTGAGGGTTACTGTCTTTAAAATACAAGAATCCTTCCGAGCCCAAGACAAAAGTAATTTCGGTTGATATGAACGTAGCCATTCAGGGGTATTTCGAAAACGCCGATTTAGTGCACCACAATTCATCTCGAGCTTAGGTGTATGAGTGATAAGGATAGCGTGAAGGTTAGAAGTTTATGAAGGGTGAGGATAGGTGAGCGGATGGGTACGAAGTGAAGAGAAGCCGGTAAGCCCTGGAAAAAGTTCCGGTCTGATATAACGAGCCTTATAGATCGAATATCAATGTGTGATACAACCAGCTCATATGTGGATTTTACGGCCTCCTTGGGCAATACGAGCCAGACCAGAACTTCCTTCCTTGATGCGTGACATAACACAAGCTGGCTGAATGTCATTAGAACCCATCGAGGCTACGGCAAAAGAGTCAGTGTTGTGCGCGAAATATAAATAGTACCCCAACGGCCCCTTCTTTACCGCCATGATGCCAATGGCTCCAGCCGAGGAAGAATATTTGACGCCTGGGTGTTCCTGGAAGTCATTAGCAATGAACCCTTGGAGAATCGCATTCTCATCATCCTCGGCTATATCTTTTCCGCCCGGTCCACGACGCGTCCTTTGATATATTCTCTCAGCGCATTTTTGCGACGCCATTGTAGTAGCCATATGTTCGCCGGTGCCACTTGTCACAGCGGCGACGGCGATGCCGTCTTGATCCCTTTCGTCGATTGGAATGACGGCTGTCCCGATTCCGACTAAGGCCGCCGGACCAATTCGTCCTCGATGCTTCATGCCTATACCACCTGAAGATGACCCGGCCGCAATTTTTCCAGACATATCGATTGCAATTGCACCCACTGTATCAGTGATTTCATCGACATCTTTATTATCCTCCTTATGATGGTCAGCAGTCCTAAATGGTGGCGACTTGTCAAGACATGGTGTAGCCATAGTGGTGGGAGCCTGTCCAACTTTGGGCATGGGAAGGTCCACAGGGACGTTTGAATTAGTCTCATCATGAAGAGTTGTCTTGGTTAAACCCTTAGATATCGACGTACTAGGATCTGACTTTAGAGATTCATTATTTGGGCCTGGGCTGAATCGTGGGCGCTTTGAAGTGGAAGACGATATTTCTCCAGCCACAGTTTTTGAACCTGTAAGTGAGCCCAAGAAGCTAAGCGAGCTGCGCTCGACGTGGTTCTTGGGTGAAACTTGAGGAGCAGAACTAAGTTTTAGTAACACTGACGGCCCATTATCCCATGGCGAAGAAGGTAAAGCTAGAGAGTCTGGCTGTCCTTCATTCCATGTTCCAGTCAGTATAGCGGTCGTGTGGTCCGGGTGTACATTCTGGCGAATTTCGCTACCATGATCGTCAAGAGCTCGGTCGTATGTGTTAGGTGCTAAAGATAGAGAGGTTTTGCTCTCTGCCCGCCTCATATCTTCCTGCCATCTAACGTAACGGTCTCTAGCATTTTTTGACACGAGAAATTGATTGGGAATTAATATCATTCCCGATTCTCGTGCAAATTCCTTAGCGCCTTCTCCGATGAGCAGATTCGGAGGAACACGTCGTAAAGAAAGGGGCTTGTTACTAGACAGGAGAATAATCTTGGCTAAAGAGATTGGATTCTTGACATCTGTAAACCAGACTTGTAAGCAAGTACAAATAATATTTCAAGGTACTGGCAACCAACTTACTAGGAACTGCACCACAGGCTCCGCTGCGACCAAAATGATCGACCAAGGTGGCGTCACACTCTACCGTCCCATCAATTGCCAAGTTACTTCCGTAGCCAGCATTGGTGATCTCCTTGTCTTCGAGGGATTTGATAGCAGCCTCGACAGCATCCACAGCCGAATGGCCTGACCGCAGGAGTTTTATGCTCAGACGTGCAGCTCTACTTCACGTTAGAATGATTTGCCAAAAACACTAGAAGTAGAATGAAAATGTCAAAATGCTTACTCATTGCAGGCTTCCAGGTGCAGGCTCTCATTGGCAACGCTGTGGTACCCGGCCCCGGCATGAATAAATATGGCTGCTACCGGGAATCTCTTACGTTTTCCCCAACGATCTATGGCTCCATCCATGGAAACGATATTGCCATCTTCCAATGGGGAGGGAGGTCTTGGGTGCTCAGTGGTCCAGGGCAAGCCGTCAATGATATCATCCTGTTCGATATCGTCCTCATGCCAGGTCGAGACAGCGTTGTCTTGGGGATCTCTAAAATCCATACTCAGTATAACGTATGGGTACAGGGGAATATACCGGATTCGTTTGGAAAATTGAACTGTCTTCTGGCTCTCTCTTATACAAAAACGGGCAAATTCGATGTACTGTTATTTTTCGAATTTTAACTGAGAATCTCAGTGGATATTTTCTGCCTGTTGATTCGACTAAGACGATTGTGGGATCGAATAAATTCTGACCAATTTAGGGGCAACTCTTCTGGTGGTGTTTAAATACTCGGGATACCGATAAAGCTATGCAGCTATTCAGGACGATGCCTCTTGCGTGAGGCAATGTTGGCGAGAGAGAAGCTATAAGCTAAGCTACAAATAATAGAGGTAAGGGATTAAAAACTTGGGTGATGAGGTACCATGCCAATCGTTGAGGTGGGCGAAGCTGAAGAACTAGTACCGGGTAATTGGTGCCGACAAGCTCTGGACGAGCCACATATGTCGTATGGAGGAGATACAGCGTCAATAGAGCGACGAAAGTAAGATAAGTAGGGATATTTAAAGGAAATGGAGTGAGGACTGGATGAAAGGTGATGAGACTTAGGAGTAGATTCCTCTATAATAATTTACTACCTAAGTAGCGAAGGAGATGTTTGGCAATATCGAAAGTTATTTGATGTTGGAAGCTAGAACCTCCAATGATATGTAGTGAAGCTGAGCCAGAGAAATAAGAGCGACCCCTTGAACTATGTAGAATAGTGAGAAATAGGCACATGCAAGTATGTAGGTATGTACATAGGTATGTACATACATATGTACATATATATGTCTAAAGTGCTCTTACCTTTGAAGTTGAAAAGATGAGTGGTTGTGTGAGGGTTGTGCCTACCTCAACTTATACCATTGCCTTAACTGTTGACTTTGATATGCTTTTCTAAGTTCCCAATTGAACTTGAGGCTTTAAGGTTTTTTTATTATTTTTTTATAGAAAGTTATTATGTATAAGAAATAGTGCTTCAGGGCATGTCATTCACATTGAACTAGGTACAAATAGAAGTTGAAGTGGATAGAAATTTATGTCTTAGAAGTCATATGGTCCAAGTCAATTCAATATACCCTCAGCAATGTACTGTGAGCCCTGGAGATTATTAGAGTTTGGCTTAGTGCAAGTGCCCGCAGATATGTACCTATGTATGAGGTAACTAGGGTTCTCAGCTACATGTACCTTCCATAGGTTAGGTACATGTACTCAGCCGCATTCATAGCTGGGTACGTACATCTAGGTCCCCACCCCTCCAGCTGGGGTCGGCGCACAGCCACACTATACCTAGCAACCTAACCTCACGATAGGCACGTAATTTCAACTTTCCAGCCTACATCATCGCCAACCAACTTCAACAGCTGCCCCGCGGGTTGTCTCACCACCACCACAACGACGCTACTTTCCTTTTCTCGGCGCCGAGTTTCGACTTGAATCTCTCCGTAGCTTGCGTAGCTCCTATCCTTTCAAAATGGCGAACCAAACCCCTGCCGTTGTCATGGACAAGTATGTATTCATGACCCCGCAATCAATAACTGATTTGATGCTTCCTAAACATCTCAGAATACGAAAGAAAGTAGTTCTAACGTGATCTTCGAAAATAGCGGCACGGGATTCTCAAAGCTTGGTAAGCTGGCTTCTCACATTGGCTCCATACACCGCCATATAACCATATCGACTTCAGTCCTCTAACCCACCGCTTCTTTACGATAATAGGTTTCGCCGGTAACGATTCTCCCTCGTTCGTTTTCCCGACCGCGATAGCTACGAAAGGAGGAGCAGGCGGTAGCGGCGGGACCGGGTCTGGCCGACCGGCCGTGGCAAACAAACCATCTTTCCTCACAGGGGGTGCTGGTCCCGGAGGCCATCTATCGACAAAACGGGGTACAGAAGACTTGGATTTCTTCATCGGCGATGAGGCAATCGCTGCTTCGAACGGGCCAGGTCAGTTTGATAGGTAGACATTTTATGTGATTGGGGTATTGATATTGGGATAGGCTACGGACTACACTACCCGATCCGACACGGTCAAATAGAGAACTGGGTATAAGTCTCGGACCCACCATAGTCGAGTCCAGTACTGACACATCATATTAGGATCACATGGAAAGATTCTGGTCCAACTCCATCTTCAAATATCTTCGTGTCGAACCTGAAGATCACTATTTCCTCTTAACCGAACCCGTACGAAGCCACCGTTGATTCTACCACCGCGATGCCCGCTAACGTACTGTAGCCTTTGAACCCTCCCGAAAACCGAGAGAACACGGCCGAAATCTTTTTCGAATCCTTCAATTGTGCCGGTCTTTACATTGCTGTCCAAGCTGTCCTCGCCCTTGCCGCATCTTGGACATCGGCAAAAGTATCAGACCGTTCTCTCACGGGTACTGTCATCGACTCGGGTGACGGTGTTACGCACGTCATTCCTGTTGCTGAAGGCTACGTAATTGGGTCCTCGATTAAGTCCATTCCGATTGCCGGCCGAGACATCACCTACTTTGTTCAGTCCCTTCTACGTGATCGAGGAGAGCCTGACAGCTCGCTAAAGACGGCCCAGGAGATTAAGGAAGAGTACTGTTACGTATGTCCCGATATTGTCAAGGAGTTTTCGAAGTTCGATCGAGATCGTAGTCGGTTTGCCAAGCACGTGGTCTCTCAACCAGGTGGTCGCCAGGTCACCGTCGACGTAGGATACGAGCGGTTCCTTGCCCCTGAAATATTCTTCAATCCAGAAATCTACTCTTCCGACTTCCTAACGCCACTCCCTGTTGTTGTCGATGGTGTCATTCAATCTAGCCCGATCGATGTTCGACGAGGATTGTATAAGAACATCGTGTTATCAGGAGGGAGCACGTTATATAAGGACTTTGGGCGAAGATTACAACGCGATATCAAACATTTAGTTGATGCTCGAATTCGAGCCAGTGAGGTCCGCAGCGGAGGAGCGAAGAGCGGTGGCTTGGAAGTGCAGGTCATCACGCACAAGCGACAACGGCATGGTCCATGGTTTGGTGGTAGCTTGTTAGGACAGACCCCAGAGTTCCGATCGTACTGCCACACTAAAGCCGAGGTAAGTCTTCTCTAGTTTAAACTAACAGGTTGCTGATAACTAACTTGGTACAGTATCAAGAATACGGACCGGGGATCGTACGAAGATTTGCTCTACTTGGTGGACCTGGTGGTTCGTAGGGTAAAACAGACATTTAATTGCGATACCAGATAGAGGGCAAGAAGGTGTAAAGGGTGGATGTGTATTCAAAAGAGCAGCAAAGTGATTATTAAATTTATGAATGACCACCAAATTTTTCTATCATTTGCCTTTTTGATGTCTCGGCCGAAAGAAATTCCAAGTTGCTTACCGTGTCAGGTCTAAATGTTGATATTATGACTATCCTATCCGAGCCTTGTTTCGTTTCAATATATAGTACATAAGATCTTGTCCTATAATTAATAAATTAGGGGTAGGGATTTTACTCTATTCCTTAGATACCTTGTAGTTCTACTCGAAGCAGCTAGCTACTAGATACAAGCCTGGTAGAAGCTACCATTTAAGAAATATCTAGCCAACACTATAGGTTATCTAACAATACACTTGGTAGCACTGAACACCATCACTCTGACAGGCAGGATTGACCTTATACACTACAGTATACAGCACCTGTAACATACCACAAGCCTACTTGAGATAGGGCCGAAGCGGCGACCACCCGTGGCTTCAAGCTAGCTCCTCGCACTCATAATTGTCGGTATGATCGAGGTCGCTGGCCTAGTTAATACCATTCATAGTAGCGGCGCGGCGCGCCCAGGCTTCCGAAACATGCATCGCCCGTGCCAATCCTATGACTTGTATGGATGTCCGTTTATGACAATAAAGGAAATGCTAATCTCTAATGAATAAGAGACGGCATGTACGTATAACCTACTATCGCCATTGGTCCAAGTGGCACTAAATCAGTAGGTCTGCTGAGGGTAAAACACCCGCGACTATAAGTGGAAGCGTATCATCGGAGGTCATCCTTCAATTCTTATTGATTGCCGATGAAGCGTTTAAAAATTTGGTTCCTCCAATGTTTGCGCCGCTCATCGTGGGGCTCGGGAGTCATTGGCTGGAAGATTGGGATACTAATAACAGGTACCTGACACAACCTAACCTACTTGACACGTCTCCGATATTTCTATTAAGCGCCCCGTTCTTGGGATGGCGAATAAAGAAGTGTTCCGATGGAACTAGAATTGCGAAAAGAAAGGATTTAGATGCATGGATGGATTCGTGGAGGGAAAAGGGGGGCGGTGTGGAAGACTGCACGCTTGGACCCTAAGAATCAAAGCATTATATTAACGTCTACTCTTATGCTCTCGCCCTTTATACTTCCCATGACTTCCCTCTATTATAACTTCTCTTTTCCTTCCCTTTTATTTCGTTCCGGGCTATGTTTTCAATAATGTCTGCTTGTCTACGTCGACTTAGAACCGTCCCCCTTCGCCCGTCTTACTAACACATCTAGTTGGGATTCCTTTTTCTTAAGACTGTCTATGAGATCTCCGTCTGACATGATGTTCCCTTGAACGAGCCTATCTGTCGTTGTACTGGGGCGACTGGCAAGGTAGTATTTCATCATCTCGGAAGATGCTCGCCGGCTTCTATTGCGCCTTTATGTTAGCGATGGGATCTTGCTATCAAGGCAACCTGCTACTTACTGGTCACTGGAAAGTTGGTTTGACGAGATTGTGGCTTGAGACATAGTGAACCCTGGACCTATCCGCTGTCTTGGGGAAAAGCTTGGCAAGATGCAAAAGGGGTTTCCCGTGAGAAGGTAGCAGTGTACCTTCGGTTCTCTGTATGGTCGACCAAGGCAAAAATATCTACGAAGTAAGAGGTTCTTCAGGTCTCGATTCCTCTAATGATTCTAGTTTGGGGTTGTCTATGGAGAGTCATTATACTGGCCTGGCCTGGCCTTCGCTATCATTTTATGGACGGCCACTATACGGCGCGCTGAAGCGCGATAACGATGTTAAGATTCTGCTCAGACTGCCTACATCGCTTCCGAGCTATAAATCATCTCAAGGAGGGATATCGGCCTAGCTACGTTCCGCGCGACTTCGTCGTCCTCTGGGTAATGCACGGGTTAGGAGTTCGCGATGTTGGGGCCTTAGGTGCCGGATACGCGAAGGCGTATTGCACACAATGCCGGTAAAGTCCTATTGTGTTGCGTTCTCGAGGGTATTCTACGCAATCAGCATCGAGCACGTCAGCATACGTGATTGGTAGATTGTTAGCTTGCGCATATCTCCAAATCGTTTTGCGCCGTTGCGCAAAACCGGTAGAGTATAAGTATTGGGTATTTTGGTCAGGGAGATCAACAAAACAGAGCCATTTTACTTCGTATATCTTAACTCTCCCTATTTCAACTGAAATTGATATATCCAAATATCAGGGAAACGAAGAAAGTCATTGCGCTACTACCAGTACTACTTCTTTTAACTTGGCCCTTTAATTGTCAATAAATGCTGCCTATAAGCGACTTTCTATCGTCACCTGCGTGATGACTCCATATTATATTTAGGAGAGATGCAAAGACCCGGTGATATTATACTGACTGCTCACAACGTTCACCCAGAGAGCTCTGTTCTTCATTGTCACCCTTATCAATATCGTCACCGTCAGTTGCACGAATCTCTTCATACTTACAACTTGGCTATTGGGCGGGTGAACTCGAACCGTCACCCCCAAACCAGATATTTTAATTCCTTTGAGCACGATTGGGACGTGACTAAGACGAAGCTCGTGGCCCAGTGGGAGCGGATCAACTCCCGTCGTGAACATCGCCTCAAGCGAAGCATGGTCAAGAAGTTGGCCTTATCCAGGAGTGACTTTATTAAGCCGCAGATACCAGAACCGACAAGCGCCGGTGACTCGGTAAGGCTCCCATAAGAGTCGAAATGAAACTGTTCTTACCATCGTTTTAGCAGAGTAGGATAGCTTGTCCCGACTATATTCTAGCTGGGGACTCGCTCATCGTTGACAACACTAGATTTATCAATCTAGACCCCGGGAAATGCCTAGGCGAGCTTAGTGTATACAGGAAAGAATCTAGTTTACAGGACGAAGGATATAACCCTGGGGTATCATCACAGAAGCGATCTAGAGTAGCCGGTCTTATGGAGGGCGAAAAGCAGATACGCGCTGCTCGAGAACTCAGCCATTGCCAACTCAACCACGAAAGTGAGAGAGGACTGACGCCTGATCAGTACGTGGCCATCAAGAGACAAGAGGGTGTCGCGCTTGTAATGGCTAAGTTCAACCGGTGGCTTGATAAGAGACTCGCAATTATCTCCTGGTTAGTATGAATTCTTTTCTCTGTGGCAACTAGGTTTTATCTGAGCTATATTAGATAGGGACTGACCATCGTGTATAGTATGTCACAGCGCGCTTTCTTTGCTCTCCAACCCCTTTACTTTCCTATAAACGTAACGCTCTGAATTTGGATAAGTCATTGACATTAATAAGATGCATGTGAGGCATCTGAAGCTTCGGGAAGCTCCGCTGGTAGCTCTAAAGGTACAGAGCCTGGGAGCGGTAGTTCTGAGCAAGGCCAATCAGGCCGCTCAACTCGAACCAAACGTCGATTGGGTGGAGATGACCAGGATAATTCTTCAGCCGGGGGCGATGAAGGTGATCCGGATAGAGGTGGCAGTAAGCGTGCGAAGAAAGAAACGGAATCGGAGCGAAAGTTCGCTTGCCCTTTCTACAAAAATGACCCTAAAGCACATAACAAACACCGAAGCTGTGCCGGCCCAGGCTGGACTTCCCTGCATCGCTTGAAGTAAGTCTCCAAAAGAAATGATGTGTATATTACCATACTGAAAATTCGTGTAAGGGAACATCTTTATCGCGTTCACCGATTGCCGAAACATATTTGTCCTAGATGCAATGATCCCTTCGATGATGCCAAGGATCTAGCTGAACATCTCCGGGCTGACGTGCCCTGCGAGAAGTTAGATGTGGTTCCAGTGCTGCAAGGCATCGATGAGGCCACCGAAGCAAAGTTAAAAGTGCGAAGGAAGAATTGTCCCGGCATGACTGACGAGCAGAGATGGGGAGAGATTTACAAGATCCTGTTCCCAAGTGCTAACTTTAATGCTATGCCAACTCCATGTAAGCCAATCCAAGATTTAGCAACGTAAACGCGTTAACCATCTGATAGATTATGACGGCAACGATTCCCTGGGATTCTCCAAGCGTGCTGAATGGAAAAAGGTAGAGAAGAGGCTCAGAAAAGAGTTGCCTAAGTTTGTTCAGAAGAAGGTCGAGAGGTCATTTGAGAAAGTTCAGGCTGATATGCTGGTCGGCCTCCCTGACATCATCCGTGATGGTCTATTCGAGTTCTTCAAGGATCTCCCACACAATGACTTGTCGGCATCGGCAACTCCTGCTGCAACTCCAAGGGCTCGTACGCCTAGCTCCCCTGTCGCAAGGGAACAGCCCGCTCTGACGAGTGAGGAAGACAAGGACGCTTTGCTGGACATGTCGTATTTTCTGGACCCTACATTCGATGAACTTGACATCAACCAGTTTGACTTTGGCAATCCTAACGACTGCCACCTTTTCGACAAGTACTCGGACTCTGGCTATGCTTCTACTAGTACTGGGAGGGATGGTACCGTCGAGACGGATATTTGAGGACTTTGGAAAACATATGTCTAGCTGTTCGTGTGCCATTCGGCAAAGCATACTTCTACACTCCTTAATAACTATTTCTTATGTATTTAATGTTGTGCTCGTAAGTGCTGGAATATGATATATTCAGAATACAAGGACTGGAGTGTGTTCATTACCTACCTGTTCTCGTACGAACTCGCTTCGTCTTAACATGATTCATCTGACGTCGTGATTTTGCAAACTAATCTGCTAAAAATAATATAACTAACTGACAAAAACCAAATCTTCGAGAAACAAGAACTTAGAGTTGTAATTGATATGTACACACTAATGTAAGACAACACGGGACCATATGCAGTGAGCCTTACGTACCTACATAGGTAGATATAGCATACCTCAGGTACTTAGGTATGCACCTGTCGGTATGCATGGATCCTGGCAAAGCTTATCGGTCACATCCAAAAGTTCACTGCTCCAGGATAGGTATTTTATTTATACTTCTGGAAAGAGATGCGTTGTGGGAACTAGAAGCTATTCGATTCTCCTAACTCCACTGCTTGAGGCGCAACTGCCCGGCATGTCGGCTTCAAGTTTCTGGGCATATCCTGTCTAACATATGATATGGTGCCAGGGTGCTAAAGAATGATATCTCCTTCGAGGCAAAGGGGATATAATGATGTCAAGGCTATTATTCCTTACCTTTGGTACTGGGAATTGTGTTGACGTGCTAGAACACGGGGGCCAAAGCTTGTATTTAAGTAATACTACATACAGTTCGGATCGAATTGTGCGATGGAGTGTTGATCATGGCTGAGGTTTGACTATGTATGATTTATGATATGGCAAGAATTGAGGTAATACGTATAAAGTGGATTCGGCCCTTCAGCTCTTGGGCAACTCTAGTATAACAACAAAGCAAGGAGAATAATTAGTACAGATGTGATTGTATTGTTATGGGAAGAGTGAAATATATGAATTATGTTCAACTGTTCTTACCGGACTGAACAGCTTCAAGACATTCCGAATCAAATAAAACCTTGAGCTAGGATACCTTGGGATGATATCGCCGAGATGAAATCTATGAATGGGGTCTATGGAAGGTGTCCGACCCAAAGTTAAAAGATGGATAAGTGGGTATAAAACCGTCTTTGCTTTACACATTTAACATGTCTAACTCGGAACGGAATGCTTCGGTGGTGTTGTCATTATTATGCAAAAGTTAGACGTGTCGGAAAGGGGGCAAGATGGCAAGATGGCGAGATGGCGAGATGGAGAAATGGCGAAAAGATAATGTAAATAATGTGAGATGTAGTATTAGATGAAAATATGATAGGATGGCAAGACTCGGGTAGGAAATTTGAATGCACCGTTGGTAATTCTCCATGTGGTTGCCAAGTCTCCAAATATGTAGCTCTAAATGAAGTTCGCGTGTAGGAGTGGTACCGCAGGCGTCCGATACATATCGAGGTGACCTTGTGATTTTCTATCGTTAATAACTTCCAAGGTTAATAACGTCCAAGGTTAATAATATAAGTTATAATATAAGTTGTTATTAGTTGGGGGAGTTGATGGACGACGATCCCCCTCCCGTGGCACCGTCAGTTTAATGTGCCATGTGGGCATTGACCCGCTCTAAATTATTCTATGTACCTAAATTCAAAAGGGGAATCAGGATAGAACAAGGGCAGAACAGCAGAACAGCAGAACAGCAGAACAGCAGAACAGCAGAACAGCAGAACAGCAGAACAGCAGAACAGCAGAACAGCAGAACAGCAGAACAGGCACTATGTATCGTAATAAGTGTAGCTGCATATCTAGTGTACAACGGCGTAACGTCGACGCTAAGCTAGGTAATTTACTTAGGCACAAGTAGGTAGGTACATATACAAGTAGTTTGAATACCTAAGGTAGTAGCATTCTGCCTAACTATTTCGGCAGGATCTAGTTGCTCAATTGCCCAATTAAATGGTCTTATGGCCTCCCAAGTCTCAGAGCTGCTTCCCCCAGTGGCTCGATTCTCCTGCAAGCCATGTATTTTCTGTTTGTCTGTACCTAATGTAGGTACGCACAGAGCCAGGCCAG